TCGTGAATAAAGCGCCGTTAGGTCAGGTACCGAATAGTATAGCACCGTAGGTCAAAGGTAGGTAAGTTGTGGCAGATAGGGCAGTGGGTCCGAGGATAAGTAGGTTGAGGGAGATAGGGCAGTAGGTAGAGAAGAGAGAGGTTGACGGAGAAGAAGCGGTGGTTCGAGGATGCGAAAGTTGGGGAGATAGAGCAGTGGGACGAGGATAAGGAGATAGCGTAGTGGGTCGAGGATAGGAAGGTTGAGGGAGATAGAGCAGTGGGTCGAGTATAGGAAAGTTGAGGGAGGTCGGGCAGTGGATCGAGTATAGGTAAGTAGATGGAGATAGGGCAGTGGGTCGAGAACAGTTTTAAGTGTATTTAACGGAGTCCTGAGGCTCCGTACGGAGCACTTTGAGAACCCAAAGTCTACGTAGTAGGCTATGACAATGCGAACAACAAGTAACGAATGTTTCCCCGACTTTTGATCTCTTGAATTCTTCCTCTTTACACTCTACCATTGCAAAATTATTGGTACTTATTTCAAGAATGGTTTTGCGAGTTTAGGACTTATATTTACCAAAACACAACTAAAATCTAACTAATAACACGCGAAAACCGACAAAACGAGGTAATATCACAACCACGAAAGACTGTCTGAATGGCAAAAGTATCTGAGCTCTTTTGAAACGTTTATTGTTACTTCCATTTTGCACTTATGCTGATTGGCCAATGTTACGGCAGTAAATGAGGAAGTGTATACTCGGGGAAACATTCATAATTATAATCAGAGATTTATAAAGTTGTTATACATAAATACGCTGCACAGACGCGATGCTCATATTTATGGAAAATTTAAATTGTTTCGCGACCCAGAGCGGAGGGCTTCGAGACCCAAATTTGGGTCGCAACCCCGTAGTTGCGGACCCCTGTTCTAGAACACTGGTTTCCAACCAGTGGGCCATGGCCACTGGTCCACAGGAACATTTAAAGGTGGGCCACAGATCTATTAAAAATTGCTAGATTTGCTGATAAAGTTAGTTAAATTTTATGGTAGTAGCAACGGATGATGCTTTTCCACCTAATTATTATTAAAGTGAAAGTGTCAATTTTCGCAAAATTTTTTTTATGTTTTTCGTGAAATTGTTCCCCAGCATGAAAAAGTTAGTGGGCCTCAGAATTATTGTGGAGCGAAAATGTGCCACGAATGAAAAAGGGTTTAGAACCATTGCTCTAGATTCTAGAATATATATGTTATATATTCTAAACTATCTTCATGATGTTGGAGACAGACTTGTATACGCTGCGCAAAAATGTCTTGGTTTTGTGGTCTTGGCTCATTGGTTTTATGCTGAAGCGCACCTCCTGCTACTAAATTTTAGTAAAAATAGAAGTAACTCGTTGAAAATACGGACAACAAGTTGATTGCTCGATTACTTAGCAATGGGTATTCGTTATCAAGAGATATCCAAAATTGTGACAGTGATTCTTTTTTTAATCTGGACTGTAAAGTAGAATCACATTTTCAATCAAGCTTTTTCATTGGGTTTATCATATCAATCCCTTTGCAGTTGATCGATGCTTCAAACGGAATGAATTTACATTACAATGACAAAGTTGTCGGTAATTTGGCACCAGGCTCAAAATCCTACTTTGTCTGATCAAGATACTGGAAAAGATCTCAGCTTTTTTCGCTCCTTGTGACCACCTGCCATATTTTACTGGAGTATTATACTTTTCTTGACGGTTTTTTGGTTTGAACAAAGCAATATGCATAACGTTTTATTTGGATGGTCATATTAATCAGGGAAAGCATGCAAACAGAAAAGGCACGCGTGCCAATTTTTAGGTTTCTGAATCTTGCGAGATTTGATGGAGCACATTCACGATGAGCAAAAAGTGTGATTACTTGGCGCCAAGATGTCGCGAAAGACGTCGCAATATGACGGCGGAAGAGAAATTGCGTATTAAATCGACCTCGTCTTCAGTAAAGAGATCGGAGCGCATTCGAGATGAATCGCAGCTTATCGCAGTTAGTACGTAATCTTTGGCATCGCTTTTACTATAAAATGTTGAAGAAAAATACTTTATACGGACAAGAGCACTATTGCTTATTTCGGATCAGCATCATATTGCCACAAGGCTCACGACATGGCCAATTATTGAGGGCATAAAACGACTTGTTAAAATTTAGAACACTGTTATTCCCAACAAAAAACCATCAGTAGCCCAATTAGTAAAACATTTTTAAACTGCCAATTAAGGTTATTGTTTACTATTTGAGATTCCAGCCTACATTTACGAATGTCGTCAAACATGTTTTGTCGACGAACCACTCGACCAGTATAACACATGGAAGTTGGTCGCAAGATGGTAGAGTTCATTTTGACGATCGAGTTGTGATTGTAGCGCCGTTAGGTTAGGTGTTGATTGGTATAGCGTCGTGGGTCGAAGATAGGTAAGTTGAGGGAGGTCGGACAGTGGCTCGAGGTGGGAAATTTGAGGCAGATAATGCAGTGGATAGAGGAAGGAAAAGTTGAGGGAGATAGGGCAATGAGTCGAGGTTGAAGGGGATAGGAAAGTTGGGGGAAATAGGACAGTGGATCGAGGATAGGACGGTTGATGGAGATAGGGCGGTGGGTCAAGGATAGGAAGGTGGAGCAGTCGGCCGAGGCGAGGGAGACAGGGCAGAGGATCGAGAATAGAAAAGTGGAGAGAGATAGGGAATTGGGTCGAGGATTTGAGTTGGAATGACTGTATAACTTCACTGGCTCTAAAGTCTAAACCAGAGGTCGGCAAACCTTTGTCGTTTGCGGGCCAAAATTAAAGGTTGCAAGTCATTGGCGGGTAGCACGTATTTTAGAAAGTTAAAAACCAAAGGAATGGCCAATGAATCACATTTTTTCACCCAGAAATTTCAAGCAGTGCGCGAAGACTGATCATTTGAATATTTTAGCGTCATTAAACCATTTGCGCCCAGCATCACTTTTTTACGTTCTGTTGCCATTTCTCTAATTATAATCAATTATAGGCTCATTGAACGAGTGATTGTGAATTATATACTTGTCAGGTTATAGTATACTTTAGTTTCTCAAAACAAATTTTGTCACGTAAAGAATATATTCGCCAATAAAGCTGTTTTGTTAATATACTTCAGTGAAGCGTCGCGGGCCGAATCCGGCCCGCGGGCCGTAGTTGCCGACCCCTGATCTAAACCCTTCAATGAAAGTTTGATCATTTAATGAGTCGGCCGATATTTGTCCCATCACTGCATCTAAAAATCACTGATACATTTATGCATAGACCGAATTCGATATGAAGGTATCAAATATAATTGGCTTCAGAACTGCAAACTCTCCCTTAACAACGAAACATTGCGATAATCCTAAGTGCTGAAAGAGCAGCTCAAAAATACGATTCCAATTCATTCATTGCTAGCAGACGGTTTAACAAGTATTTCATGGTTGCCGTAGTATATTAGTTAACTCAAAGGCGAGCAACGATGAATGAATTGATATGACATGACATTTCAAATTCTCGGGTCGGCCATGGATTGAGCGATGAGTGTTGCTCGGAAATTTTCTATTCTGAACCCCCTCCCTTCTAGAAAACCATAGCTGCTGCGCCCTTAGTTATAGATAATGTTATATTTGAATCACTTCCACATTTCGACACCACCGTCGTCAAATTTTATTAGTGATAGTGACGTTAATGCTTCTTCACAGATACAAAATTAACCAATTCAGTTTTTTAAGTGAACGAATAGCTCGCGGAGCCCTGAGGCTCCGTAGGGAGCACTTATAGCAGTGGGGATCAACGCCTGACAAAAGACTCATCTTCTCACCCTCATCGGATAGAAATACATCACTCAAACCATACATATAAGCGGAATAACAGCGAATAATGTATAAAGATCGGTTTCACGTGTATCTTACAGCAAAGCATCCAAAATTTATTAAAAAACAATACATTTTTTTCCCGCCTATCAGCGTTTTCATACATAAAATACAATTACAGATCAAGGCTAGAGGTAGAAAAATATCTTCGAGTTGCCGTCTCTCAAATTAAACCTCGATTTGATATGTTGTGTATTATACACAAAGCTTATAATTTGCAGTAGTCATAATAAACGCTATTGTTTACAACTTTATGTGTTAAGTTTCATATAATTTTGTGCAAGAAAAATGCTAGCGCCGACAATAGTCTTAAAATCGATGCTTGGGTCGCGAGAAGAAAATTTTTTTCCGGGTCGCGCTAAAAAGTAGTTGCGGACCCCTGTTCTAGAGAGAACATGACTTTTGTGCAGAGCGTCCTAGAGACCTAGACTACTGTAACTTTCTGGTATAATCATAAACAAACAGAAGTTCATGGGTAAACAATGTTTAATAAATTTACTTCATTTTTGTACAAGTATGTGTTCTCGCTGCAATATGGTGCTGCAATGCGTGCTCAGTCTCACAATCATTGAAACTATGAAAATATGGTAATTCTGGGAGATAACAAAAATATATTTTATTTGATATTCGATAATATTTAACTTTGTGTTAATAGATTTCATCGTCAGATTGGTATCTTCCGTTCAAATCATCAGATGAAATATTTTCGAAAGTTGTCAATTGTCAAGTGGTGAAAAATATCACAAATGACCTCGAAGGCATGTGAAATTTCATTTTAAGAACTATTATTATTCTGGGTAAGTTACTATGATTATGATATTGTTGAGTTTAATGGGCGTTTTGACATCGCATTCCCGCGGCAACAACATTCTGTTATTAGGGCGCCAAAGCATATCGATTGGGCATATAAATAAATTTTGAGTGTATCCCGTGAAGGATTGTGCGAAGCACATTTACAAAATTGGATGTTCCCTGCTATTTCTTTTTGAGTAGATAATGAGAAACATTGTTTTAGAAAGTTTAATATAAAATGAATCTAAAGCAGCTTCATAATTCTATTTTGACAATGCAGTCTATTACACGTTATTCATATTTTCAAACATAGCCTAAAGAATTCGTGGTCGCACTTATCAAAACCAAGGAAACAGCAACATATCGAGGAATTCGTGAGTTCTCAGTTGTTAGACACTACCTGATTTATTAGTTGTAAATTGGAACTATTTCTATAAATACGGAAGACGCATATCATAGAGAAGCCGACTCTCGAGTTTCTTCTCACGTTCATGACACAGCAGCTGCGCAAGAAGGTATTGTGTTATTTTCAAAAGGAATTCATCAGGATTTCACGGCGATTAAGTTTCACAACCTTAAAGTTATCATGAGGCATTTCAGATAAGTACACAAATTATATACATGTTCGAAAGCAGCAGACAGAGGTAGCTGAAGAATGAGCTTTTTTCGTGAATACAGCCTTGCGTGGAAATAAGTATGTGAAAATGTGGCATTGGGCCAACGGACGAGTTACTAGAATATTTAATTTATTAAAAAAGTAACTATGCACTGGAATACATTTTTAGCAAAAAAGCAATATCTGATATCTAATAAACCAAGCAATTCATTAGTCAACGAGGGCAGTATTAAAAAATAACATTTTATAATCTGATTGATTCAATATTTCTATTTCTGTGATTGTAACACAACCGTTTGTATAATCCATGTGTGTACGATTACAGTTGAATCTATTGAAAATGGCGACACGGAAATCATGGTTGCTACCGACTATTCAACGTACAGCGTTTATATTGATTGTAATATATTTGAAGGTAATTTGTTAATAATTTGGAAATGGCAAGAAACGAATTAGCTTTTTATTCATTCACAACCGTAAGTTTATGAAAACGAGTAAGCATCTTATTTGTAAATTAACTGTTTCGAGTTACAGCAAATGCGTTAACTGAAATCGAAGTATAACTTTGAAATGTGGTTTTGAGTATTGTGCTGCCAGGGAAATCAGACAAGCACAAGAGAACAGCTGCCATAATCATCTATTGTTACGTAAAATGATATCGCACTTATTGTTAATTATTTCATACAAATATCAAATATGTCATATTTAAATTACAATGTCAATAAAAACATAGTAAATATCTTTCAGGGATTCAGTGGATCGGAGTGTATACACCAACACCATATCCATCAGCAAAAGACCTTATTGATATTAGGAATGCTTTGATTGATTTAAAAACCATTTCACCTCTAAATAATTCTCAATGCTAAGATGTTATGGGTGCTTTCGACATCTCAACGAAATAATGCAACGACGCAAATATTACATTATATGACGGTTATTAGGACTTATAATTATCTACTCATTCTATTATAGAATAATGTAACAAATAAATATTCAGACGTAGTCTATAGTAGAATGTTTCTTTTAGAGTAGTCACTCTGCTTTCGACAGGCCTGGGAAGCATTTATTTTTATTTTTTATATAATCTGATGAGATCGCTTAATTGTGGAAGTGGAAATAAGTTGAGAGCCAACAAACGAAAGTCGAGAACTCGGGAGAAATAACAAAATTCGTCGCAATAGCACAGGAACGCTAATTAATGCTTTGGGATTCGCTATTTCACAATCCGAAACATATTGAACATAGATGCTTTTGGGTCACCGAAGCCTACTTTCCATATTTCAAAAAATTTGATTCTATTCAATTATCTAGGAATTTTGGTTTACATAAAGTCGATCAAGATTCCAAGTAATGAATTTTTAAGGGACACTGAAGGAAAAGTGAGCGAAATGAACTAGAAAGTGATTTACTATATGTAGCAATGTTCTTGGTGAAGTATAGGGTCCCATAATAATCGGGGTAAAATTTGAAAAAATGAATAAATTTAATAAAGTTGCTCTGGCTGCTGCTGTTGACCATCTAGGTTAGTTAGGGTCGTCTAACCCGTGTCCCTCGGGCCACATGTGGCCGCCGAAAGTTTCGAGTGGCCCGCGCGGTATTATTCGAATCCCAATGTCTTTCACAAATCTGAGCTCTTATTGGAACCGCTAATGAAAAAATTGTCCTTCAAACGCACGAGGAGCATCACCTAGCTATCGAAAGCTTCTTTTATGTCCATTTATGGTCGTTATTGCTAGTGAGACATGTTTGAATTTATTTTTATCGTCTGCCATGTATTTCAATCTGTTTTCCTGTATTTTTTCTGTGAAGCTAGAAGAGGCAGTTTTATGACCTCAATATTTGACAGCATTTACTTTTACGAAAAATTTTTTTCACGGATGAGCCAAGTAAAATCCTTCGTGAGACACTGGGTGACTTACTGATCGTCCTCAGCGTTAGGAATACGCTCGCCAACGCATCTCTGATTACTCTGTATGGGTTGGCTGGTTCGAATCCCATGCGGGGATAGTTATGTGCGAGAGGATTGCTGGACTCCTCGCCGCCGTGGGGTGATTCACGTAACCGCTGATCGGATACGCCTTCCTCCACTAGGGTTTTGTTTTTTATCAATTAATTCAAAAAAAAACTCGTGTTTTAAAACAAGGGCTTGTTTAAATCAATTTTTTTCTGTATTCTTTGTACTTTTCATTGAAATACCCCCTGCATCGCCGCTAAACTACGCCAAAACGTTGCGTTCGAACAGCTGCATACGCTGCCGGAATTATAATTTCAAAAATGTAAGTAAAAATTCTTGTTTTAACCTTTTATTTTTATTGCGTACATTCATCGCCACGGTGGTATCTACACCAAAGTCATAAGATTTTAACCGGAATGTTTATCCGAGATACCAGACAGACGTTTTGATAAGAAAAATCATGAAACTTAGCTCACGAGCCTACTACAAAATTAATTGTGTCAAAGGCAGTCTTCAGCAAAGCGGGTGCGTTATGATAATGAAGAATAAACTTACATCGGCGGCAATCTACTGATTTAAACGATGAGACGCGCTAGCTGGGGCCCAGGTCTACACAACTATTTTTACCGAAGGTCCGCATACAAAACTTCAAAAATATTTGGGTCCGGACTTTCCAGAAGTTATATTTCGGCATCTTTAAACACGCAATTCCTCGACCGACTAACGATTATTAGCTAATCAAAATTGTTTGTTATGACGTCATAGTTCTTTTCATATATATTTTTAAATCTATAAAGAAAATTTTAAAAGTGGGGCAAATGATTCAAAATGAAGAATTATGCGAGGTCCGAATCGAATACCCGAAGTGTCCGGATTCGGACCGCGGTCCGTCAGTTGAGTAGCCCTGGCCTAGGCTATGCTAATTGTAAGATTCCTCTGATGCAAAGACGCTACAACTAATCTGTTATGACGCCATAATAAGGATTTCGAGTTTATGTATATTGACATTTTTCTCATAAAATAAATGCATTATTACGGTTAAATAATCCTGTTCGGTTAATTTATGCTCTGCATACTTTGTTTTTAAGGTTGAAGTGATAGAGTCTTCAAAGTTATACAAACTGAAATCGCATTTCAAGTGGTTTCGTCGTAGGGTCGCTCACGTAATAGCTTATCGGTTACGTCTTACTGCGCCAACCACGTTTGCGGTCGCACAGAACTACAGCTTGAAGGTTTTATTGCAAATAAGAAGCGCTTGGCAAGTTTTTACATCCATTTTCCTTCAACCTATTTAATACAAAAAAAATCAAATAGTACAGCCATTTTGAACAAAACAGGCAAAAAAAAAACTTGTTTTAAAACAATTATCTTTGAACAAATCCCTATCCTCCACCATCAAGTCCATGGTACCGAAGACAAATAACTAACTAATCCCATACCCGACATGGAATGGTAACCGGACGAGGGCCGTGGTTCGCTATATGGTTTTAGCTTATTTTAAAATACAATGTTAATAAATACATAGTCAACATCTCGCAGGGATTCAGTGGATCGTAGTGTACACCCAACCCCATATCCATCGGCAAAATACCTTTATGACATTAGGAATACTTTGATTGATTTGAACGTGACATCGACTCAATGCTAAATAATTCTCAATGCTCAGATGTTATGAGTGCTTCCGACTTCTCAACGAAATAATGCAACGACGCAAATATTACACTATCTGACGGTTCTTAGGACTAATTATCTACTCATTTTAATATAGAACAATGTAGCAAATAAATATACTGACATAGGCTATAATTGAATGTTTCTTTTAGAATAGTAACGTAGATTTCTACAGGCCTGGAACGCATTGTTTTTAACTTTTGTATGGTCTTATGCGATCGCTTCATTGTGGAAGTGGGAATAAGTTGAAAGCCATCAAATGAAAGTCGAGCACTCGGACGAAGTAACAAAATTTGTCGCAATGCCGCAGGAACGCTTATTAATGCTTTACATATTATCAGTGATTCGTTATGTCACAATCCGAAACATATCTAGCGTAAATACTTTTGGGTCACCGATTTTATTGTTCGTTTGATATACTTTGTTTATAATGCTTTCTATATTTACTATCCATTTTGAAGGTCGGTTATCACGGAAAATTTATTTTTAAGAATTTGATTCTATTTAATTATCCAGGACTTTTAGTTTACGAAAGGTCGGCTAAGTTTTTAAGAAATGAGGGATTTTTGAGAAAAAGTGTGCAAAATGAACTAGAAAATGTCTTACTATAAGTAAACACAAAGTTGTAGGTTGAATATCGGGTCCTGTAAGAATCAGAAACAAATTGAAGAAATGGATTTATTTGAAAAACGTTGCTTTGACTGCTGCTGCTGTTAACCATCGAAGTTTTAAGCCAATGTGCCTCAACACTTTATTGGTGAAAAAAATGACGCATCCCGAAACAAGTTTGAGACCAGTCATATTTACAACTCTTAATATTGGTCATGAAGCTTAATAACAGTACTGGGAGCGCCAGCGCAAATGTTGTAACGATACTCCATACAGCGTCAATTAAGTGAATAGTTTCATTAATGCTCTAATTTCCAATCATTGTTCTATTTGACTTACAAAAAGCTCTTCATCCCTTTGATTATAATCTGAACCAGACCTTGTAATATCTTTCATCAAATTATGCGAGGAATTGTTTTTACGACCCATATATAGATATACAACTTTTAATAATATGTCAACAATATATTTTATATACAAAGATGTCTGACATGAAACGTTACTAAACTTGAGATATATGAACATTGACAGCTTTTATTCCGAACGTTATTGACATCGTTATGAATTAATTTAGTCCGAAGAAATGAGTAAATTCATACATTATGGTTAAAATAAAATCAACTTCGGAAATGAAACAAAATTTTCCACGGCGTGACTGAGTTTTCCCTTAAATTATATCCGTGCCAATTGTATACCGTCATAATATTGAAAACTTGCTGCGCATGTTATCGTTGTTTTTGTTTGATTTTATGAGCATTACGCATTTTTTATTCATACAAAGCATATTGAAATATCTAAAATAATATTCTTTCAGTTGTGATTTTGAAACCTAGTCGTGTGAAGTAGGACTTCGAATCGATATATCTTGGGAAAACCCGAAAACATAATTGCAATTAAGATTTGTGGTACGATTCAGCGGGTTCGTGCGAACCCGTTATTGGAATGAACGCGTTCTTGTTTTAGAGTTAAACAAATGCAACACCGTAGTTAACGATTACAATTACCATATTTCTCCGTGTATAATACGCACTTTCGGTTCCGAATTTCCTTTCCGAAATTAGGGGGTGCGTATTATACATTGGTGTAGAAAATTTTCAAAAAATCCTGATCGATATTTTACACGCAATATACGTAATATTACACGCAATATCACACGCCAAATACACATGTTTCCTTTCCGTCTTCTATTTATTTTATGTGACAAGGTCCGTAATAACCAGATCATGCTTGTTGCAGTAAAATCACACCCACAGAATGGACTATCTTGTCCAACAAAGGACAACGCATCTATTTCGATAACCAGTGTATATAAGTGATAAAAACATCACTTTAAATCGATAGTTTGATTGTTGTTGTCGGCCAGTCTGGCGTCCTCAATCCTGTTTTGCCGTATCGGCAAAACTGAATGTTCCTAAATCATTTTTTTCTCACTTTGATTGCGGCTTGTTTCATTTCTCTCGTTTTGACTAGTCGCGACTAGGGCTGGGCATTTCGAATCGAATATTCGAATCGAATCGAATAGTAAATTATTCGAATCGGTTCAGAGCTAAATTTCGAATCGCCGCCATCTTGTTTTTATCTTTCCGCTAATGGTCGAGGTGAAATCATATGACTATTTTCTGTAGTGAGTTATTGATAAAACGTGTTTATTATTCTGTGTGATCGCTCAGTAATCTATCTGAGTGATTTATTCTATGTCTTCAGTAATTCATTTGTTAAGAGAACCAATTACTATAATAAAGTCGCTTACAATTATATATTTCCAAGTATTCGAGATTCGATTCGAAAAAATTATTCGATTCGATTCTGAATACACAAGGTATTCGAAACTGTCCAGCCCTAGTCGCGAGTAATCGGCAAACCTAACGCTCACAAATCTTTTTTTCCTAACCATTTTCGAAATGCTCCAAGATAAGTAACAGCACGATAATTCAAAGCCGGGTAATAGCACTCCGAGATTAACAGACACAGACCAGTAGATGTCATAAACACTTGAAACATATTATTAAATTCACAGTGAAACTTGCTAGGCTGGTTTCTCAAAAATATCAAATGCGGTCGACGCAAGTGACCGAAGTGAGTGACTGAATTCGACCGTGCGTATTATGCATGGACCTTGGTATTTTCATACAGTTCACATCCTAAAAGAGCCCTGCATATTATACGTGGGTGCGTATTATACACAGAGAAATACGGTATATTTGGCGTTCCGTAGAACCTGTTGTTGGTTAGTCGATACAAGAGAAAACCCATTTTTAAATTTTGAAACCCAGCACTGATCAAGATTCAATAATATTTCAACTTCTTTCAAAGAATTTATTTCTCGTCGGTATTTTTCATCTAAATCTTTAGATGAAATATTTTCGGAGGTTGTTAATTGTCAAGTAATAAAAATATTACAAACGATTCCATAGGTGCTGTGAAGTTTCATTTGAAAAAATCATATTATTCGGGGTTAGTCACCGTGAAAATAAGATTTTTTAGTTTGAAGGACATTTAAACATCCCGTTTCCGTGGCCGAAACATGCTTTTGCTCAGTTCCAGAAACAAATCAAATGTGCTAATAAATAAATTTGAGTGTGCTAATAACCAATATTGTACTGTAGAACAGTTAACATTTTTCCTTTCGCACCCATTTGAAATCAACAACCGATTCTCGCACCCCCATTATAGATTAACTAAATATAATATAATTTCCACATGTAAATAGCTACATTGTTGCAGTGTTTCTCATTTTTTCGTGTACCTGACAGAAAAAAAAACGACGTAAAAAAAAATTATCAAATTTAAAAAATTGGATTCTCCCGAACGAAGTCCATTTTATCTGAGCGGGAAACGCCAAAAATCAAAGTCTTCCCGTGATAACCCACATTTTGTTGTTAAAAACCACTGGTGAAGTGGCCAAAGCGCAAGTTAATTATATGCGAATATTTTCTCGGAATGTGAGAAAAAAATTATGCCGTTGGTACATAGCGGAATAAGTGTATAATTGTGTATAAGCGTATACTTTTGTACTATTAAGCATGGATCGTTATTTTCAAAAATTTTGGAAAAAAATATTTAGTCAGCGGAGAAGCACTGGTAAATGAAAATTTCGTAGATACAAAATTGAATTAACCACCGCTCGGATTGTATAATTCAGAAAAACATACCATCAAAACATATCACCTAAATATACAATCAATTTTATGCTTTCAGCCTCATTTTTGGACACGTTTAGTGGCCATAACGATCGTTTCAATATTATGTTGTTGTTGTTCTTGTTCTTGTTCTTTGACACGTTTTTAAAAAATCGCTTTTCTCTCCGAATACTGGACCAATTGCTTTGAAATTTTCAGTGGTTAAAGATTAATTTCTTCGCTAGAAGGCTATTACTTTTATTTATTTCAAAATTTTGCATGAATTCTATGAAATTTGATATTTCGTCTAAAATTTTGCTGTATTATTTTTTATCCATGGGAACACGGATTTTAGTCAGTGTCATGACTGGCTGTACGTTTTGATTCTGCAAAATTCTTGCTACTGGAAATTCAGAACTTTTTTGAGGGTACCGGTAGCGTCAAAGGTACCGGTAAAGACTGATTCGCTCTGGTCTAACGTGTCCATATATTTGTGCGTAGCTCTCTTGTTCCTTTTCTATTTAAATTTTTGGTGTTTCTGGTGTAAGAAAACTAAGTTCGAATCTGTTAGGGATAACAAATTTGGTTATGTCCTTTCAGATATCGACCATAAGAAATTGATATTGGAAATTGGAACAACACATCTGCCATATGATCAACAATAATTTGAAAAATATATATCCTTCCCCTCGATTTTATAAAAAACACTCGATGAAGACACATAAAACATTAACAATTACTTTTGACAATAGAAAACGCGAAATAAGTAGGAATATTCAACAACTTATGATATATTATAAATTTGATGCATATAGACTCCTCCGTGTGTTGTATTATTTTGGGCAACAATGTCGAGAGTAGTTATCAAGTTGATTTTTTGTCATGTTTGTGAGAGAAAATTGCTATATCAAGCGTAATATCATTGTAAAGTATTGAACGGATTGTTTTGCAATTTGAAAGGTGCAAAATCAAGTTTCTAAAATATTGCACATCGCTGCACAACGAGATGGCATATTTGTTGATAAATACATAGCACTCAATATGTGTTGCTATTTAGATACAAATACTTGATATTGGCCGAGTTTGGACCTCGAAATAAGTCACTGCATAAATTTATACATAATTTGACCATGATAAAATGGATTCGTATGTATAGCAAGACATAAATAATGAATATTGCGCACTAAAAATATTTATAAAACACATTTCCATATAATTGTGTGTATGTTATAAAATTCAATGACCTACGCCTACGTTATTAATATTTCACGATTGTGCATTTGTAAAAAGTACCCTTCAGTTTTCAAAACTATATTGATTGACAATTCAGCCATTCAGGCAAGTTTATCTTATATGAGTGAAATATTTCATGCAACATAAGTTTTAGAATTACAGTAAATGCAATTCACTGGAATAAAATCGAACAAAATTCAGATCATTAGCACAAAGTCGTTCAAAAACTGTTGGACAAAATAATAGCAAACTCAAGTTCTTTTCAATTTTGAGGTGTGTCAAGTTGTCTGAAATATAACATCCGACGTGGAATAGAAATCGGACGTAAGGCCATGGTTTGTCGTATTGGTAAACTCACAAATAGTCTTCACTCCCTGGACTCGTGGCCACCATTGCAAAGAGGACTTCTGCTCACAATGACTACATTAATTTAAGGTATATGTGTTTTGCTGTGTTTTGTTTAAATCTCCGATTTTCGAAATCAAAATTTGGCCAGGATTTACTGGTTTGTTCATATTCTATAATTTTTATCGACACGCTCATAATGGAAATTTTTCGAATAAAACCCTTCACTACAACTAATATAGGTATAATTTTTTTTACCTAGCGTAGGCTACTTATCATTAAATAATTTACCTAGCGTAGGCTACTTATCATTAAATAATTTGTGGCTTGGCACAACCAATCATGATTATCCTGTTACAACTCCATAAATAAAAACATACCTGTTCTGCAATCCAGATAAAACTGGACATCGCACAAGATGCTCGTTATCGCAATTTTTTATTTTTTGATTCATTTGTGATATTTCCTTTTTTCTATTTCGGGCACATTAAACGTAGCAAAAAAACATTTTGCTCGCTTGTACTTAAACTTTATATATACACTGTAACATGGCGTTTTATTTTGTATTTTAACCGAGAACTGTTTTGCTCCTAACGTTGATTGTCATTTTTATTCATTGTACGTCTGGTTTCACAGTTACTATGCATGTTAAAAGACGTATTTTCAAATATGAATCAAGAAGCTTTCCTCATCTTGTCTGGTGAAATAATAAATCGGATAAAATACAATTGTAACTTCGCTGGATGTCCAACTCTCGAACTTGCTCAAGCCGACGGATAGAAGCGATGAAACTATCTGGTAGAAAGCTATGCACACCAACTTTTAGTAGGGATAACACAATTCGTAGGGTTGTTGAACGAAATGACTGCGAGAACCTGGGAACAACTTAGAACACCAGCGTTACATACCAATTTCAACAATGTATCCGTTGGATATTTCACTTCATCGCATTTATAGAAGGTAGTGCCAAAATGTATTAATTTAGGAAGATACAATAAGTGGGAATTTAGTACAATCTTTGTCTCTTTGAAAGTTGGTGGTACTGAAGAGGACTTGCGTCAAAAGTCCGGGATATAGAAATTAATAGAATTATTCAAAAGCCTAGTGCAGACATAGGCAAAGTACAACCCGCGGGCCAAATCCGGCCAGTTGGGTAATTCATTCTGGCCCGCCTGATGCTGCCACAACCAAACTGACACCAAATTTTATTGTTTTAGCTAAAAATATCTCAAGGAATCTGTTGAAATTGCGGTTAAATTAAGTTTTCGCATGAGGCATATTATAGTTTTCCATCATTGCTTTGTGGCGCTGTAAATATTGTTTATAAAATGTAACTTTTCATGTCACACTTAGATGGCCCGCCAGACTAATTGTTGGCCTCTGGTTCAAAAACCTCGCAGGGCTGGTGTGATACGGTATCAAACTACGGTGTCTGCGATCGATTATACTGTAGTCTTCAAAAATTCCCTCGTCTTGAAAACATTATGTTACGTTAAGCGTTGAAGATTTTAAACAATTCTATAAAATCAAATTCCCTTTAAATATATTTTTCGTAATAAACTACATTCGAAATAGACCGAAAGAAAGACAGATGGTGAGGTCTGATAGTAAAAGTATTGCAAACAGTCTATATCAAACAAACATTAAATTGGTGAATACTCCTTTTAATATGCGTCTGAATATTTATTTGCTATATGGTTCTAGAATAAAATGAGTAGCTATAATATACTGTATGGAAAACAATATAATATTTTCCTAATTGCATTATTTCGTTCAGAAGTCATTTGCAACAACAACAACATCTGAGCATTGAGAAATATTTAGAGGTGATGTCACGTTTAAATCAATCAAAGCATTCCTGATGTTAAGAAGATCTTTCGATGTCGGATATGGTGTTGGTGTATACACTTCGATCCACTGAATCCCTGAAAAATTCAATAATACGCTTCAATAAATACTGTATTTTAAAAATTAGTTGTGTTTAAATACTAGTATGAACGGATTTTAGCCAAACAGTTAATTAACAAAACCTATTCTTCATTCAATTTCAAAAATCATGTTGTATGCGAATTAAAAAGCTTATATGGTTCTTGCAGCAATTGATAAAAATGCAAAAATTACCTTGAAGAGTATTACAATTAATGCAAATGATATATGTTGAGTAATCGGTTGCAAACATGACCTCCATGATGCCATTTTCAAAAGATTCAACTGTAAGAAAAAACATAGTGATAATAGTCGAAAGTATTTGTTTACGGGGTAGAAATATTGAATCAATCAGATTATGAAATATCATATCAGTACGTTGCTAAAGTTTACAAGTTACTTTTTATTTTTTTTTACAGCAGGCGTCATACATCTCTTTTTCTATAAAACGGCTTTCATCCATAGCTTGAAACAGTTCTTAGCTTGTTTTAGTAAAATACCGTTTATTCGGTAACTTGTAAAATCCACAACTTTGAATATTTCACTAGAAATTCTGCTATTTAGCCATTTATTGTAGAATATCGCACAATTTGCGGTCACGTCACATGTATATAGTCAAAATAGTAGAATTATTAAGATATGAGCCTCCTGAAATATGCGCACCAAGATGGCGCACAACCTGAACTCATGTTGTGTACCAGGTTAGATTTCAGGTTATGCGACATCTTGGTACGCATACTTCAGCAGCACCCAAGATTTTTTCCTAGAGATATCTTTTTACAAGAATATTGTAAATTCTCATTGATGAGATTTGGCTACTTTGTGCATATTACCATGTCCACTTTAATCGAATTTTACAAAATAAACTATTTGCGGAAACCACATTTACCTGCAAGAATTCGTTCTCGCAAAAAAAAAAATATTTTCACAACTCAACGCAAAACTATATAACACAATATACAACGTTCGCAAAAAAGTTCGTGATGGAGCCACTTTATTTTTTGTTTTGAAAGTATCAAAATACCTTCTCCAGCAGCTACAATATCTTTAGTGTGATCATCAACACGAGATTCGGCATCTATTAATTCCGCGTCGCCCGTAATTATAGAAACACTTCGCCTGTAATTATAGAAACACTTTTAATTAGTATGATAATATTAAATCAGAGAGCGTTATAATAACTGTGAACTCACTAATTCCACGAAATGCTGCTGTTTTATCGGTTTCAAAAGCTGCGATCACGAATACTCTGTTCAGATCTGTATTTGGGGAAAGGAACCATTTTAATTTATATAGAATATGCTGTGTAACGTGTATCAAAATTTCAATTTTATCTTTCTAGCAAAATGGACAACAATATTACTCATGGTCTAATTAAAAAGAAATTACAGAAAAAGTAAATTTTGTTAATGCTCTACAGCAAGGCTGCCCAACACGCGACCCGCCGAACTGTTTTTTGCGGCCCGCCTTATAAAGTTTGTAAGCAGACTTTTCAATTTTTTACTATGTTATATATCAATTTATAGGCTTATGTATGTTTCGTGATTTTGATGTGATTATTCCTGCCACCTATCTAGATTCAAATGCTGGTTTTTATTAATACGCCAAGTCTTGTACCCTGGTGGACATCAACGTCAGTTTTTTTTTTTATTTCCCGCAAAACTGTACGTTCTGTTCGACGAACTTGAAAGATATTGTGTGATCATTGAGGACGAACGCTGAGCGCAATTATAAGAGTGAATTTGAAGGCCTAAATTTGCAAATTAATTTCATTCTGAGAGCTTTCGTGTCGGCTTTGATCGTCTTTATTGCCAACGTAATGTAAAAAGTCAACAATATCTTTGCTACTGGTCCCGGGACTCGTCCTTTCATGTTTGTATTTTTGTTTATACTATGTTTGCGTTAGATAAGATTTCGGAAATGTCGTCACTGCGTATCCGTCAATAATTTTGATGAAATTGAAATAATGGCATTACTACATATTAGTCACAAATTGGTATATATAGGATAGGCTATTCGTCCCGAAATCTTCGTAATGTTACTTCATCAAATATATACTTGTATTGGTCTTTCAAATTTTACATAACGGCCCATGCACTTAAACTCGATATTCCCGCGACATCGGTGCACATTATGCTCATTTAACTATTGAGGCAGTATCCTAGCTATACTGAAGGTGTATAAATGAAATTATAACGCAAATATAACATTCAATTTTGACGTGGAGTGTGTGTTCTCGTGTGGTCGTCAAAAAACCGCAAGCGTAATGATTGATTCAGCGACCCGCCAGTGTCATGTCCACGCCCCGTGTTACCAGATATTCGAATAGTAAACTGCTATTGTAATATTCGATTTGATATTCGAATAATTTGCCAGCTTTGCCCAATAACCAGAAAGCAATTATTAACTTGATTTATTGTATGTTAATAAACTTGCCTTTTATGTATTATGTATATTAACTACACCGAAATCAGGACCTATCTGGTATTAATGTTTGGTACAAACCTTTGCGGCCCGCAACGAATTTCGTCGCGTGAAAGTGGTCCGCGAGACGAGTTGGGCAGGCCGGCTCTACAGTCTACATTATGTAAATATAGGACTACTTCTATTTATCAGCACATTTGTTTTTTTGAGCATATACAGAAGAATATTTCTGATGCAAAAACATTAACTCACCCAGAATAATAAAAAATTTTCACATGGAATTTCACATCGCCTAGGAGAACATTTGTGATATTTTTTTTAACTTGATAGGATAGATAGGATAGAATTTACATAGATAGAATAGGATAGAATTTACATATTTATCCCGGGGGAAAGGAAAGCCGATAAGACGGCTGAATCATATGGCGAACCACGGCCTCTCGTCCGGTTACTAGTCCAGGTCGGGTATGGGATTAGTTAGCCAGTTATTTGATATAAATGGAAGATACCAGACTGAAGAAGGAATCTATCAAGAAAGGTTAAGATCTATCAAGAAAATCAATATAATTGGATCTTAATTGCAATTGGGATTCAATGTTTCCCAAAATTGCAGCACTCCATGTCGGAAGGCAAGTGACTTCATGATGACTTCTTGAGGTATTTAGTTTAGCATCTATATTATACTTGATACATTGCATCATTCAATGATCTACTTTTATGTGTTATAACTCTTTTCACCAAATACTCGAGTTCATAAATACTCACATGAGACCAGTCTACATCCTCTTTTGGTGTCAAACCACATTTGTCATAAATGAACGAGGTTGGATGACTAGAAGCATTTATGGCCACAGTAATGTACACTGTTACCGATAGGCTACAGAGCAACATAACTAATTTGCAGTTGGTACAACCGTCCTCCAGCAACATTTTTCGAATGATATTAGTTGATGTAAGCCAATCTATCGATACCAGATGAGATAGGGAATGGACGTTTTCCGAAGATACTGCATGATTTTTAATAGTTTTGTTTACAATCACAATCCGCTTCCACGTATTCGAATTTATCTTAACATTTTGTACTTTACAGTTGTGAAGTATTCGGTTTTTACAAAATGAAAAGGGCTTAATATCATTCGGAAATAAAATAAATTTATTAATGTAAACTGTTACAAAAAGGCTATATATCAACATAATTATTCTGTAGTTTATTCAAGCTTTCTCCAGCAACACTCTTTGAAATATGTCGGAAGATGTACGTGAATCTATAAATATCAGATGAAATAGAAAAGGACGTTTCCTCAAGATACTCGATTCTATAGTTTTGTTTGATTCAATTGCACATATCTCCAGTTCTACAATGAGGCAAACATTGGCCGGATTAAACAAAATAATGAAAATAACAAGGCTTTCAGCTGAGTTATACAGAAGTCTCCATTTTTATTTAAAAGATTGATTTAAAATTCATTTTATATCAAAAGAGAAACGATCGAATATATAACTACAAAGGGGAAATAATTAAGCGCAGTACTGGTAGCCTGCGGTGTCTACAAATACCTTGTGTTACTTGTCCCCTTTCAGGACACTTGTCCGACTTATCCCAATTGTCCCACTACTCCAACCGTTCCGCAGTTAGGATATATATATATCGTGAAACCTATGATTACAGTATTTGTCCGTTATCTTCAATTTCAATTTTCCAGTATTTATTATTTTCAACTCCAAATAGCAAATCAAATTACCCAGCAGCCGCAATCCACATTGGTAAGACCGCGAAAGTTGTGCATCCGTATCAGTAGCCTATATATCAGGGTCGTCCAACCCGCGGAAATATTTCGAGTGGCCCGCGCTGTATTTCCCGGAATTTATTTAAAAAAAAGTTGAGTATATTTATCATTCGAGTGATGTAATGTGCAAAGATGTGATACAAACGATTTGCTTATTTTCCTGAAATGCGCTCTGCCAGCCCTTTCAAGGTACCATAGTCCCTATGTACATATATAAAAACAATAGCACATACATAAAAGCGAGCTACTACAGCTAGCTTCAGATTGAAAATTCGTTGAGCAATGTATTTTTCGGGTTGTCAATGTTTCATGTCCGGAAATAAAAAAAGCGTTTGCAAAAATAGGCTTGTCAGGACAGACGTTTCTCGTCGGGTTGAAGAGCTTGGGAATTCTATAGCAGAAACTTTAATTGCAAAATCTGGAAAGTTTTCATTGTATTCACTGGCGGTTGACTAAAGCACTGACATAAAGTCTACTGTTAATCATGCGGGGAGTTGATGATAATTTTTAAATTGCCGAAGTCCATTGTCCCGATTAAGGGCACGACTCCAGGCATTGATTTGTGGGGAGCTGCTATGAAAATGACCAAGCGTCTTGGCTTGTCTTTGGCAAAACTTTCTGAAATAACCACTGACGGCGCCCCACCAATGGTTGGGTAACAACAGTTTTCTCGTTCTAATAATTGTCAAAGTTTAGCGTGGGGGTATTGCTTGTTTTTTCATTAACATTTAGTCAAAACTAAAACATAACTACCATGTTAACCGCGCACTTAATAGTAAACAAAATGTGGCCCTTCGGTAAAAAAGGTTGGACGACCCTGGTATATATAGTAGCCACCGAGATTTCTTTGACAAAAGGATTGGCGGACAAGAGTGGCGGACGTGGCCAAGTACGTTAGTATAAAAAGTGTGTAAAATGAACCTAGAAGTGTTCGGCTAAACTTTTGTGGAATATCCGGTCCCATAAGATTCGGAGTAATTTTGAAAAAGTAAAGGTACTAAGGTTTCCTTGTCGGCTGCTACTGTTGATCATCTGAGTTTTGAATCAATGTGTCTCAATAATTTCGCTCACGATGTCTTCTTTTCACGGTATTAATACAATAAGCTAATTGAAACCACGCTTCATTGATGAAGAATATGATGCATCAATAATCACGTTTTAGATCAATAATATGCATTACTCTTTCTAAATCGGAACATCAATGATGTGGCAGCAACACTCCATGCAGCGGCAATTCAGTGATTTGTCCAGGTGAAGTCCTCATTTAGATTTTATCTTGTTGTTCAGGTACTAGTAGGTCAAAAAAGACGCTTCACCACATTGATAATAATTTGATCACACGCTTTGTGATATCTCTCATCAATTTATGCGACGAATAGTTTTTACGACACATATAAAATTTTCAATTTGTCAACAGTGTGTTTGACATACATAGATTTTGAAGATAAAACTTTACTCAACTTGATTCATTAATTGTGATATTTTTTATGCCGAATATGACTGACATCGTTATCAATTAGTTTTGTTCAAAGAAAAAAGCAAATATATATGATTGAAAATTAATTAGCTTGAGAAATTCAACAAAATTTTCCACGGTATGACTGAGTTTTCCTATAAAATATATTCGTGTCAATTGCATACCGTGATTATAATTAACGATTTGCCGGTGCTTGACAATCTATATCTATGTCGTCGTTTCAATCATATTTGTTAAATTTATGAGCATTTATATTTTTTGTTTATTTATTTCAAAGCATAGTAAAATATTTAAAAATACTATTCTCCCGGAAATTATACTGATGCGTAGTAGTTTGTGATATGATGAGAAGAATATGAGTATCGGGCATAAGCATCGAATCCGTTGCGATCCATATTCCTTACTGTAACTTTTTTTAAATCTTCAATTTCAAAAGGCGTTAATTTTGTGAATGAATATAATGTATTTCTGAATTATATTTACCCCTTTTCATTCTGTAAAAACCTAAAACATTACAACTGTAAATTACACATAGAACCGTGTAGATATATACGAATACGTAGAAGAAGATTACAAACAAAACTATAGAAATCATGGAGTATCTATAGAAACGCCATTTCCTATCCTGTCTGATATCTATATGAATTGACTTACATCAGCCGATATAATTTTGAAAGTGTGCTGGGGGAAGGTTGTATACATTAAAAAATAATTATGTTGATATGCAGCCTATTTGTATTAGTGTATATAACTGTGGGTATAGATGCCCATAGTCAATCAATATCGTTCATTCAGGACAAATGTGGTTTGACACCAAAGAAGAATGTGGACTGGTCGCAGGCAGGTCGTTGTGTATTTAAGTCTTTGTGGCCTGAAGAGTTAAAACTGGTTATTGTCAATGTTCTGTTTGTAACAGAACCGGCTGGTAAATGTGGCTTTTGTTAAGGAACCGGCTGACAAAAAATTTGAATCCGCTGGCATAAAGTGTATTAAATATATAAGTTAAAATAATAAACTACTTCGAAAAAATAACGAAATACAGGGTGACTTAAAATACAGAACCCATCAATTTCTTAATTACTTCTTCGAAATTGGAGAAAATTTATCTAATTTTATTTACAAAATTTTTTGCTGAAACCACTAATCATCGACGTCGTTCAAATAATATCCAGCACTTCGCTAGCACCGTCAAATAATGTTTCATATTGACCGTTTGATATTCGTTTCCATATTCGTACGAAACATTTCATACGCAAATGGTTACACATGCCGCGCACTGGGTGTGGCGTTCCCTGTAAGATTTCCCGATGTGCCCATGTAAACAATATTTTTGCTATTGATATGCCCAGGTAGCAGAAAGTGCGCTTCAGCATAAAACCAATGAACCAACCCAGAAAAAAAAAGATAATTTTTCGCAGCGTTTACAAGTCTGGCTTCAGCATCATGAAGATTTAGATTGTATAACATATTCTAGAATCTAGAGCAATGGTTCTAAACCTTTTTTCATTCGTGGCACATTTTCGCTGCACAATAATTCTGTGACCCACTAACTTTTCATGCTGGGAAAAAACTTCACAAAAAACATTTTCTGCGAAAATTGACACTTTCACTTTAATAATAATTAGGTGACATCTACCACCCTGTAACAAAAAACAGCATCATCCGTTGCTACTACCATCAAATTCAACTAACTTTATCAGCAACACTAGCAATTTTTAATAGGTCTGTGGCCCACCTTGAAATGTTCCTGAGAACCAGTGTTCTAGAGAGAACATGACTTTTGTGCAAAGCGTCCTAGACTACTGTAACTTTCTGGTATATTCATACACAAACAAAAGTTCATGGGTGAACAATGTTTAATAAACTTACTTCGTACAAGTATGTGTTCTCGCTGCAAGATGGTGCCGCAATGCGTGCGCAGTCTCACAAGCATTGAAACTATGGAAATATGGTAATTCTGGGAGATCATAAAAATATATTTTAATTGATATTCGATAATATTTAACTTTGTTTTAATAGATTTCATCGTCAGATTGGTATCTTTCGTTCAAATCATCAGATGAAATATTTTCGAAAGTTGTCAATTGTCAAGTGGTAAAAAATATCACAAATGTCCTCGAAGGAGGTGTGAAATTCCATTTTAAGAACTATTATTATTCTGGGTGAGTTACTATGATAATGAGATTGTTTCAGACCACTGAGCCTTTTCTGTGAAGTTTCAACTGACCATTATCACTATAGGCATTTTGACATCGCATTCCCGCGGCAGCAACATTCTGTTATTAGGGCGCCAAAGCATATCGATTGTGCAGATAAATAAATTTTGAGGGTATCCTGTGAAGGATTGTGCGAAGCACATTAACAAAATTGGATGTTCACCTACTATTTCTTTTTGAGTAGATAATGAGAAACATTGTTTTAGGAAGCATAATATAAAATGAATCTAAAGCAGCTTCATAATTCTATTTTGACAATGCAGTCTATTACACGTTATTTATATTTTCAAACATAGATCTGAGCCTAAAGAATTCGGGGTCGCACTTTTCAAAACCAAGGAAACAGCAACATATCAAGGAATTCGTGAGTTCTCAGTTGTTAGACACTAACTGATTTATTAGTTGTAAATTGTAACTATTTCTATGAATACAGAAGACGCAGATCATAGAGAAGCCGACTCTCGAGTTTCTTCTCACGTCCATGACGCAGCAGCTGCGCAAGAAGGTATTGTGTTATTTTCAGAAGGAATTCTTCAGGATTTCACGGCGATTAAGTTTTACAAACTTATAGTTATCATGAGGCATTTCAGATAAGTACACAAATTATATACATGTTCGAAAGCAGCAGACAGGGGTAGCTGGCGAATGAGCTTTTTTCGTGAATACAGCCTTGCGTGGAAATAAGTATGTGATAATGTGGCATTGGGCCAACGGACGAGATAGTAGAATATTCGATTTATTAAAAAAGTAACTATGCACTGGAATACATTTTTAGCAAAAAAAGCAATATCTGATATCTAATAAACCAAGCAAGTCATTAGTCAACGAGGGCAGTTTTAAAAAATAACATTTTATAATCTGATTGATTCAATATTTCTATATAGTGTGATCAATTACTTCGATTGTGATCACTATGGTTGTAACACAACCGTTTGTATAATCCATGTGTGTACGGTTACAGTTGAATCTATTGAAAATGGCGACACGGAAATCATGGTTGCTACCGACTATTCAACGTACATCGTTTGTATTGATTGTAATATTTTTGAAGGTAATTTGTTTATGATTTGGAAATGGCAAGAAACGAATTAGCTTTTTATTCATACACAACCGTAAGTTTGTGAAAACGAGTAAGCATCTTTTTTTGTAAATTAACTGTTTCAAGTTACAGCAAATGCGTTAACTGATTTACTGAAATCAAAGTATAACTTTGAAATGTGGTTTTGAGTATTGTGCTGCCAGGTAAATCAGACAAGCACAAGAGAACAGCTGCCATAATCACTTATTGTTACGTAAAATGGTATCGCACTTATTATTGATTATTTCATACAAATATCAAACATGTCTTATTTTAAATTACAATGTCAATAAAAACATTGTTAATATCTTGCAGGGATCAAGTGGATCGGAGTGTATACACCAACACCATATCCATCAGCAAAAGACCTTATTGACATTAGGAATGCTTTGATTGATTTAAACGCCATTTCACCTCTAAATAAATCTCAATGCTCAGATGTTAAGGGTGCTTTCGACATCTCAACAAAATAATGCAACGACGCAAATATTACATTATATGACGGTTATTAGGACTTATAATTATCTACTCATTTTATTATAGAATAATGTAACAAATAAATATTCAGACGTAGTCTATAGTAGAATGTTTCTTTTAGAATAGTAACTTTGCTTTCGACAGGCCTGGGAAGCATTTTTTTTTTATCTTTTGTATAATCTGATGCGATCGCTTAATTGTGGAAGTGGAAATAAGTTGAGAGCCAACAAACGAAAGTCGATAACTCGGGAGAAGTAACAAAATATGTCGCAATACCACAGGAACGCCTATTAATGCGTTACATATTATGATTCGCTATATCCCAATCCGAAACATATTGAAAATAATTGCTTTTGGGTCACCGATTTTCAGTGGCGGCGCGTGGTCATTTTGACAACCGGGGCAATTTGTCATTTTGACAACCGGGCCTACTGCGGGACCAAGTCACCCCCATCTACGGGGACAGGATGAGCGCTGTAAGTTCTCCCATCATTTTATGAGTATAAAAACCATTCCATCGGTAACAACCAATCGGCAAAAGCGACAATTTTTAACGATAAGAAAGTGTCTTTAGAAACGGTCCAAGTCAAGGGATTAATAAATATAGACATAGTTTATTTTGAAACCTCTTTCAAAAGGAAAGGCAATATTTACCCAGATAAATACAATGACATATTAACAGATACTTCGGGAAAGCAGACAAAACCTAAAATAAGGTTTAAAACGTTACTATGAAGAAAGGAAAGTTAATGCAAAGATAAGGACATGCGTCGCTCACTCATAGATATATATGCTGCTAGACTTCTACTGCTTGAACATATATGCAACACGCCGCGGTTTCTTGGAAGCAAAATGCCCAATAACGCGCTGATTAAAGTCATGCATCCCAGAAGTAACGTCTCTGTGAATGGATAAAACAGCCAAGGAATTTAATATATCTTACTTCATTGTGTTTCTGAGATACGTTTTAATACGCTTCAGCGTGCTGAATGTTCGCTCTGCGTCGGCGGAAGAAATAGGCGTCGTCAAAATGATGTCCAGAAATTTTGCAGACGCCGCAAAGGTAGTTACTAGAGTGTTATCTATGAGGAACCCATGGAGCGCGCAAGTTGATGTGATGTTCAAAAAAGTTTTATTAGTGTATATACATCGCAATTCATTTTCCATTTTACCCACGTTTATCATGGGGTAAAATTTGGAGACAGTAGCCAACAAATGGATGGGAAATTGACGTGCAAATTTTGAAAAATTTTTGGGGTTCATCAAAGAGAACGCGGCAAGGTGTTCAGTGCGCAGACGATCGCCTATTTGATTCACCAGAATGTCACAGCATTTCTTTGCAGACAAAATCAAACGCTGCGTTGTTTGCCCGCGGCGTAAAGAAGCACTCCATGTGTCGTCGTATTTTATTGTTTCTTGGATACGAGATACAGCATCGCAGAAGTCTGAAATACACGACTGCACAGACGCTCCATCCATTAGCCTTGACTGCAATGCGCCGTATAATACATCCACGTGATAGAATATTATGGAGAAAAAAGCGAGAAAAAATGAAAACTCACCATCTTCTAGCAGACGCTTTAGACCCGCCGCCTCCCTCACAGAGCGTTCGTCCCAAACCGGAGAGCTCTGAATGCCATTGAAACACTCAATGAGCTCAGACCTAATTTCGGACACGCCCTGCACCACGCGTGATTGGAAGTTCCAACGTGTTGGTGCACAAGCTGGGAGACGGCGGCTACATATCTGGCGAAGGAGGTCAGAGCGCTTCGGCGAAACGGAAAAAAATGAAGAAAACCCCGAAACATTTGCAAAAAATATACGGACGAGAGGGGTATCAAGACACATATTTTCAATAACGAGGTTAAATTGGTGTGCATAACAATGTAAAAAATGCGCATGAGGAAAATCTTCTTTTATATAAACTTGAACACCATGTTTCGACCCACTCATGACTGCCGCGCCGTCATAAGTTTGAGCTATCAATTTTGACTTCGCGTTGTAAGGCTGTAACACTTCTTTCAGTACAGCCGATATCCCGCAAGCCGTGCGATCAACGATTGGTACAAAGCTGTGAAATCTCTCGGTAGGTTTACCATCTTTCACAAACCGAAAAATCACAGCCAGTTGGGAAACGCACGTGATGTCAGTTGTCTCGTCAGATTGAATCAAAAGGAACTGGCAATTCTCAATTTCCAGAGCCAAATGTTGTAAATAAATTTTATACATTGAGTCGAGCAAATCATTTTGGATATCCTTAGATGTCCCTTTCGAAACAGTTGCGGCATCAAGATGATCTCTCAATACTGTATCTAGGGATGCGGTGTATTCCACCATATCCAAAAATACCCCTCTATTAGAAGAGCCAGCCCGTTCATCGTGCCCACGGAAGGACAGCTCGTGACAACCAATGAACTTCAAAACATCTATCAATCGACCGAGAACATGGCGGTTTTTCTCGACGTTTTGGTTGTGCCGACGAACAGAAACCGCGCGTCCTTCATCCAACTGTGCTGCAATATTAACATTTCCGAATGTTCGGTATTTTACTGCATTGTCCAGATGCTCCATAGAAGATTGATGATCCCTGGCACGCTCGGAAAGATGTTTAAGATCTCTAAAACCAAATTTACACCAACGTGAGTCACGGGCGGTAGCAAAAAGTAGGCAATAAAACCAAAAAAGTGCATTTTTGTCCTCGCTGTAACACAATCATTCGTGTTTTTTATACCAAGTTTCTGCGCAGAATGTACGCCGACGCTTTCCTCCGTCATGGAATTGTTCCAGTGAACAATTTTTTGGTTGATAAGGCCCAAGACGTTGTACCTCTAATTTTTGTTCCAGCGGCAGCTGCGAAAACGGAGTGCGAAGTAGTGCATCAACCTTATTCATTATGAGGTCTAAGGCTAAGAAATGCAAAGCCGGAAAGAAGTGAGGAGCTCAAAAGGAATGTGGAAAATCGAAAGCAAATGGACTAAAGGTCTTTAACTGATTCAAATAGCGAAACAAGCGACAACAACGAAGGCGAGGAAACTATCAACTCTTCAAGCAACCAACGAACGAGAAGGAATGCGTGAATATGTCAACACGTTGTTGTAAGAAACATCGGCATTGTGTCGTCATAATTTCGGGGCTAGCCCCGATGATTTAGTAAAAGAAACAGAAAACAAACGAGACAAACGCGGCGAGTGGAAGATAAAAGAGAGAATACGATATACAATGAGCAACCGGGGCAAAATCGGCGTCGCCCCGTCGACGTTCGGCGAAGGCTTTGCGAGCGAAAAATGAACCATGTCGGGAGAATATGGCTAGTGTAGACAGTCTGTGCAACCGATATTGAGGTATTTTTCGAATATTTTTTATTATACCGAAAAAACAACCGGGGCATTGCCCCGGTTGGCCCTATTGACGCGCCGCCACTGCCGATTCTAATGCTCGTTCGATATAAATTGTTTAGAATAGCCTACTTTCCATATTTCAAAGACTTTGATTCTGTTCAATTATCTAGGAATTTTGGTTTACATAAAGTCGATCAAGTTTCTAAGTAATGAATTTTTAAGGAACACTGAGGGAAAAGTGTGCGTCCCATAGTAATCGGGGAAAAATTTGAAAAAAAGGAAAAAATTTAATAAAGTTGCTCTGGCTGCTGCTGTTGACCATCTTGGTTAGGGTCGTCCAACCCGTGGCCGGCCGGCCACATGTGGCACTCCGGAAGTTTTCGAGTGGCCCGCGCGGTATTATTCGAATCCCAATGTCTTTCACAAATCTGAGCTCTTATTGAAACCTCTAATGAAAAAGTTGTCGTCCAAACGCGCGAGAAGCACCATCTAGCTATCGAAAGCTTATTTTATGTCCATTTATGGTCGTTATTGCTAGTGAGACATGTTTGAATTTATTTTTATCGTCTGCCATGTATTTTAATCTGTTTTCCTGTCTTTTTTCTGTGAAGCTAGAGGAGGCAGTTTTATGACCTATATATTTGACAGCATTTACTTCTACGAGCAATTTTTTTCACGGATGAACCAAGTAAAATCCCCCGTGAGACACCAATTACTGCCATACTTCCCATTGAAATATTTATGTGTGGGTAAAACTCATTCGTAAACTGAATGTGGCCCTCCGTCCAAAAAGGTTGGACAATCCTGATCTAGGTTATGAACCTATGTGCTCCAATGATTTATGTTACATAAGCTGAGTGAGGCCATACTCCAATGGTGAAAAAGATGATGCATCCCGAAATAAGTTTGGGACCAATCATATTCACAACTCATTCGATATCGGTCATGAAGGTTAATAACAGTACTGGAAGCACCAGCCCAAATGTGGCAACAATACTCCATACAGCGGCGATTAAGTGAATTGTTCAAGGAAAGCCCTCATTTCAGTTTCCTCCCATTGTTCAGATACTATTACACTGAAAAAGGCCTCTCACTTCTTTGACTACAATCTGAACCACACTTTGTGATATCTCTCATCCAGTTATGCGAGAAATTGTTTTTACGACCCATAATATACATATAAAACTTATAATATGTCAACAGTATGTTTTACATATAAAAATTCCGACATAAAACGTTACTCAACTTGAGATATATGAACACTGACAGATTTTATCCCGATCGGTATTGACATCATTGTGAGTTAGTTTAGTTTAAAGAAATAAGTAAATGTATGTTATGGTTAAAATAAAATTAGCTTCGGGGATGCAACGAAATTTTCCACGGCGTGAAATAGCTTCCTTTGAATTATATCCGTGGCAATTGCATACCGTTATTATTTAAAAACTTGCCGAATGGTCGATTGTTCTCATTGAGTCTGTTTTTTACATTCATTTCAATACATTATCATTATTGCTGTTTAGATTAAGTTATATCTTGTATTGTTTGAAGAAGTTAGACCATGATCTTACGAAAGCTCACAAATATACTTACTATTTCGTTGAAAGAGATCATGTTATTTTTGCTTTTCACTTTAATACTATCTCGTTCAAGCATCTTTGTGGTGAGTGCCACATACGGAGCCGAAGTAGAAAGTAATCAAGGAGAATATCCAAGTTCCCCATTATCAAATAATTAAAATTTTCTTTTGTCATTACGTACGCTTTTTATTCCAACTTGCATGGTCGCATCAGTCATTTATGCTTCAAAGAGATCGTACTTACACTATCATTTGCGTATTGATCTCTTTGACTGGAATAAATCAATCTTTGGGAATAAATGCCGAGATGTCTGCATATCTCAGAGGAGGCAGTGTTTTGTTTAATCCGACTACTTTGTTTCATTGGGGAAGCGGAGATACGTGAAATTAAATCAAACAAAAGCCGTGCAGTCGGGATACACAATGAGACGTGTCGCCAATCTTTCGAAAAAAGGAACTGCCTATTCTCCCAATGCTACTAGGGACTATACTAAATCAAGCTCACTTGCCTTCGACCACCAGTCGTTTTACGAGGTTCAATTAATACACAGTGTACACAATACTTTCTTTATTTTCCACCAATCTATATTTGTGTTTCAGTCGATTTTAGAGGTGGGTTGTCACGAACATTTATATTGATGAATTTGATTTACATATTTTTTAGGATTAGGGCGTAGTTTACAAGGTGTAAAACCAAATCAGCAAAAATCAATCGCAGCCGTTCTAATGCTCGAAGAGCTTAGAGGGACCTTTGATTACGTAGGAAGGGAGGAGACCGCCATTCAAAACTTTGATTTACGGTATGTTTCTACGTAAAATAGGCTATACCATCATTTTCTAAAAAAAAAATTTGCGTTTGCATCTGCTTTCAGGTGATCAGGCGAAGTCGTGAAGACTTCGGTACCGCTAGTTCACTGTGAAAGATTGCATACCCACACTACTAGTTTTGATCTTATATATCTATTTGTTTGGGCATTGCTCTCTTGTTGGGCACGAAATGTTTTTTTCTTCTTGTTGTTGTTGTGAAAATGTAAAGCTAGATCAATTCGGGTACCGGTACTAGTAAGCTACTATGCTCTACAAATCCCGGTTCGTCCAAGATATTTTCTTAGGGGAAATTGTGAGTAAAATATTGCGTTTTTGCTTCCGTATCCACAAAATTGAGCATTACTCAAGTTTCTTGAACAACAAAATGAACATGTGGGTCATTTTGTTATGATTGGAAACAAAGTATGCATATGTACCCTATCGGTTTTTGCTTATTACGCTGTTGTTGTTGTTTTTGTTCATATTTTCATTTTTATTGATATAAATCGTCTTTTTCATCAATTACTGGAACAATTAATTTGAAATTTTTAGTGGTTTAAAGATCAAATTTTTCGCTAGAATGCTATTATATTTATCGATTTCAAAAATTTCTGTGACCTCCGTTTTGTGTGCGATGACGTCATTAAAATTAAAAATTACGTTTGTTGTGGCAGTTCCGCGTTCGCGGTCTGTTCAGGCGAAGTCGTGGTACCGGTAGTCTTGCTGTGACAGTTGGATTCAAATTTTTTGTCAGCCAGTTCCATCACAAAGGTCATATTTTCAGCCGGTTCTGTTACCAAAAGTCATATTTTTTTAGCAAATTAACTGATTATTTTTGATTACTTCATGATTAACATTTCAAAATATTTGTTAAGTAAGCATCATTATGTCAAAATTAGCATCAAAATTTTTGATGATGTTGAGGATTGTCTATATTGCTGTATATATGATATACTCGTTGATGATGAAAACCTGAAGATGTATGATCTACTGAAAACACATGCTTGGATGTTGATATTCTATAAAAAAAAAAACGCAATTCAATAGCAAAATTATCTTAACAGCCAGTGGTAAAATTTTTATTTTTTTGGAACAGGTTTTCTCACTCCAGGACTTGCTAACAACAGATTCTTTTACTATCACATTCTTTAAAACCAAACTATCTAACAATCTATTCTTGATATTAAAGTAGTTTTAAGAACAGGATGCAGCCCCAGGTTTCAGCAAATGGTGCAAACCGGCTCAATCCCATCACTGCTAACAGCCACACTAAATGGCAGCACGTCTCATGACTTGTACTTATGACATACCAATTCAATTTTCAGACAAATAATCACAAAAGGAAAATTACTACAATTATAAAAATTAACACAATGTACAACTGTTCCATGCGAATTTGATCATTTCACGTTTTGAAAAAAACATGTGAGCTACTTGATCTCAAAAGATCAGTGCGTCGGATAAAATGCAAAAAGTTATTGACAGTAATCAGTAATGCTAACCGGTTCGCTGATTTCAGGAAATTCCGTGAGACGGTTCTATAGAACCGGCTTAATCTCACCAATGTGTACACCCCGTAAGCTGTGAACAGAGAGTATTTTCTTTCAATGCAGGTGTATAGAAAGTATGTCCAACACTGCATATCAAACGAACATTGAAATGAGAATTGTGGTTCTAAATCGATTGTGCTCATGAGTTTCCAATTGTAGTATAGCTTGTCATAATAATATGTGAAGCAATAATAGGGGTTCTAGTGGTTGGCGACGGTTCCATTATCTTTATACCCACGTACATTTTCACCCATGAACAATTGCAGCCATACATTTGCACCCGCATATTTTAGCACTCACATATAGATTGCACACATAAACATTTGCACCCACGTGGGCCTACATTTTCACACCTGTACATTTGCAGCCACGGACTTTTGCACATGCGTACATTTGCACCCGCGTATATTTGCACCCGCGGATATATGCGATCACATACCTTTGCACCCATGTACATTTGCAATAATGAACATTTCACTATTAAACAAGTGTACATGGTTGCAAACGTTCATGGGTGCAAATGTACATGAGTTCAAATGTCCGCGGATGCATTTAATATGCGGGTGCTAAAATTTATGTGTGGAAATGTCCGTGGATGTAAAAGTATGCAGGTGTAAATGTCCTGGGTGCGGTTCATGGGTGCAAATGTGCTGTCACCGTTGGCAACATGTCGCATTGCGTATCCCGATTGATCACCTTTCGTTTGGATTCTTTAACGTATTTCCACTTCACAACAAAGCGATTTGACTAGATTAAACTCAAATTTAAAAAATGCTTTGTAGCTCCGAAGAAGTCACCGTTAATCTCATTCTAAATTACGTCTAAATAATATATTACTATATTGTCCTGTCCTATAATAAAATGAGTGGATATTTATAAGTCCTAATAATTGCCAGTCAACGTAATTTGCGTCGTTGCATTATTTTGTTGAGAAATCGGATACAACAACTAAATCTGAGCATTCAGAAAGGGAAAGATGCTGTGTCACGTTCAATTCAATCAAAGCGTTCTTAATGTCGAGAACGTCTTTAGCTGTCGGATATGGTGTTGATGTATATCCTGCGATCCACTGAATCCCTGCAATATTCAAGACTATGTTCTAATTAAAATTAAAAATAAGTATTGTATATTGAATATTTGTATGAATTCAAAAGACCAACAACATGTGCGATACGATTAATTTTGCTACGATATTTGATGCATGTCATTATGAATGAATATGCCAGTTGCTATCTTGTACTGTCTGATTTGGCTGGGATTAGAGGCTACTCGAAGTAATTCACCATCAAAAAAGATCCTTTACTCATTTTTATCAACTTGCAGTTATATACAAATTAAAAGATAATTTTTTTCCTACAATTTCAAAATTTTCAAAAATTACCTTTATGTATATCACACACAATACTAATGAAGTATGTTAAATAATCAGTTGCAAATATCATCTCCGCGTTGCCTTTTTCAATTGATTCAACTGCAAGAGTAAGCGCATAAATAATACAAATGGTTGTGTTACAAGCATAATGATCACAATCGCAGCAATTGTTTACACTTACATTAAATCAATCAGAAAATGAAATATCATTATATTTCTATCGATTATCAATGAGTTAGCTATTTGGTACTTTATACCCGAGTATCACACGTCGCGTCGCGGTTTTATTAACTAATAGGTTTACATAGACAGTGTTGAGTTTTTTTATAAAAAAAAATATTTTTATGTCTATGGATCATTTTAATTTGATCGTGCAAAAATATACGAACAATCGTCAACACATCACTGTGTGCTTATTCGACCTCCGGGAGAGTTAGTTGGGGTTTACTTCACTAAAGTGCGTTAAATAGTACTGGGCGAAAACACGCGAAGATATTATGGCCCACTAATCCTTATACTCACAAATGTTAGCGCATTTGACAGCTACACTTGCCCACGGCTTGTAGACCTTACCTCATGAACCTAAATGGGATTCACCATGTTAAACGCGAGTTGGTAATTAAAGCCTCATCGCTGTTTAAATTTTGACGTAGCTTGTTTTCTTCTGAGAATAACACTATACCTTCTTCCTTAGCTGCTTTATTTCGAAGGTGACAAGAAACTTGAGAGTCGGCTTCTATAAATTTCTCGTCTTCTGCAATTATAAAAATATTTATAATTAGCACGATAATAATAAAAAAATAAGACGTACAACAAATGCGAACTCACGTATTCCTCGATATGCTGCTGTTCCTCCGGTTTTAAAAGCTGCAACCACGAATTCCTTAGGCTGGGATCTGTATTTTTGAATAAAAATAATCAGAATTTTGGTGTAATATGCTGTGTATCAAAATATAATTTCAAGGCTGCTTCCTTGAAATCCTAATTTTATCTCATTGTATTCCTCATTATCCAATTGAAAAGCCATTGCAGCTATATTTCACCAAATATTGTAAAAGATTTATACTATTTGCTAAAAGCACGCTTAAATCTATTTTTCAGCAGCACATTTGATTTGCTTTCGCACCTTGACAAAAGAATGCAAAATCGAAATGTTCATTTAAACTGAATAAAGAATCCCATTTTCACAGTAACTCACCCAGAATAATAGTAGTTCTTTAAATGGAATTTCACACTGCCTTCGAGGTCATTTGTGATATTTTTTATCACCTGACAACTGACAACTTTCGACGATATTGCATCTGGAGATTTGAATGAAAGATACCATACTATACCTGAAGAAGAAATCTGTTAAAACAAAGTCAAATAATTATATATATGATCTTAATTGCGATTGTGTTTACGGTTTTTCTCAAAATTATTGTAGGCTCATTGACTCTGAGTACAAATCGCAGCACCTTATGTTGAAGAGCGAGTTATTTCGTAATTTAATTATTAAAGTATTCTGCTGGATTGGCATTGAGATTTTGGGTATATATTGCTTTATTCGAAGTCTTACGTTTCATGTTTTAACTCTTAGGCTTGAAACAATATAATTAAATACTGAATACTTGCCTGAGACCAGTCTACATTCTCCTTTGGTGTCAAACCACATTTATCGTAAATGAACGAGCTTGGATGACCATCTATACCGACAGCGATGTACACTGTTACCAACAGACTATGTATCAACATAGCTATTTTAGGCTTTACACAACCTTCTCACAGCAACGCTCTGAAGTTATACCCGCCGATGTAAGACTATCAGACGAGATAGGAAATAACAACAACGCTTTTGAAGTTATATCCGCCGATGTAAGACTATCAGACAAGATAGGAAATAACGTTTTTAGGATACTTCCTATAGCTTTGTTAACAATACTCTTTCTCACGTATTCGAATATATTTTCACGTTTGCTGTGTGCATACCTAGGGGAATACTATTTTGAAGGTTTTATTCTTCTTAAAAATGGATAACAAAAAAGAGAAATGCTCATAAAATTAACAAAAACGAAATAAAAAACTGACAACATTCGGCAAATTATTATCATAATGACGGTAAGCAACTGGCATTGACATATTTTAAAGAAGAACTCAGTCACAGCTTGAGGAAATCTGTCGTATTTCTGAAGCTAATGTTATTTTAACCAGCTTGTGTTCCCACGACTGTTCTTTACCTCAACAACTGCTTTCAAAAAAGTTGTGAATATGATTGGTACGTAACTAGATTTGAACTTGCATCGCCTTTCTTATCAACAAAGTGTGACTCCACTTATAGATACTAGATACTAAAACAGATAGCATCGAAAGTAAAAACATTGAGGCATAATGGCTGAAAATTTAGGAAGTTGTCAAGTCAAATTTCGATTGTCTGTTTAGGCAGCATGGATTTTATGTTAAATGCATTATTGACCGTCCAATTTTTGAACAAATGTTCTGCAATGTTTTCGCTTTTGTTGAAAGCCTGAGTACAATCTGTTCTTTCGGTGCCATTTCTGTTATATTTTGTCGAAGATCCGTCATAAATTCACGTTTTTTAGAAGTTACCTGTAATTAGAAAGTACAACTGAAATATGTTCGATCATTTGGACCTGGATAGTTTTGCGGGATTAAAGCTATTGTTGAAACAATATATGTCTTTTTATTTACCTCACCCGGAGTTATATTTTATAATCTTACTACTTTTGAATATACCTTGTATATATTTTGAAACAAAAGGCAGCATTTTCGAAAAATAATCTTAATGCAAAATAGAAAAATAAAATTGGTCATTTTTTTGAGTCGTCAAACTTGCAAAAATTGAATTACTTCAGTTAGAGTTATGCCTTTTTTATCGGTCTCAATGCTATTTTCATAATCATAATAAAAATCCAAAGCAGCGCAATTAATTCTTGTGAAAACATTGTTAAAATTTGTGTAATTGACGCTCTTAATGCAAAATAAAATATTAAATTGATCAATTTGATTTGTCAAACTTTAAATTTTAATTACTTTAGTTAGAGTTATGCCCTTTTTATCGGTCTCAATACCGAAATGGCGGCTTTTGAGAATGCGCCATCTAGTGGGTATCGCAACAAGCTCTTCCCACTACTGAAGTGCTGTACGAGCCGTCGGCAGCTCGATATTGCAACAATGGGTTCATTTGTTAGACTTAGAGCATTGCATTTTTGTAGTACATTTGATTGTAACATGATTGGTTTACTTTAAAATTTGATTATCAACTACACATGGGACAACAAATCCCTGCCCATCGCATTGTTTTACAATTGTTCAACTGTCTATATCAGCGTTTCTCAACCTTTTTTTGTCCGCGGACTATTTTCTCATCGGCGAAAACCTTTGCGGACTCAAGGTGCGTTTTTGCAACCGCACTTTGTGAGAAGAAGCGATAAAACCAAACACAACAGAATTTAACAAATTTCAAAATTGGAAATTTGCGCAATTACGCGTTCGTTAAAAAAGCCAACTTTTTGTGTATAATGGTCTTTTCTGTCGCACAATATTCAATCAATGACAACGACGACAATTTAAATGTCTTTCTATTTTAATTTAATTGTGTTCATGGTAATTCGCGGTTGTGTCGACTTACAACAAGATGAAAGCATTACCTCTTCAAAATGCCACGGCAATCTGTGAACATAATAATGTGAAAATATATTGCCCCATTACATATATTTAGTTTTAATACATATTTTTTGCGATCTTGCGAATTTGTAATCGTCGTTAGAAAAAGCGTACTATCTGCTATAAATTGCCAGAAAGTACAACTTGATTTAGTACTTATTAAAAATATATTTAAAGTATATTAGTAAATCAAAAATCATTAGTAAATCAAAAATCATTTTAATCTGCGGTTGTGTTGACAAAATGAAAGCAATACTTCTCAGAAAATATCATGACAATCTGTGGACACATAAATGCGTGACCCGAATATATTTTGTTTTAATTCGTATTTTTGTGAATTCGATAAATCTGAGCTGTTGGTACAACACTTACGGCGCTGATAGCGTTCTCCGTTTTATTTTTAGTATTGCCGCTTTTCAATTTAGAAAATTTGGATTTCCACCATTGACATCCACCACAAAAAAAATTATTTCTTGTTGTTCGAACTCGCAAGAAACACCACTTTGGGTATTTATCAAAGCGTGTGCAGACTCGTGTTTTCGTCGGAAATCCGCAAGTCTGATTAAGCGACGCGCAAGTGACCTGTCGTGTCACCTGTTACCAAATTTTCAAATGGTAAATTGCTATTCTAATAGTTGAATATATGCTCAGCTCTACTCAGTATCCAGCAATTATTAGCTCGAATAATGTTATTTGAATAAATTTTAGGTGTTATGTAAATTCTAACGTAAAATCGTAATTTGGCTGATAGTTAAGTTACGCGAAAGAGTTTGCTGCCCGCAGTGAATTTCTGGCTCGTTGCGGACTCATTCAAATGCTCCGCGGACTCATTTGAGACCGCGGACTCGGGTTGGGAAACACTGGTCTATATAATGTTGTCGAATATAAATATTATGTGCTATTTCTGTTTGAGTAAAGAGTATGGTTTTTGCCTTTCGTAATCATGACTCTTCAAAACAAACTCAATTGAGCTGTTTCTATCACACTGTCATCGACAGTACTATGCCTCGTTTTGTGCAACCTCGAATTTTAAAAATACGCCTCCAAAAATACGCTAGGCATAGTGAAAAGTGTTATTGTGATACAAAAATATAGTACAACCTTGTTTCTAATTCCAAATGGTGATTATAGAGGTATTGTGTAATGGCATTATTACTTTATACTTTTCTGATATATAAATATAATAAACAATTGTAGATCACAATTTCCCAAATCGTGCCGCGATACAAAATTGCCAAAGAAAGGACTTCGATTTTTATTGAAATGGAAAAATACATGCACCGTACAAAAATTAATATTTATTTTTGGAATGAGTTATCGAAACCTTTATCTAACATCATATGTCTTAATCCGATTGGTATTTCCCAGCTTTAACCTATTTTATTGCCGTGTGCTTAGTCACTGCATAACAAGAGTTTGAACACTTCAGATTGGCATCTACCGTTCCCCGAGGCGAATAGGAATTGCTACAATTTATGATGAGAACGTTGTTTTGCTATTGTATTTAGAACACATGACATTTTTCATGATGCGTTATTTTTCTACCTCGCTCGAGGCGATTCTCAAAAACACCACAAAACGTACTGTTTCTTATTATTCAGTCAGCCATTACTCTCGCTATTTTTCAATCGACTTCGGCGTTCTATACAGATTACATTAAGTACCGTCAGCATGTCACTGGCAGAAAGAATAGGAATAGCGGTATTTGCCGTATTTCTATTTGGAAAATGCGGTGCTTTTATTGAGACAACTATGTCCAATGAGTACATGATTTGCAGACCTGTTGCAGGTGTGTTTGGAACCTTGGGCGATGGAAAAAATAGTTCAGAAAAGGGAATCATGCCTGTTTTGCAGGGACCGGAAGGATCTCCAGGTCCACCAGGAAAAACAGGACTTCCGGGTCCAAGAGGAGAACCAAATTATCAAAAAGTTTCCACAATTGTTGGAGACAAAATGCACTCGATTAATGGTAAATAATTTAAATGTTTTTGTGGTATTGTGAAGCTTACCAACAATCGTGACTACGAATATTTACAGGTCGGCTCACAGGGAAGTAATGAAATAAATTAACTTTTCGGTATTGAAATTCATTATATGAAAAAAGCTATCATATCCACGTACTAACGAAATCATTTTTGAGTAACCGTACTGAACTGATATTTACAATATATTTTTCACTTTTTAGCTCGACTATTCAAACTTGAATCCGAACTCGCAAGCTTAAAAGGTAAACGCAATTAAAGAATATATATTTAATATGAACGATATACATATTCAATTGAACGGCTTATTATAATAATTGAAAAATACGCATGTTATATGACACCGGCTAGGATCAATATCTTTGTTTAATAGTTCTCATTTCATGCAAAAAGAAGTAATAATCTCTTTTCCGTCTTGAAACTATACGAATTTTAGAAATTCCCGCATATTTACACATTTTTATATATGTAAACATTTTTTATTTAATGTAAACTTATAAATATATATATTTAAATTTCAGCCAGTGGTGGTGGCGGCGGAGGCGGAGGCGGAGGTAGTTCTGGAGGCTATGTTCCACCCACACAATCGCCAGAAGATATAAAAAATGGTAACATTTTTGATTTTCCCTTTTTTTAATATAAATTTTTGGTCTATTGTGAATACGGAAAACACGTCATTAGGAATTAGTCTAATTCATTTTATCAAATAAGCCACAAGACCTCTATGACAGTAGTTGATTTGCAAGCAAATCTCAAACATAACAACGTTGCGAGGAATTCTGTCAAACTTTTCATTTCGTTTCAATCATGTCATGGGACTGAACAATTGTATAATAATCAACTGCGCACACTTCACTAGTTTCCATTATTGTTCAACAATAGCACGATGGTTTACACTTTACAATAATAGACAACAATAACTTATGCTACAATATTGAACTTTTTCAAATGCCCAATCCAAAATCCCATCACTCAATTTTAAAACTATTAGTAATTAACGTGTAAATTTCTCATAGCCAAAGATTGCATGGATAAATACAAAAGTCCGATCAACATAGGCACAATGTGCTATAACATAATTGGCGGTGAAGGGTTGTTGTGGACATTTACAGCGGCCGAGGTGAGTGTAATAAATGAGTACATCGATAACTCTACTTATGTATCTGAGTGTTAGAAGGCAATAGGACAGATATCCTGTTTGTACATTGTTCATTTATTCCATTTTTGTTTGTTTTAGTCAAATTGCTCAAAACTTGGAGGATATTTAGCCGATCTAAATTCTCGTGAAGTGTATGACAAAATATACAACTACATCGATCAAACCTACAGCACAGTGGTGCAGGCCTGGACTGGTATGCGATACGAGGTAAGATATTTCAATTAAAAATGCGTATACGTAGTTCAAAGTTCAATTGTGCGTTGAACTGTGTAATAAGTCATCTGAATCCATCACGTTTGACGAAAAGAGCGATTGTAACTCGAGTTATTTTCAGTTTGGCGATGTTGTTTAACTCAATCACTGTCAAATGCTGAGAAAGCTCAAACGAATAAAGAAAGTGTGTGACATGCTCCATAAATTTTCGTTGTTAAACTGCATTGTTCACACATACAAATACTTCGGCACAAACAGATAGATAGAGAGAAAGATAACTACACTGAAAAATACAGCAATGCGGGATAATTCAATCCAGCTAGTTGTTGGCATGAGAATGCTAAATTTGATAGATCCTTTCATGAAGTTCTATAATTTGTTTATTCGCGATAAATGGAAATTATTTGGACAACTACTGGGAAATAGAAAAAAAAATGACTAAAATTGAAAAAAAAAATATTTAAATCAGCTCTCGTTCCATTTATTGCAGGATAACAAATTATTACTTCGTGATGGGAAAGAAGCGGTTTACGCTAAGTGGTCGTCCGGTTATCCGCGACAATCAACTACTTCGTACTACGCATCATACCAGAAGGTCTACATATATATGGACACCTCAGCCTACATTAGACGATTGTCCAACACTCGCAGCAGCACCAAAAGAGCATACGCCATTTGCAGTTATGATCTAAAAGGCAACTCCACAACTTCTGCAACTCCCACAACAACAGGATAGAATATAACGTGACTGGTGTGCTGTTCCATTTGAATTTTGAAATGCTCTATAAAACTAGCGAAAAACGGCGCTTACAAGAGTTTGCTTTCTATTAAAGAAAACAAAACTGAAGGTTTTCAAATTGTTGTTTAATATGCTGCTTAATTTTTGCTTCTTTTTTCGTCTTATATTTGCTGTAACAATTGATGAGAATAAAAATATAACTGGTATTTATATGCTTTGTATCAGTGCATTAGGCAAGATTTTACAGTAATTCAAATGCATAGCGTAAAAATGAGATACAATACACAACGCCGCAAATTAAGCACGGTTTAGTCAAATTAAAATCTAGTGAAGCATTTTCCCTAATATGAAGATATTCAACGAGGCTGAAAATCTATGAAATCCGGCATCCGGTGATTAAATAACGAGAGAGCAATGCCCAAATATGGACGAAACGGAGAAGTACGGGTATCAAATTTTGTACACTACCTGTACTGTAGTCCTCCCGACTTCGACTGGTGACCAGAGCGCAACAATCGCGAACGCGGAACAATGTGCGCAATTTTTAATTTTGTGACGTCATCACACAAAAACAAACCGACCCCATGGAACCCAAGGAGTTTCTGAAACAAATAAAAGTAATATCTGTCTAGCTGAAACATTAATCTTCAACCACCGAAAATAAATGTCAAAGCAATAACTAAAATACTAACAGCAAAACAATACCAACAAAGAGACTTATAGGTCCACGTTGTGTCTAATACTAATGATTCGAATATGTATTTTCGTTTGGCAGAATAACAACCTCATCAAAACTGATGGCAAACAAGCTAAATTCTCGAAGTGGATGACCTACAATCCTCGCAAGTCCGGAACTTCGTTTTACAGATCATACACATACATCTTAGCCAGGATTGACACCAGTTCCCGCGTGAATCGCAAACTTTCCTACGCAATTTGTCATTTTGATATATCTGGAGCTGTAACCACGAGAAGAATCATAACAGAAACTACACGAAAAACTCGTCGTCCATACACGCGCATATCATACGGCCCCGTTCGACCACTTAATATCGGAGATGATTACTACTGACTTCAGCGAAATCTTTCATATCAAAGTTGCTCAAAATTTAATTTCCATTTTGAAGGCATGCTTGTAACATTTCATATATGTGGTTACTTGCTGCGGTACAATTTACAGATTTAATTGCATACGTATTCTAATCAATCTCACTACACTAATTAATCAACATTTTATTAACGAACAAATTGATAGAGTATTCATATTTAGTCTAATTTTTCTCATAAATCGTAAAGTAGGCTATATAATTCACGTTTCTAATTCAAAATTGAATGATGACTTTGTGATAGAAAGCACTAAAAATGTATATTATAGTTCCTGAAATTCTCCACCTCTTTCGAAACGATCCTCTCCAGCACTAATGTATATATATAAAAGAACGGAACGTCGCGATTCGCCCAATCTAGAATGCAAATTGCAAGTTCAGATGGTAAATAGGGATAATATATATATGAGCAATATATTAACACGTATCAAGTTAGATTATTGGGGACGCTTCTGCAGTTATTTGGGCCATCGTTTATTTGCCAAGCAAGTGAGTGATTACGCTTGTCTATTAACTTGAACCTGGGTGATGCTCAGATATATTCCATTAAACGGACTACTATAAATCTTGTCTTTGGCATGCGTTATCATAAGAAATTCGACTTATTATGTTTTTATTTAATTTTCACAGCGCAGCAGACTTCTTAAAACAGATGGTACAGAGCCAATATTTGCCAAATGGATGTCTTACAATCCTCGTAAGTCGACAAGTTCATTCTCATCGTATTATAGAACATATACGTACGTGCTTGCTAATATCGATACAAGTTCGCGTATTAATGGACTTCAGAACGTACCGGGTACCCGGAAATTGGCATACGCTATTTGCCATTTTGACACATCTGGAGCTGCAACTACAAGGAGAAGCACCACGACACAGAAAACGACAAAGACCATGCCCTATGCAAACAGGCGTTACCACTACCGCCCAGGTCTCGGGAATGATTATTACTGAAGAGAGTTATTTTAAAAACTAAAACATTTAACGTTTCAAACTTACTGCAGTTTGTGTTATCGACATTGATTTGGACACATTCATCCGATATTTAGATTTTGTTTTACGTAACCTCTGTTGCTGGAGGCTAATTGTGTCTATTATTGAATTTAATCAAAAGACACATAATGCAGCACAGATATTTCTGCTCTCGTGACGTTGTAGGACAACGTAAACGTCGTGAACTCAATGAGGTGACAATATGGTGATTTTTTTTTATTAATAATTGTGTCATTTGCACCTTCTCTATAGAAATTTCGTTCTGAAAATTATTGATTGATTTACACCAAGTTTGTTTCATGTATGGAAAGACAAATCAAGTATATAGTCCTGGTTAATCTTACATCGAGATGCTAAAACTATGTAAAAATGAAAATGCGAACTGCAAAGTTACTCCGAACATGCAGATTCTATTCGTTGTAATGAGATTTTAAAAAATGTCCTAGATTGCAAATTTCACACATTTTATAGTTATGTTATTTGCCGCTTCGTTGAATTTGGACACTTGCATATGAACACAGTTTAAGTTATTTTATGCAATTCAAGCGAATTAGAAACCTTTGGGCACTATTTTAACGCCATGAGCGGACGTTTGCTATCTATCAATTACTCGATGCTTGCTTTAAAAGGTCATTCGGATTGAAAGGATGAATAATGGTTGTTCGGTATAGATTAGGTAAATAATGATGCTATCAAGTTCATTTTGTACGTGACATTCCTTCTATCGAGTCCTGACTTGCTTGAAATATCATGCCATGAAAATGAATTAATTGAAGGTTTGAATTAGGCACAAAATTCCAGGTAGGTTCATCAACTAGGTCTCATTCCTAATTTATTGGGAATAACACCTATGCATTTCAAGCAAGATTTATTAAAGAAGATGAAGATTTTTCACCTCCATCGACTTGTGACATAACCCTAACCTGGTAGACATACTACCTTCCGGTGTCCGCCATCTTGGTTCACATATTACGGGAGTACCAAATTATGTGATAGGTTTCAAACAAATTAGAGACGGTGGTTGTAGACCTATACTCCATCGATGACATCATCTTAAATCATACCTTAGCTAAAGGTCCTTCGCAATTAAATCAATCCTTCGCAATTAAATTTTGAAGCGTTAGAGTGAAACAGTTCACTTGACTCAGTCTTTATAAGGCGTAATGTAAAATATCTATCTTGCTAAAAACTTCTGGTGGGAAAGTGAGACTTTACTTTGTGGCGTAATACTTTGTCGAACTTTATTTCATACTCCTAATGTACAAAGATATTCGTAATTACATTAAATGGTCAAAGCTTTCAGAACATGTGCTGGTACAAGAAAACAGGATATCATAGAATCAGATTCCAGTCCAGATGGCCCAATTGCTTCCTCTGGTAACGGTACGCTAGGAGCCCAGTTATGCTTGGTCTGTACACGGTATTCTGGACTTCTAGTGTCTTTAATGCCCTTTTTACAAAATGGTATTCAAACAGTATTCAAGCCTCTGGTATTTTCAGCCTAACCTAGAGTTTATTTCAAAACAACAATAAAGATAGAGTGGAGCCATTCGAAATTTTGATGGTATTTCAAGCGGCTTTCTCCGAGTATTCACCTTTGATTATATATATATGTATATTTAGCTAGAGTAATAATAATAGTCTGAATCATAGTCGTCGTAACTACTGGTAGTTGTCTTCTGCGTGGTCGTACTTCTTCGAGTGGTGGCGGCATTTGACATGTCATAGTGGCAGATAGCGTATGCCAGCTTTTTACTAGCAGGTGTGTTTTGTAATCCCATTATTCGTGAACTTGTATCTATGTTGACGTACACATATGTATAACTACTGTAATAAGTTGAGTACGAAGTTGAAGACTTTCGAGGATTATAGGCCATCCACTTGACGAACCCAGCTTGTTTTCCGTCTGTTTGTATCAAATTTTCCTTCTAGAAATGATAATTGAAATAAAGATGAAATACCAATTCTACGGATAAAGCTTATAAACAAACGGTTTTCATTTAGTAAACTCTGTTGTTTTATAAAAAACACACGGTGCCCGTGTGTAAGTTCATATGATAGCTCTGAAGATTAATAGCTATAAATCGTAAGTATTCCTGCTTACCTCATACCGCATTCCAGTCCATGCCTGCACTACAGTACTGAATGTTCTATCGATGTAATCATATACTTTATCATATAGTGATCGAGCGTTCAAATCGGCTAGATATCCTCCAAGTTTTGTGCAGTTCGACTGACAAAATAAAAAGAAAAAACAGTTAGATTGACATTTTAATTGTTTTTGGTGTACTTATGCAATCTCTACGAACCTGAAGTAACTATACTGCATTTAAATGGAATCAGAGTTTCATGTTCGAACTTCGAATTATTACTTTAAACATTGTCTGCACGAGGTTTTATAAAATCCAGTCATTTGAAATGCAGGAAATGAAATAAATCAAGACCTAAAAAGTCCTTTCAGGCCTTTCTCATCATGATTATTCGCGACGTCGTTGCCAAATCTGATTATTTTAAAGACTGATTTAGTCAAATGACTAGATAGAACTATTGGATGTCGTTTTGAGATTGTGCTTATATTATAAAGTTTAGACAAATTTATACTTCTGCATCTTTGAATGTCCATTGAAGCCCGTCTCCTCCGATAATGCTGTAGCACATTGTGTCAATGTTTAAAGGACTTTTGAATTTATCCATGCAATCTTTAGCTGTAAACACATCATGCTTCGATTGAAAATATAAACACAATAATATTGATATTAGCCCATTTTAATACTGACATGTATTCTAATTAACGAAACTAACAAACGAATAAATTGTGAAATTTACAGCAAAATTTAAATACCATTTTTCGCTTCTTCTGGAGAGAGAGTCGGTGCCACAATTCCTGTTGTTGAGCCTCCACTAAAACCATTAGCTGAAAATTAAATTTACTCAGTCATATCCGTATTTACCCATTCTATATATATAAATATTGAAGGCTAGAAAAATCACTCATATGAGTAATCTCGAATCAGTTTCAATTTCAATAGTTTCAAAACTTTTTAAATTGGATATAAGCACCTTAGGTGTCGCTGCTTGATAACCAGCTTTTGTTATCCATGGCTTTCCTTCCCCACTATAAAACTGTGTATTTATCATTTTCTCGTAATTTGTGTTCGGGTAACTATTTACTGGTTGCAAGAAAAAATAAACTTGACTTGACTCATAAAGTGAATCGATCTAATTGCTTCACCACGCTAACATTGTAGGGAATATACATTGGTGCTTGTGAAACATCGACGATTCAAAAAATATGTTCAACGATTAAACATGAACCTATCTATATACAGACCTTTGAGTTGCTGTATTTCTGACTCTAATCTGAAGACACGTGCTGAAAATAAAATGACGAATGATGAATTTTTTTTATTCATATTGTTCATTAATCCAGTTACGACCCATCTTTTTACAAAATCATGACATCTAGATTACATTAACAGCCTATATTGATTTTATATATGCAATATAAAGAATCTGTCAGGTTACTTGCAATACCCACGAACCATCTCCCACGTCTTACAAATGTTCTACACGATACCCGCAACACATTCATTAATTCTCTATTTATAGCTATATACTTGCTCCAAGAAGTTATCAAATAACAAGCTTACTATAATTACCCTGCTGCATGAAAATGACATTAAACACATAACCCATAACCATTTTGAATGCAAAATTTATTACCCTGTATTGTTTGCAATTTATTTTCCACCATGCTTGTAACCTTATCATAATTCGGCTCTCCTCTAGGACCCGGAAGCCCAGATTTTCCTGCTGGGCCACGAGCACCGCCCGGTCCTTGTAAAACAGGCCTATCATCATTTCCACCGTTTTCACTGGCAACTGTGCCAAATACGCCGGTTACGGAAGTGCATATCATGAATTCGTTGTTCATTGTCGTTTGTATGTACGCACCCGTCCTTCCAAGAAGAAGCATTATAGAATACACAATAGCTAGAGGCCTATTTTCAGCCATCGCGGCTAATTTTCTGTAACAAGTGCATTATGAAATAATATAGGAGGATCTTACATACTGTACATATAAATATATATATACCTCATGAACTATTGTCTCATGCTTTCTCAGTAAAATAACTTCTGCCAGATAATTTATTTGAAATTACAAAAAAGCCACGTTTTGATATATAATATCTCTCATCAAATATAATAGGCTACTTAATATTCCAAGTATCTACAAAGCTGACTATATATATTTAGCAATATAATTTCCCATCCATTTGAAGATTATATTAAATTCGCATGATGTAAATTATAGTGGAATTTCTAAACCTGGCAATCACAATTTGACAGAGTTCTTTGAATCAACAGTTACTACATGTATTATACCATCATTTTTGTACCTCGACTTACATATCAAAATAAAATGCCAAAAGTTAGTATTAAATTATTATCATCTTGTTTATCCATATTGACATCCAAATCAATCGCCTGAAGCAAGTCATACATTTTCGGTCATGATTAAATCTTTTTACTTGAAATGTTTGTCGTTAATTTAAGGCTTCAACTTATTAAAGCTGAAGCGATTGGTTTGTTATTCTAACCTCTCATCGTATGCCCTAGGGAAAAGACGTCACACGTGTTCGAAATCTGGATTTCTGATGAATGGTGACTAATGTACCAATACTATGTACTGAAAACATTGTTAGTAATGCGGCTTATTTCAGATAATATTCTTGTGACTAAACAATTTACCAAACTCTAATAAAAACAGTTCGAAATTCGGTGAATTTGACTAAGTGTCGGAATTAGGTTTTTCGTTGCTCTCGGGCGACCTGAACTGTTCCATCGATTGAATTCGGTGGAAGATTATTATCAATTGTCTTGGGGGAGAGATAAAAAAATATATTGAATGGTAACATACAAAAAAATATATATATATTCACACAGACACAAACAGTGAAAGTCACAAGGAGTAATGATAGATTCAAATCTCGTTAGTACATGTATTGTTGGAAATAGAATCTTTTGTGTTGTGCCCCATGCTTTGGATATCGCGTGTTATGTGTAACCTTGCATTAAAGATTTGATTTGATTTACTTCTAAGAAAATGAAAAACAGGATTTAATTGTGTTTGCGCCTGAAGGTCTGTTTGCGTATGGTTAAACCCAAAGATTTCAGAAATATAGGGCGCTTGGTACTCCAAATTACCTCCTTGGCATTGGAGACACCCTAGTTTTGTGCTAAAGCTGCTACGCACTTTCTGCTGTCAGGGTAGCAAAAATGTTTACTGGGGCACAAGCACAGCACTTCCGAAGGAAGCTTTCTAGAGAACATTACACTCAGTTATGTACGCAACCAGGGTAATCATTTGCAAACATGGCGTAATCGGTCCGTATTGGGTTGAAGACGAATATGAAAAAGCTCAAACGGAGGAACGTGTAATGTTTATTTATAATGCATATGTAGAGCAAGCACGCTAATTATACCGGTTAACTGAAAAGTCTTTTAGAGTAGATCCAGCGAGAGACATGTTAGCAAGACCAGCTTCAATATTCGAATGTCCTTCAAGAATGTCCGCAACGCAACGTGCTTCACGATGACGTCAGAGCTCTTGATCAGCAGGAAGCGGTAATCCACCAACACAACAGAACGTTACGTGAATATGTCTAGGAAGTTCTGTATATCACTTGAACACATCAAATTACACCCTGGATTAGCTGACAGAACGATTTCAGGAAACGCTGATCAGCAGTCAGCAGTGACGTCAAATGGGTAACTCATTCATTGGACTTGAACCCCTCGCATTTTTCTCTGAAAGGGTATTCGAAGGAGTACACTGCTCAAACAATTAGTGAACATAATAAAAAGATGGAATCGGAAATTTCCATGTGACGGCTCCTGAAACGGACTCCGCGTTCGTTGAAAATACCGGCTTCCAATTTTAATTCATCTGTGTTCAAGGTAACTTGCGATTGCGGAGACTCACGTCAAAATAAACTCATAACTGTTCTAAAATATCACGACAATCCGCGGCCATAATAATGTGTGATCAACTGCCCGATTATATTTAGTTTTGATATATATTGCGCTCATGCGAATTCGGTATCGTCGTTAAAAAGATCTGATATCTAGTACATATAAAGTATATATATATCTGAAAAATACATATTCATCGACTCGAAATCCCCGCGGCACGGCTTCTGAGTCAGTCGTCGAGATTACGCCACTCGTTGAAAGAGCCGACTTTTTCAACGGATATGTAATGGTTTTTCTGTTGAATAAAGTATTTAAACCATGACCGATATACATATTTAAAATGGTTGCTTTATTTATTTAATTTTGATAAATCAAAACTGCGATTACGTCGATAAAATAAAAGCACCACTATTTCAGAATACCACAGCAATCCGCGGACAAATATATGTGTGGCAAAGTGCCCGTTTACCTTTTGTTTTGATTCGTACACTTGCCAATTACACCAATATATATGACCTGTCCCTGCAACTCTTACTCCGCTTTATCGCAATGTTGCCACTCGATAAAATAAATCTGCGATAAAATCCCACGGAATAAAATGTATTTCAAGTCGGTAGTTTTAAAACACTACAGGTGTGCCGTAGGCACAGGAAATATATGAGATTTGCAATGTCTAAGAAAGTCCACCCCAAAACAAAACTCATGGTGTTTTTCGTCTCGTTTTTAGTATTTTATAATGTCGCTTTTTCAATAAAGAAAGTTTTGGTTACGGATTCACTTCTTTATTCTATCTTCAACATCTCTTTGCTGATGATTATATAATAAAAACTAACTCGTTTTCCTCACAGGTGTTATGGTTCATGCGAAGACAAAAAATAATTATCAAAAAATAATTATCATCGTCTTTGCGGCACAAAAATATGTCGTAAAAATGTCTGATCGAGGGAGAATAAACACCGAAATAAAGATTTTTACGGCTTATATAACCGTAGTAGTATATAGGCTACTTACGATATAACACGTCACACTGACAAAAACAATGGAGATTTAAACAAAATGCAATCGCAAACGTCACTAGCAACTTTATTTTGTCAGCGGTCGAGGGTCGGAAAAACGTGCACATGCATAATAGCTAATAAAAAATGAAATGCTTTTCTTCATGCTGAAAACGTACATAAATTCATTTCCACTTCTCCATTTTGTAAACTGTATTTTTGAACCTGGTGGTTGTCCAAAGGTATTGGTAAGGAATTTTGGAGACGTTAGGCAAGCCAAAAAGTCTGTAATTGTTGTGTATTTTTAACACACAGTAAATAATTTTTGCATCGCTCAATAGTGAGGAAGTAAACAATTGATTGAAATTTTACGTGTCTTATGTATACATTTAAGCAGAAAATACATTAGAGCGCAAAAAGCATACGTTTATTGCATGTTTAGTTTTACTCAAAACTTAGTTTGACTTTACCAGATATTGCAAACTGAGCGGAAAAAGGAGAATGTATGATAACCACTATTTGAGTATGGCTTTATACATACGACAGTGAATGGCGAAGTTGTACTCTGATGCGTTTTATGCCTGAACAATCTGAGCAATGACGCAAATTCTCAAAGGGGGGCGCGGCTCAAAAAGTTTAAGAACCACTGTCCTGGAGAGAACATAACTTTTGTTGAAAACGTCCCATTTTGTAACAGGATTCGAAAAATGATGGGAATGTTTTGGGTTACTCTGTATTACGAAGACACCTGGGTATGATATTTGGTACGAATATTTAAACATTTTGTTATTCGGCATATATGATTGAAAAATCATCTCTCCAATCGATCGTTTCGTTATCATGCTGATGTTGTTCTTCTTATTGTTATGAAAATCGCTTTTCTCTTACAACTACTGCACCAATTACTTTGTGAAATTCTCAACGGTTAGAGATTGTATTTGTCTCTTGAAGAGTATTACTTTTATTTATTTCAGCATATTCTGTGTGATTCGTTATTCACTTCGAAATTTTGTGTCTTGTTCATGAACAAGGTTATATAAAGGAGACCGAGCCAACGGTATGGTTATCAGTAGGATGCAGTAAATATAATATAAACAAATAAAAGAACAATTAAAGACGCCACGACCATGACGGTAAACGAACATGCATATATATACAGATTAGGTACTTGATTGCGCGGTATTGTAGGGTGGGCTAGACCAGTGCTCCGCAACCTTTTTTACCCTGCGGCACACTTATAAAACTTGCCAAATTCGACGGGACACCACAACAAACGAAAAAAACGAAGTGTAACTTTGTTTTATGTTCATATTTCAATGAGAGATTTGTGGTTGTATATAGAGCACAATCGCTCTATATTATGATCAATACGTGAAAGAGTAACTCGAAGTTCGCCATCAACATCTTTTATGTAGGATCGTTCATCGTTTTTATTCAGTAATAAAGAGGAAAAGCTTTGTTCGCACACATAAATAGTGCAAAAATGGAGCAATACTTCAATAGCTGCATTGGAAATGTGCGCTTATATTCTTCTTTTATTGAAATCTAGAACACATCAAGTGGAATTTCACTGAATTTGGAATTTGGACATATCGGCGCGGCGGTGTGGCTCAACGGGCTAAGCGTTAGGAATACGCTCGCCAAAGCACCTCTAATTACTCTGCGTGGGTTCGCAGGTTCGAATCCCATGCAGGAATGGTTATGTGCGAGAGGATTGCTGGACTCCTCGCCGTCGTTGGGTGGTTCACGTAACCGCTGGTCGGTTACGGCTTCCTCCACCACCAAGTCCATGCTTCCGAAAACAAACAATACAGTAAAACTAATCCCATACCCGACTTGGAATGGTAACCGGACAAGAGGCCGTGGTTCGCCATATGGATAAGCCGTCTTATCGGCTTTCCTCTCCCCCGGGATAAATATGTAAATCCTATCCTATCCTATCTCCGTCACCACAAGAAAATCCATATTTTATGTAATCTTCTCTGTATTTCCTTTTGATGAGTTTTTTTTATAACATTGCTTGTGCTAGGTACAATATGTTGCTCAGTATCAGATGTTTTGGATGTTCTTTTTAAAAATTTATCCATTTTGCTAAACTTTTGACCTGCTTGACATATGGGCCTATTCTTTGTTACGTCACAAATGCGCAGTGGGGGGTGTCAGGAATTTGAATTGGTGTCGCTCAAGCTAACGTAAAAGCAGGTTCACTCTAGTAGAGTAGTAGACTAACGTAAAATTAACAAAAGATAAATAAAAAAAATTGAAAAAGAAGAGAAAAGTTGCAATTCCTGTGCGGCACACCTGGCATCGTCTCGCGGCACACCGGTTGCGGAGCACTGGGCTAGACCAATGACATTAAACAACATGATGCGCAACTCCGGCATTTTTGTCCGAAGATCGTATTCGATAGCACGCTCCAATGCACATACTTGACGAGACGAAAACGAGCGGATGTGTGCTGCTTTCAAGGCGTAGCACGAATGGTGTTCGTGCCTGCTTTGACAGTTGTTGTCGATTTTAATGATATTTTTGAAAGTTGGGGTAAAAAGAAATCGGTAAAAGGTAAGGTGAATACTATTGTTGTATATCACACCCGCACTGTTAAGTACATGTGGGAAAGCCAGCCTTTGTCAAATACTACGAAGTTATTAATTCAGTACGGTACGTAGTTGCCCATTTGCCGAAATTACATATTTACTTACCCCTTATGGTTTCAAATACTTCATGCACCTCCAGTTAGATTTTTTTAATCAGTGAGGATATATACTCATTGTTGATTGCTGCTCATTGTAACATACTATTACGCATTCACTTTTATTTGCGTATTGAATCAAAGTGTTAACAAGTTCACCTAACATTTCACTCATACCGGTCTATATTGTATTGTCTGATTTCTCAAGTATTTGGAGCCACGAATGCTCGTAATTTTCTGACTAAACCCTTTTATTAGTTGGTTTATATACCAAATTCAGTAAAATATTTTTTAAATAAAACATGAGATATTGGATTTATTAGCTTTTCCATTCTGAATCATATAGACTGCTTTATTTATTCTTAACGAAAATTAATAAATCTCCTCTCTTTCTTCAGATGTGAAAGTTGTGGACAAACCTGTCTAAGCATTGTGAGACTCTTGCAGCACAAGAGGCAATAGCAGAAATAGCAAGTATATCAATCAAGAAATTAAGCCGACATAAAGCAAAACTTTCAACTATTCGTCTAATCTCAATTTCCTATTATTTATTCACAGGACAACTATAGCAGACGGGGAGATATTAGAAGTCTGGCGACATATCAGTGACAGTGTGATTCCAAGAAATATAATGCAATTGAAAATAGAAAATTGCAATAGAAAAACAACCTATGGAGGCATGCAAAGACATTTGACCCTCCGGTAGAGTTGTGTATGGCCCCCACATCCTGCAGGGCTTGAGGAAAATAACTAAAAATTCCAAAGCGTAAGATTGCATAAGCGGTCTTATTTGTAAAAAGGCACAAAACACTCCAGACATACTTAAAACAGCTTTGGAAATGAGGATTACGGGTACCTCACTGCACCTGTGTTATATTTGGTTCATCAACTTTTGGTAGTACTATAGAAGAAATTCCGGAAGGGGTATAATCATCATTCATGATAAAATACTATCATATATTTTTTGAACAACTTCAATCTAGACCAGGGATCTCAAACTCGCGGCCACAGAGAACTTCCAGTGTGGCCCTCGAACGCTTAACAATAATTGTAATAGTATTTTGGAAGTTTTTATTTTTATCTAAATGTAATAGATTTTTCAAACCTTCTAAAGTGAAATTGATTATTCACACAGAAAACAATTTACTGAAAGTAGTTTTGGAATATTGATTTTTTTTGTCCACATTTTGACCCAATTAAGAATACACATCAAGCTAGCAAAAGAATACTTGAATAAAACACTTGAGTAATTAAATTAAACGCAAAGTACATGAAGAAGGTGGCATTTTCGAAGAAAATGGGAGTTGTAACATTTCTGCTCTTCACAAAATTCTGAAGCACATTGTTTAATTTGTCATATTTCCATCAATACAATCAAAAAACACAATAAGCTCAGCAGTCAATATGACAAATTCGAAGACCAACTTCGAACAGAAAATTTCCATGTGTTTGTATATTAATATAATTATACAACGACTTAGTTACTAAAAATCAATATCAATAATAATTCAAGCAATCCTATGCCACGCAATGTAGTGCGAAATGTCTTGTCGAAAAAATCTGTCATTTGTTTTTTTACTGATCTATACATGAAATGATAAAAGTAACTTTTTTGCATTACTGGAATTAATTAAACATTCGTAAAGATCCAGATAAACCCAATGATCATGTGGCCTCGTTAGTTAGAGTTGGTAATATAAAATCATTTCAGACTGGCCTTAGTATGCTGGTGACACAAAAAAGATGCCAAACGCCAGGACAAATGTAATTATTAAAACATTGAGTTTATACTGTAGTATTTTTGTTAATTTTAGGTTCATATATTTAGATAAGTTATTTTTAGTGTATGTATTATTCTTTCCTTATTCAAAGCTTGTTCAAAAATGATTTTGATGGTTGTACATAGAATTTTACGATTTTTTATAATAAATACTGTAACTTGCAAATGTTGCAATAATAGTGGAATGCAAATATTAATATGTAATTGCATTTGGAATTGAAGAAAATAATAAAACTTAATCCAACTGTTTAGTTGCATCACAATATATGTCACAAACTAAAACTATCTTAAAAATATCTTTTAAGTATACATTATCAAAAACTGTTTGCGGCTCTTTTTACAATTTTCAAAATGCAATGCGGCTCTCGAAAACCCATGAGTTTGACACCACTGATCTATTCTGGACGATTCAAGCATTGCTTCGGGAAATTATATCACTTCAATTAAATTGAAATAATCTCGCTATATTAAATACAAAATCGTTGCTATCATAAAGGTAAACCAATTCAGCTACTCGAAATATATTGGCCTTCACAAAGCAATGGAGGCAAAATTGAGAGTTCATAAGCTATGAACATTTGTTCTTTTCTTTGTCTTGAACTTTTCATACTCCACAGCCCCTATTAATTTTTTTTAATTTTAATTACCATGTGATGGTCATACATATCTTTAACTTGTATTTTCTGTCATGATGTATTATCTCAATGTGCCAAACTATTAATTAGTGTGCATATTTTGCTTCCAGATGACATAAATGTATTGTCATGTTTATTACCTCAGCTTGGAGTATTGACAAGAAAGAGGTGCCAGTAAATTAGGTAAAAAAATTTTCAACTCATTGTTATAATCAGAATTCCCAATCAATAGGAATTATAAACAACCAACAATCAGTGAGAATTATATGCGAAATCCCTCAGAATAAATTTGTCTAAAATCGGAGGAAGTCAAAAAATATAGGTAGTTTCTATCCACACAAGCATTTCAAGAAGACTTGCTCGAGCCAAACTAAATGAGCATCGTCAGGTGATCGGTAAGGCTGCAAGTTGAATTCAGCCCTGCAACCTCCTGCATAGAAGATAATATTAATTAGTGGGCTATGAGCTAAATTCTTAAATTTAAACAAACCTATCTACGATGCATTATGTACCAGCAATGTTACCTACGATTAACTGAATATGTAATATGTCTAATAAATTCACCTACAAAAGCAAGTTCGATAGATGCAAACTTTGTGTTATGGAATTGTATCGCAGCACAGTTTTGTATGACACCCTCTTTAAATGAAATTTCAATGATTAAGCGCAAACATTAAAATTACTAACTTTGAACTTCGTCATTATCTGCAAAATGTTCCACACAAATCTTTCCGCTATCGCGTTTGTAATCTTCTCTGATAAAAAAAAAACGTCTATGATGTCCAGAATTGCTCTTTACAGCTTGCCTGTTATTCCAGCTTTCCAAGTAAGCAAAACTTCTTAGATATAGAGATTATTTTGTTTCGTTACAGGCGCAAAAAGGCAGGTACTACACGTAAAAAAGACGCCGAGTAGCAAAAGCGAGCGGAAAACGGACGCGAAAGGCGACGAGAAATATGTGCATTGGAGCGTATCATGAAATACAATGTTTTGCCTGTAGTCTTATGGAGTGACGTCAGAGTTGCCCATCATGTTGTTTAATGTCATTGGCTAGACCAACATTCCTAGTGCTTTTGATCTTATTTCGTACCAATACTCAAATGTGCCATAGCAATCAATTTTTAAGTATTTTTTTCATTGTGTAGTCTACTTCTTGTTTACTGTTGGCATAAAGTGGCATGCTTTACGCGACGCAGTGACGCACATGGCTGCGTCACTGGCATTTTTCTAATGCCACCAAAACCAAACACGTCTACTAATAAATTTTTTTTACTTCGCATTTCTACATGGTTTCTTGGACAACCGACGTTGGTCGGAACGGAAAAGCCTATTGCCTTAAGTGTTGTGGCATGTCACAATGAAATTGAAAGCAAGGATTGTTTTAGCTGTAATAATATTTACACTGATTGTGATGACCATTAATTTTTCCAAATATTTACATCGTTCCAAAGAACAAGTCAGGTGGGTGAATAATGAAATTCTAATATTTGGCAACTTTCTTGAATTTTTACCTTTCTGTATCTTGTATATTTTAATCATTTTATTCAGTATAGCATAGTAATTAGATTACAAGTATGGCCATATATATTCAAGGCGTCTTATAAAATTAGATTTCGTTTTATTCATCCAAATATCAGGACATCATTGAATCGAAGACCTATGCCCCACTGTATTGGTACTTTATACTTTACAAACCCAGAATTCAAGTTAAAGGCATTGGAAATTGATCCTTATCAAATTTTTATACAAACTTGAAATCTATTTTATTTTCAGATTACAACTTATAGGAAAAGAATCCAAAAATGCCAACCCCAACTTGGTAAATGTTAATGAATTTGAGGTTAATTTGAAGCCTCCAAATTTGAATGAAGGGACAAAAGAACAATTTATTGAATCAGAATTACAGAGACTACAAATAGATGTACGATCTGCTGCATCTAACTTCAAAAACTGGCCATGGCAGGTAAAAATTTAATAGAGATTTGCATCGCTAACTACAGTAGTTTCCAATCTGTTTCGTTAAATTTCTCTTTTTGTCTGTTTTGGTTCTCTTTAATCCTCCCCCACTATGCATAAAACTACTTTATTTGTTCTATCTTTAATCAATCTTTTGCTAATGTTATGTCGTGAGTAGCACTGTCATTTTGTACAGTTCCATTAATATCTGATGTATGTGTTCATGAATAAGTATTGTAGCTATAATAAAAAACTGAAGAATACTAGAAATACTGCAGCAAATACAAAGCAACCCCTCCCCCCCCCCTCCAAATGGCCTTGGGAAGGAATTCCTCTCCTGATTGGAAATCGTTGAATTACGGTTTTAAAATTAAAATACTATTCTATGCTGCTTTCTTTGAGTTTTATTTCTAAGAATGAAACAGGTTTTGCAAGCAAAATATTTCTAAGAGAAGTGATATGCATAGCATCTCTGGTACTCCCGTAGTATGTGTACCTTAGGGTCATAATTTTATTCATATTTCCCTTATTTTAGTTCTATTACGAGTTCGGAGATTGTTTGTGTTACCCAATTGAATATAGTAATCTACCCCCTGCCCATAGGGTTCAGTCCCTTTACACAACTTGATGTAAAGTAGGCGAACAAAATTAGTTACCTCCATATTGGTACACACACTTTTGGAGCGCCGCATCTCGTATGCATTCATGCTTTTATACTCAACAAAGCTACAGATCAGCTATATTTGATTAAAGTACCGTATATTTAAAAGAGGTATTGGCCGATGCTATATTTGTGTCAATTTTATATTAATAAAGAAATCATGCAACAGATTTGAATTATTTAATTAGAAGTCAAATAATCTATTGTCATAGTTAACACTAATGCTAATAGTAACTAGAAGAAATATTTTAGAAAATAAGAGTATGCCGCAAACGAATAAAAGTATTGTTGAATGAATATGGATAATATTGGATATGTCATTTCTAATAGGCAAAACAAAACATTGATTGAAAGAGTGTCTAATCTCTTCAACCATCAAGCTTCGGACTTATGACATGAGTGATCTTAGTACACTATTATCTCAAAATGAATGCATAAGTTTTTAGTATTAAATTAAAATCAAATAGGCAAATTTTATTTTTGTGAACTTTGTGTTTCAAATTTAATTCAATTTAAATTTTAATTCATTCCAATTGAATATAGAATATGTTGTTTTTGATTAATTCCAGATAGCTGCATCCTGGGTAAACAAGCGACAGATATATCCTGAAAATCACCCTGAACTTGCGACAATATTGTATGCAATGTCTACTGCTAGAATTATAGAAGCTGATGTTTTACCTAAAGGAACACAATTAAAGTTATTATTTATTTTGGATGGAGGTCAAAAAGTGGTTTTCAAGCAAAAAAGGTGATTAAATGCAAAAACATTTCGATTTTTGGAATTGCGGATACTTAAAAAAGAATTCATGAGATTATAAATGCCTAGAGTGTTAGACCATGACTGTGACCTTGCATGTCTTTTCTAATTTTTGTATTATTTTCATATTTAGATATGAAAGAGATCATGTTATAGATGGAAAACCATATGATGGATTTGATCGACATAATGGAGAAATTGCTTCTTTTCATCTTGATAGAGTTTTTAACTTCAGAAGGTATTTTTTTTAGCTTGTCTATCGTTAGGCCGGATTACTACTTTTAGTTCAGTGCACTCTGATAAAAAATTGAATTGTTATCATTTATATGCATGTTTTAATTAATACCACTTTGTAGTCCAACAGACTTTAACTAAAATACTTTTCAAAAATTTCATCAATTTAATTAGCTTTCTAATTTGTCAGTAAATGTGGCCAAATCTACTACAATATTTTGCACAAATTCTAATTTTGATCAATTTATTCGTTTGTTGATTTACAAATAAATTATTGGTATCCTAGTAATATATGAAATATGAATATTATATCACACAGAATATATATTATGACGTTGTTGACCTATTATACAGTTGCAATGCAAAATGTAACAACTCTTGTGCTTATGGCAGAAGTCTAACAAGGTTACCCCTGCTACACTGTATACTTATAGGTTTATACTTATGAGCTGTACTTGGAATTTGATGAATGTATTGTCAGAGATATTTCTAAACTCATTGGTAGGTGTTCTCATCTCATTAAAACTGCCCGGTGCACACTAGAAGATATTGGTCATGTTTCATCATAATATCGATTGTTGATCATTTTGTAGGATGTATATCCTTCAATAACACATTGGTGTATTATGCGTTTACTTCTTGTTTGGATTTCCTACTGTGTTACTACAATATTTATTTTGAAACATTTACTGGCATTTTCAATGTATGGTCTTTTATTGAAGGGGTTAACTTTAATTATCATTGTTTTTCATCCATCGATCCAGATCACCTATCACCGTAGGAAGAATTGTCAATTTACGAGATGAAGTTTTAACTGTAGCAACAGATAGATTGAAGAAAACTTTTCTTGAGAAAGGTAAGGTGTCATTAAATATGGCCCAGTGCTAACTTATCTATTGGCATCGTAGGTTTCATTGCTGGTTCAAATTCCATGTCCCCCATTCACGCAGAGTGTATAATTAAATTGGGTTGGCAATTTCCGGACCGAAAAGATTCCTCTGACACTTAATTAATAGTAAGTTTTTACATATCGTTATATATCAGAATTATGGGTACCTTTCAATTATTGTGCGGTTTGTGCCTATGGTGTAAAAATAATAATTTTTGTAAAATTGTGTATAAAACAAAACAGAAGGGTTATTCGATCTTGAAACAAACATTCATATAGTATACCTAGATTTATGCTGCAAAATAGTCTTATATAGCCTACTTCCTATATGACTAACCGTTTGTGGTCATTTATTGTATATAAAAATGGAAAATCTGTTGATATTTCAGTTTTATGGATGTGATTAGCGAAGGAGGCTGTTAATAACCAGAGGTTACTCGGAATAGCACTTCCTCTTTCAGAATAGTAAACCCTATTTAGTGTAATCAGTGATGTTATGGTAAATTCACTTGTAGTACGTATATGAAAAACTGACCCCTCCTCATTTATACACTTTTTTTTATTTTATTCAGATGGAAATTTGTGTTACTTTGGTGTTTGTTACTACTGCAAAGAATCAGAGAAAGCATGTGCAGCAGGTGACATAATGGAAGGTGCTGTCACATTATGGTTACCGGAAGAATATTCTACTTTTGAAAAATTAAGACATCCATACCAGGTACGTAGTTTATTACACATTTCAGTATGCTTCAAAAACACATATAATATGTATTTCTTGATGAAGTATTACCCTCTTACTTTGACTGAGACTCTCTTTCAAACCATCTTAAGCAAATGCTGTTTTTTTTATTCCATGCTTAGTCAGGATTTTCATTCTGAAGGAGGCCCTGTACAAATATCTACAGATGTCTAAGGAGTTGGAGCTATTATTATTGGAAGGACCATTTCTTTATTGCCTACTTAATTTATTACACCCTGGATAACATGGTGGGCATGGTATTTAAATCTAGATGTATAACCTTAACCTACTTTGTCATTTAAGTCTGGCACTTCAAATGACAGGCCATCCGCCCACGATAAGCCATTTTGAGTTCAATTGCTCCACCTGATTTCCTGTACCATAGGTCAGGACTACTCAACTGGCGGACCGCTGTCTGAATACGGACATTTCAATATTTGGATTCGGACTGCACCTAATTCTTTATTTTGGATCATTAGGTCCACTTTTTAAGTTCATAGTTTTGAATATATATGAAAACAACTTTAACACCATAATGAACAATCTTGATTTGCTAACGGCTGAGGAAGTGCGCGTCTAAGGATGCCAAAATATAATTTCTGGAAATACCGAACCCAAGTAATTTTGACATTTGTAAGCGGATAATTTTGAAGTTTTGTATGCGGATCTTTGGTAAAAAATAGTTGGGTAGGTGATAAAGCAGAGCTGGGTTGAAGGGTAATCTTACCCAGCAATGCGGTTGGAAGCACCCCCACACATACATTTGAATATCGTGAAATCAAATGTAAATTCTCAGTTGGAAATCATCTTCTGGATACACAAAGTCATACCTTTGTATAATCATCAGTGCTATTACCTTGTTCTTGTATTTCTAAGCCTGATTTCGGCAAATTAATATTCTTATAAAACGAAGATTTCATTTTCAGCGTACTTATGTTGAGGGTCGATCTGCAAAGTGGGAAAAAGATGAAACATACTGTGATACTGTCGTCAAACACAAACCTCCTTATGATCGTGGTGCAAGGTTGTTAGACATTGCTGATGCCTGTGCTTTCGATTATTTAATTGGTAATGCAGATCGACATCATTATGAAGTTTTCAAAAATAAAGGAAAAGATGTGATGTTAATTATGATGGATAATGCAAAAAGGTACGTTTTTTTTTTAAATTGATTTGAAAATATAACAATGACCTTTTGAATATTGCTAAACTAGATTCTTTCACGAAGATCTCAAAAAACTTCAGTTTGAAATTATCTTACACCTAGCTGTATATCTAACAATGTTGAACTTGAAAACCTCTTATCCACTACTATCTTGTGACATCTTTGTTTCAAAGGTAAACCAATGTAGAGTAGTAGTGGTTGCGGGCGTGTAACTCTGCTATCAATATAGTTTTTTTGGGGGTTTTGGGATCTCATATTAAAAAACCTATTTATTGAAAAAATCATCAGTACTTCATCCAGGCAGAAATCTATGATAATTTGCCAATAGGGTTAGTGGTGCTGGTGCATACATTCGCTTTCTCTCTACTGATTCGTCAATAAGCCAATAAGCGGGCCGTAGGTTGCCGACCCCTGCCTTAAGTACATACATATTCAGCATATTGGTGGTTTGTACAAAGTGCAGGCACCAAGCATCCATCATATTCATGTATTGACATATTACATAATAGTATTACTATATTATTTTTGCAGTTTTGGAAATCCATATTTTCATGAACAAAGTATTTTAGCACCATTAAGACAATGCTGCATGTAAGTATTCAATATTTTATTGTTATGTTATGCTATATAGCCTATATAGAACAAGTTCATCAAAAATCCGACAAAAAATTGTCTAAGCATGACTTGATATGAAAAATAATTATGTATTGAAATGTATATTTAAAGTTAGTGAATGAACTTTTGTTATACAAAGTCAATCAATTTTAAATGAAAATGTTTATAGCATATACAAGAGACAATTTGTAGTGGTTTGCCTAACAAACGAATAACAAGTAAAAAAAACAGTAGATTATTATTAAGACTTGTAGTTGTGAGATATTGATAACCTAAGTTAGCAATACAAGTCACATTCCCTCAACATTGCTGCAATCCTGCTTACATTGCAGTAGTCATTTTGCCCTATTTTGCATTTATTTGAGCATTGCTTTCTTGTTTCATTAAATACATGTTTTTTTCTCAGTTTAAGAAACTCAACATGGTTGAAACTCCATCGTTTTAAAGATGGAGTATTAACCAAATTATTAGAAGCAGCAATGGAAAATGATCCAATTTCTCCCGTTCTACATCATTCACATTTTAAAGCAATGAATGAAAGGTATAATGTACAATTTTATTTAAATTCGGGTTGAAACATAGTGCTGTGTGTAGCACACTAACAAATTAAGTTCCGACGTATAGGACTTCACCTGGAATTTCAAATTTGTAGTGCCTTCAGAGCATTCAAGATTTCATAATGTGATGGATGTTTGATAGCTTCGTGTATGATTGGCTTGCTGTTCCAAGCTTATTAAATCATGCTCTTCATAGCAGTGCTGATTCGGGATATATGGTTTTATATCTACGGCAAGAGGATCATATACTCTGGGGTAGATTGTTTGACCACTGGTTAGGTATCACCATGGTTCCTTCCTACCATGCAAAGAAATTACTTAACAACATAGCAAGTAATCTCAAACTTGTCTTAGACTTTTCTAAGATACTTTGGGCCATGAATAGGTTTTATCTAGTTTCCTTTCCGCAAGTTTGAATATGCAACTCTATTTTATAGATCTTTCAATAAGATTTGTAACAAGTAATAAATTTGATATATGCAGATTGATATGAGTTTTATTGTTTTTCTGACATTCACTCGGGTGAGCTGTCTCGGCTGGGCAATGTGACCTAATACATAATACTTTTATTTATAATCAATCATCAGGTTACCCCACCTTTTATCAACAATTGATCACTGTATAAACGAACGGGGCAAAGACAATGTTATATTGAATGAATGGAAAGGAGTTAAAGCGAAAACATGACAGGGCTATTTGTGATGCTACTGGTAACTTCTAAAAACTGTGAACTCGAAAAGTGTTCAACTAAAGAATTAGTAATAGTGTTTTCTTACTCTGATTGTCCAAGGATTTCAATATAATGCACCATACTGCAATAGTTGCCAATTTTTCTGCAAGGAGGCAGGTTTTTAGGTCCTTCAAGCTGACATCACAATTATTTGTGAAATATATTTTGCTGTCTACTCATCCATTATCATATGGATAACCTACTTTCTTCAAAATAACCATGGTCTGTATGGAAAGTGTTCGCTTGTATTATTGCAATAAACTTTCTAAAAAAGCTGCTTGAACATTTAAGGAACAATCCTAAAGCACTATAAAGGAAAATGAGTGCTCTCGACCTTCATTATCGCATGTTTCAGTACAACTGCAATCATACCCAATGCTCTTCAATGTTTGGTACAGAATATGTCTTGCTCACTTATTCAGCCATTCCTGTTTTTGAGTAAATTATAAAGCATATTTTCGCACATATGATAATCCCATATTATGCAGCATTCAACATGGTTATCAAGATATCCTAAAGAGGTGAAGGTACACAGCACCTCGGATAAATATAGTTACTGAATCTCCACTCTACACTTATGTATTGTTTCGTACATTCATTGGTTATTTATTTTGTTTTGTTCAATGTCTTCCACAGAATAAAAAGTTTTTTTACAATGTTTTTCGAATTTTTGTGCATTTTTCCATATTAACTACTGTGTATCTTACATATTCTCGCACACAAATGTTGCCTTTTGGCCTGTCTATTAGCACCATCGGGACTGAACATATAAATGTTTTTTGACAAGCTGTTGACAAATGTTGTGAGATTAATTTTACAAGATTGAATTGACAAAAAAAGCATGTGTGATCAATATTTAGGATTTTGATATTGCACTGATCTTCTGTAAGCCATTACTACCTGAAGACGATTTCAATTAGGTTGAAATCAATTAAACATTTTTCGTTTTCTGATTACTTATTTTGCATCCTACCTTTAAACATCCCTGTGCTCGAGGTGGAAAACCATGTGAAATGATAAAGATATCCAGTGACAATTATGTCGATTTTTTTCTATCATGTAAAAAACTTGACCACAGTGTTCAACTTTATCTGAAATTTATGAAATGATTATTTAACATGTTTGTTACATTACCAAGTCCTCTTCCATTAATCAATCTTCAACTGTGACCTTGAGGTGTGCGTAAACTTATTTTATTTTTTTGAGTCGGCGCTGATTAAAGCATTTCATGTCTGCTGTTATGATTTTTTTTTCATAAACTATTACCGCCAACTTACTGAACGATATATATTGTCATCAACGAGACGTCGGGATAACTATAAAATCCGCGATAGATACTAAATAATATTTAGGAGCTATTTTCTACTCTCTAAATTGCAAGAAATGGAAACATTTCCCGTTATGTTCAGTCACTATCGGAACTGAGTATGAACAATTAATTAGGACACAATTTCCTCTTGGATTTATTACCGAAGACGCACAAACTATCGCGACTAAATTGAAAGGTACGATAATAATTGTAAAATATTTTCAATCAAAAACATCCTCGACGTGTTATAAGCAATTCAAGTCGGCGCTTATTTAAATCCTTTCCAGCCGACTGTAACTTGTTGCCGAACCGCACATGGCTGCCTTCGATTGCGATAAAAATATTTGCAAACGGTTTTCAAATCAAAACGTCTACGACGGCGCTAGGATATGTGCGCCATATTCGGATTCTTATAAACACGAAAAAACCATATATATTCGAAGGTCGCGATATTCGAATATCAAATTCGATTTGGACACCCCCGCATTAAATTAACCCAAAACAAACAAATATCACTACACTTGTTTTTTAAGCTTTCGTATGTAGAAAATCTTAGGTTAAGTCGAAGTAATATTTTTACGAAAATAATTTTCGCAGGTTGGATTTTTCGTATCCAAAGCCTTTCGTACGTAGAGTTTCTACTGTACTTGAAATAAATAAAGTTGAAATTGAATGTAGAGGCCCATAGGATTCAGCCTACCTCGCCCAACGGTAAATCTGGCCATTGACGTACCTCCACAATGGCTCTGCTATGTTGCTCTAACACAAGCTGAGTACAGTAAGTCCTCGGGTTACGGAGGTCCCGACTTACGCTGTTTCGAGGTTACGAACGCACTCCATAAAAATATGTAATATCGAAGATCTTAAACTGGATGATTGTGATCAAGAAAATCAGCGCGTTGGGCTTGTTGGTTTTCGTCATTTACGTGAACAATCGCGAAATACTGCGATTATTCACTAAGCTCCAGTCACATGGTACACAGAGTGAGAAAGAGATTTATTTTTTCGTCAACCAAAATAAAATAACAGTCATCGTAATAATAATAATAATAAATTAGTTTGGTATAGATAGGAGGGAGTGATACGACCAGATGGTCATCAAAGTCAACCTCCCTTCAAGCTATGTTGTTTAAGATTCACAGTCTTAGATGACTAAATATTGGGGTGGAACATTCCAGGATTTAAAATTATATTCTCAAAATGGAAGAATAAAATTGAGAAGAGGAATGCTAGAGTAAATCATTTTTATTTGTGTATGTGTAGCGGGATATCAAAATCTAAAAAGATTCCAAAGGTTACTGAATGAATTTAAATATTTTATACGTAGCCTATATGTCATGGGTCGAAGTCCACTTTATCATATATATATATATATGTTAAATTACCTGAAGGATTATGCCCCACAAAGACGTCACCGAGAATATATTCGGCGCAAATCGTTCGCGGTAAAGAGTTTTTGTGTGAACAACATAAGTATTTTGTATACAACTGTAATTAATCGAACCGCTTCAGCTTCATACCAACTCGGCGAGTCTTGTACTAAATGTGCACTAGTCGTGCATTATTCATGTCATGTCGAACCAACTGCTCTCACTTCGGCGAGATTTTAGTGACAGTTTTATCATAGGAATTCACCTGAAACCGGTTGGCACCTGGTGTTCGCTCTAATTCCGTATCAGGTTTGAATCTTGCATGGTAATTTAAATGTAGGTAAATAACTAATTGAAGCACCTCGACACATCAAGTAAAAGAAGGATACGTAAAACAAGCAATTCTCAAACGTATGGAAACTAAGGCTAAAACGAAGTAGTACGGGTATCAAATATTTTACAGTACCGGTACTTTGGTTTTGTCCTCTCGACTGACCACCAGATCCAGAACAGCCACAAGTTACGCAGTTTTTAATTTTGATGTCGTCATCACACAAAAAATTTATAGTGATAAACGAATACCACAGAGCCCACAGGAAATTTTGAAACCAATAAAATAGCCATAACAACAATCTTTACCCAGAGAAAATTTTAAAGCGATTGCTCCAGTTGCTGAAAAGAATTTAATCAAAATAACAAGAGAATACCAACAACAACATAATGATCTAACTCTTGCGCAATAATATTAAAACGATCTTTAGGTCCACTCGGTCTTCAGAATGCAAACGGTGTCCGACTCGGGTACGCTTTGGTAAATCGTGGCTGGGACGCAGTCGATCGGTCTGGTTAAACTGATTTTCCAAACATTCTGATTATTTGCGTTTTTTTCGCAGCATTGTTTATCAACCAAATATTTGATGATTGCGATGACGAAGAATGATAATGCAGAAATTTACAAGAAATGAAAATAGAATGACATCAACAATTCCCAACTTTACATAATATTGAAAATAGCTTACAGATAAATTGAATGATTTGTTTTTTGCGTTTCAAAACTCGTGGCCGCCGGGCGATCTCTCTGTCGTACTGTGTTTGGATAGTGACTTTCTGGCGTGTATATAATCAGCACAGGCATTGATATATTTTCTTTTTAATATATAATCAATCATGCAATAATAAAAATTGTACAGTTACCGTGTTTTGACACAATGCAAACAAAATGACCACGATCAAGTAGTATACCTCATTTTATAAACATCGAATAAAATTTGCTGATAATAAAGCATAAGTCGACATATCCATTCTGTGAACCTTTGAAAATTGAGTTTCGAATAACACTTGAAATAAATTGAACAATGTCATTGTTCATAACTGGGAGTTTCATGGGCAAATCGAGACATATTGGTATTAAAATAGGGTTGATTCTTGTTTTCTTTACTAGTACCGGAATTTTAGTATTCACAAATTGTGATGCCATCGAGCAGGTATCGACCAAAAAGATGGAAAAAGTACATTAAAACAGGGCTTCAGAGCCGTATATATATTCACTATGATGGAACGATCTAATTAGGTAACTTTATCAGTTAGTTAACATACTGCAATATAGAAAGTTCTTCTGAAAAACACAATGCATAGTACTTATGTGACACATCACATTTAAATAATATTGTTCATAAGTGAACTAGGTTCATGATGAGCAAAACAAATTGAGCAAACAAAACTTTGGCATATATGGTTTCAAAAATTAGTTTAATGAATTATATTCAATTAATTTGACAATAATGCAATATAAAATATCAAAAAATGTATATGCACAATTTAAGAAGTAATCAAACTGCACGATTAGATAATAAAATAATTGCTGGCACACATATTTTTATTTGGTTTACTCCGTTTTTGAAGAAAAAAAAATTCATGCAAAAATTATAAATTACCGAAATAGTACAAATAGAAATATTCTTGGTGTTGCTTTTCTGAAGGTATCACACTCTATCCAATGTTATAGGCTTTTGTCTAACGATAATTGTCATGCAAATATGTCACATAACTAATGGAATCCAAATATAATAACGTTTTGATCCACGTAGATTTGTTTTCTACATAACATAAAACACTTTACTATTTCTACCATATTTTTAATTTAGGGAATATATATTTTGTTACTAAAAATTCATGAATTTTCTACAACTCAAATTTTCAAATATTTAGTTTAACTTGCTGGAAACGTTTCGAGTCTGCGGTTGAAAGTGTTCATGGTAAATTGCTATATTTACTCATCATCATCATTGTCATGGTCACTTGAAAGCAAAACTGATTCTTTCTTTTTTTCCGACCTCACTACCATCCAAACAAATGTAAGAAGGAACACAAAAGCGCCCACCCCCAGAAGAACGTATCCAATTACATTCATTACATTACGAAGGGTAGCAATTTGACAAAATTCTTTGCATGTCTTGTCATCCATTAACCCAGTGCCAGAGACCCACATAATGGGGCAGATGGTGTGTCTTATATTCTTCATTTGCTTGATGTATTTTGAAGCTTGGATTTCCATATTCATCTGTGTACTGCGAACGCTGGAGAAAACGACACCACTTACTTTTTCGACGTCGAAATGTGAATCATGAAGGTCTTTCCTGGGTTTCAGACCAGTGACGCCATTTTGATATTGAGGAGCCGCATTGTAAAAGTGTGGCAGAGAAAAAAGTACAGGTGCGTTTTGCAGGCACGGCCTAGCGTTCATGACACCATTATCATAACAGTTATCGGCAGGTACACAAAATCCTGCATTATCAGGCTGCTCTGTGGCATTTGCTAACAGGTCATCGGCAAAATGAAAGCGTAAAGTGTCCACGCCTTTCACAGTGGTATCACTTTCATACGTCAATTTTAGAGATCGACACATACTGGAAAAGAATATGTATCTCGTATCATTTCTCTCTACGAGTGGACGAAACAACGATCCATCAGTTCCGTTTACTTTGTTTGCTTGTTTCGAAGTCCAAAAATTCAAATATTCCATCCCATTCCATTTGTGAATTTCATTTGTTTTGCTATAATCGTCTTGTCCCGTATAAGTTAAATAAACTCCATCCCCCGTGTTATTGAAGCCATGGAAAGGTGCAAAAACTGGATCGTAGTGCTTTCCGATTAGAGACATCAACATATTCAATGTATTGAAAAATGGATCGACGTAGCCGAACAGTACTTCCGTCACCGTATGGCGTTCAAAAAGATTTTTTTCGCCGATTATATCAAGAATTTTTGCGAAAATCTTGTTTCCAATGGGAGGCATATCCATGGTTTCTATCATTTCAGCTATAGTCGCCAGAGGCATATTAACATGGTAAACGATATCTTTTTCTGTTCCATTGGAGAGATGAGGCTGAAAGACTAAGGTATGATTGGTTTCAGAAGCCACCGTGTCATTCACATAAAAGGCGACATTATATCGAGGCACGTACATGCGATATACATAAGGACCAAGCTCTACAAGATTCGGTATTCCTCCTTTAATGACATCATCCTTGTTAGTGACGTTGAATATGTAATACATCATATATATCGGAGGAGGAGGTTCGATCCATATATGGAAATTTGGGGATTCTAAACTGATGATAACATGATTTTTGAACTGTTCATCTATATACTTCTGAGGGAAACGGGTGACAATCAACACGATTCCAAATGCCAGAATAAGCAGAGAGAAGACGGAGATGCAAGCTAAAATTTTAGAGCAAAATAAATATTTATAAAAGACAACTGGATGCACACAATTACTGACAAACTAATTTGAATCCATAAATGAATAATTATATATTTAAAAAAAAAAACATCGAAAAATACAAGTTACACAGCATTCACAATACCATGCTTTGAGATATATACATCAACAAGTCATACAGACAACGTATATAATATATTAAAAGAAGAACAAATAGTATTTTGATTAGAAGTATTTGTGGACATACGAAAAAGTTGATGACATTGAATTAATCATTAATTATTCGAACAGATGTCCTTTTTCGAAATTATCAGTTCAGTCAGAATTTTTTTTTTTATCGGGCTGGAAATCAGTGGTCTGCTTGAATTGGGGTTATATAAATCGCCCTAAACAAAACAAAATGGCGGCAAAATCTGCGATAAAAGCTGAACTTTGTGAAAAGTTTTAAATATTATGTTGAGGATTCACGCTGCCAAAAATAAGTAAAAACTATAACAGGGAAAAGATAAAAAAAATATTACATTAGAATATATCACACTTCCAAATGAAATGTATAATTGCACTGCACTGTATTTATATATAATGAAAATGGAAGTACTGAATTACACACGTTTTAAAATTACAGTAAGTTTGGAAAAGGGATATACAAATACTTTTAAGAAGCAAAAAATCTTATGTTTTGAAATATTAATAAACATATTTGACTTGAAAATTGTATCAAAGACCAAACAAAGTCATTGGTTAATGTTCATTCAACGTTCCAGTTTGCAATCATTCAGGGTAAGTCTTCTTTTTTTCTGTCGCAAAAATATCTAGGGCGGTATTTTTTTTCCAACGAGTACTGATTTAAATAATTTTAATTAATTCACTAGTATCAATTTCAGTTTTTTTTTCAAATATATGTTTTGTTCTAAGTGATCCAATAGTCTTGCTGCGCACTAACACAAATGTATTTCTGTAACGTTTCATCTGATCAAGGTCAGACTTCCTCAGACATACATAGTTCGACTGAATACACCCAATACTTCAATGGTATGTTTTGTTTATAGCTATTCAGATTTTTCTCTTTATACTTCCAATTATGGAACAATTTCCAAGTTCAGTTATTATGTATCGCTATGAATAAACCAATAAAATATAATTTAGACTATACAAAAATGGAATTTGGGCAACCAACCTGAAAGCTTTGAACATCTTTTCTTGATCCCACGCGAAGCCATCAGGATGAAAAATAATGCGTCTGCCCCAAACTGTCCCAGAAAATAAACTTAAAAGGCCAAAATCTCATCGTCAGGGGTAAACGAAACAATAAATATTAACTCTGAAAAGCAAATGTATTAAACAAACTTATGGTGCAATAGTTGGGCCAAGGCAAGCACTTTCATTTTAAAATTGTTTTATAAGTGTTATATAATTAGGTAACCGTGCGGAATCGTGGATACATATATATTTATTCGTTGATTTGAACACAGGAATGGAATTAAGTGTTTTCATAGTCTTAAGTGTAAGAATATAGGCATGTTTTACATTAAATTATCAAAACATTGGAAACAACGTTAAATATCATCCAATCATTAAAATTAAATGGTGGATTTGATTATATGTCACCCTGGTTTTCATCACTAAAATTGCATTCAAATTATATTTTATTCCTATCTATGAATGATAAGAGTCATCGGAAATTTTTTAAATAAAATAATCCACTGTAGATATCACATAAGCTTGCGTGCCAGTCAACTACCTATCGAACACAAATTGAATGTTTACTCATGCATAAAATATGCGGTACTCTGTCTTCGTGAGATTTTTTATTACATAAGCTAGATCACGTGCGAATACATAACCGTCAGACGCTTACCAAACAAACTTTGGCATAATCTTACTAAATTTCAATTGCAGTCTCCGGAAAAGTCCCCGCTATAATTTTAGTTTAAGTAACCTGGACGCAGCAGGCTACTATTGTTACATACTCAGACACATTACACACTTATACCCCTGACTCTGTAAAATTCAGAAATATCCCGCCAATTTTAACTACTAATTCCGCCCCTAAGTTTTAGGGTTGTAACAATAACTATATCACACAAGCTATGTTGGCCATGATTGAGCAACAGTTCTTATTTTACATATCCCTTTTCCCGCACGCGGTCTTCCATTCTCTCTGTTTCTACTGATAATTTCGCATCTAAGTTCTAAGTTCAATGAATTGACACAATCTGTAAGCGTAGTATTTTATCGATTGTGTAACAAATCCTTTTGGCTACGCTTGATACTGTACTATACTATATCGGACGCCGGAACGCGCAGCGACATTTTTGTTACGTAATCACGAACAATTTAATCAAAAGATTTAAGAGCTCGCTGTTTACTCATATTTACAAATTGAATAAAGATGGCGCTCAACAAACTTTTTTCCCACAACCTACGCTTTCGGGATTATATTAACTGAAAGACCTACCCCCCAGAAAAAAACTATAACTGGATTTATCAGTCTTGATCAAAAATCAAGTAACACCAAAATAATTTTATTCAGCTTCTGAAGTCACCTTCGATAGGAGACCGGCAACTATATTCGGCGATCTTATGGACGGACACGAAATGTTGGAATGCACACATTATCTTAGGATTAGGGGGTCGGTCACACCATCACAGGGTTTCGTATATCTCTGGCATAGCGCATCCGCGACCTTGCTTTTTCAACTGCCTTGTATACTGTCTGTGCTAGCATTTTGCTTCAAACTGTAGCCTAATATTCGCCCGCTCGGTTACTCGGTTGTCGAGTAGCATTGATCAATAAATCATATTTTTTTACGGATCAGAGTTTAACCGACCAGGCGTATGTCGCGCTTGGGCGATAGGAACGGATTTGTCAGCGACTCGAAATCCAAAATATATATATGTATTTTATTGGGAGCGCAAAATAAATGTAACAAAACGCTTTGTTTTGCTCTACAACCTCGTATTTTCGGAAACCGGGTGTCGTGAAACGTAAAGTTTGATCTAAATTGATCGCAAATAATGTTTTATGATCTAACGTCCAGTACTCAGCATTTTCCGGGAGACTTCGAAAATGCTTCACTATTCCCAAAATGAAGATTGTTGCAATCGGAAAACCGCCTGTATTGTGGCAGTCGGCACCAATAATATAACGTGCAATAACGCCGTCTTCGCGTTCTGAATATTCAAGTCTGCCGCAAACGCGTTCGCGGGCTCTTTGCGAAAAAACACAAGTATAACCACGCGAGACAGATTTCGTCGATAGAGAACAACGCTGGTCCCTGGTTAATAAAGTATAAAACCGAAATACAGAAATTGACGCACGCGCCGAAGAGGCGGAAACCGAGTTCTAGGGATTCGAACCCTCCGGATTCGGTATGCTATATCGTCGATCTCCACCTACGAGTGATTGAATTCTTACTTTTGTGCTATAATCCTGGTATAAATCATTAATTACTATCCAATAAATGCAATCACAGAACAGCAGAATTACCTTGCCCCAAATCCATTTCGATAAATTATGGTACCGACGCAGAGATGACTGGCAGATGCCACGACCCCCTTACTTTATCCTAATGCCTCAATATTATCTTTTCATTTCCTTCAACCAACAAAACCATGTAGGGAATAGTAGTTGATTAGACAACATTTTTTACAGTAAAGTTCGTAAAACTTGAAATTAGCCCAAAACATCTTCTAATTTGAAAAAGTATTTCGGCATAATATATTAATTACCCTGATCGTAACAAGCGCGACAGATATAAACAACAACTTGGATTGCCCTTAAATTCCAGTTTTAATTGTTCCCGGACAACGATTTTAATAATATTATTTGGTTCACGACGTCCATTTGAATTACTTACAGGAATTACAGGATTTAATTCTTTAGAATCTTTTTTATAAACGTATCCATGTCAAATTACCCCTTAGTGAAGAAAGTGTGATATATAAGCCTATGAAAAATCTACTTTTGAAACCAGCGGTGTTCCTACACAACTGTGTTCAACTGAACTGAAATACAATATACATGAACAAACGTAGTAGTATTATTTTTGTATATATTGTATACCATTCCAAATACGCAAATAAAATCAAACGGAGTTCCCCTTCTGTAAGCTCCAAAATATAGCAAACTGATGACGTAGTAACGCATCAATCATGCTTTGCGAACCGGCCGTGGGCGAACTACCAAATTGCCGTTGAACTTCTCCAAGGTTACAGTTGCAATCGAAATGCCGTCGCAGTACAACGCGAACATCCAGTCGCGTCAATTTGATAGCACAGCACAAAATGAACTTACGCAAACTACGCTTATGAGAAGCTGACTACTGATAACCTTTGACGCTTGTCTTTGTTTTATGACCTAGTTTGTTCCAACTTACCCGATTAGTGTACTCGAAATCTCAGCAAAACTAGGCTAGGCTATATGGCAGTATCCATAGATAGGCTCAATATGTTGACTAACTATGAAATGCTTAACTTAAATCATTAGATTTGAACGTGAGTACATTCTAAGTTAGATGATATGGAGCGCGACAGCTACAACGTTGAACTTGGCTAAATCGAGTCTGTATAAAATATCGTTAATTTGGTAACTAAAGCAATAAATAAACTACATCATATTATGTTCCGTTCTCGACATTTTTTTACAGTAGCATTCAATGCATGTCTCGCTCACTACTGATTAAACTAACAAATAAATAACTCAACAAGCTTTTACTATGTCGGCAGGGCCGGCTTTTGACGAAGTGACGTCCGTCTTCGGCAATGACTCCATAAATAATCTATTATGGCGGCACAATTACCCTTTTTTTATTGGTTGTGGGAAATATATTATGATGTCAGAAATTTTAGTTACGGGAAAATACGTGCACTATCACCCAAATAAATTCGATATTAAGGCTGTATACTAGTCAGGGTAACAAAAGCCCGACATCATGATAACTGTTTCTAGTCACGAGAAATTAGGGGGCACTGATAAAAACTCCATACTGAAAATTAAAACTAGTACCTGTACTACTGGATACAGCGCAAAATAACGCAAACAGCGCGAATCGGAGAGTAATAGCGCGAAACAAAAAAAATTCCGCAATAAATATCATTACGGCAATATCCTGATAACATTTTTGAACAAATGTTGTAATTTTAAGAGAATGCCAGTTTGTCAAGTACGCACATTTACGTAGGCAGAATGCGGATATATATATCACGGAGGTGTTTTACCTTTTTTTTTCTTCAGAAACTTTTATATCATAAATTGGTCGTATGCGTGTTTGCCAAATATTTGCGCCTGTACAATATGACTTAACATTATATTCTCAATTCTCAGTCATGTTCTCTTTTCAGCCGACTCTAGTCGCAGAACTGGGAAATGAGTAAAAGGGGAGGTACAAAGTTGGATTGTTAGTAAATATTGCTAGCTTCACCTATTCTAGTTAATCGTCGTATTTTCAAACGCAAAACGATATAAAATCCCACCTTCCGAAAAATACAAGTTCATTGTTCAGAATCAATCTGAGAATATTTGAAAAAGCGGATAACCAAACACGCCCTCTAGAGCAGTAGTTCTCAAATTTTCAAGCCGCGCCACCTTTTTAGAATTTGTCAAGTCTCTCACCCGCCTAAAAATACTAACGATAAGCTACAAATAACAGATATATAGTAAGTCGAAAGTACGTTTCATTCAAAAAATATGTTAAAATACGTGGATGGAAATATCCAAAATAAAGAAATGTAAATATCCATAATAAGGCGGGCAAGGTCAAATATAACAAACATCTTTATTTTTAATCAGCTCCAAGCTCCCTCAAAAAATTGTCTAACCCCCCTTGTGGGAAAAGCCCCACTGCTCTAGTCTAGGGAATACGAGTGACTAACCGAACGAAAGATCCACAGAAACCGAAGGCGTGTAAAAATAACATTAAAATCTAACGATACCGGGCAACTGTCGTTATCTGCGCGACCAGCACCATGCATTGCTTCCAAAACATATTCTGTGAAAATTGGCAATTCCTGTCAGCGGACTTGATCGGCGCATACCAGAAATGCCCCTGGGTGTATTATTCTTCGGCGGTTAAATAAGTCTCGCCTCACAACCTCGCTTCAAGATCACATCTCGATTCACGTCAACTTGGTATTGACAGAGGTTGACCCCGTTTGACATTTGTTCACGTGATTGTAACGGTGAAACCAAAGTCCATATATACCTAAGTTGCGCAACAATGGAAATTGGCCGCCATTTTCGATCAATGTCGCCTGCGAGGTTACGGCGGTTCTGCGTGATCCTCGGCTAGGCTGGTGCCTTCTGCCATAAAATTATAGGCTGCTCGGCGTCTAATTGCAGCGGGAACAGCAAACAGTGCAACTATTGAAGCTATCAGCAGATGCCGAAGGAAGAAACTAATGGGAAAATATTTGTGGAGGCTGGAAATCCGGCCCAGGCAGTTCGTTGTGTGAGGTTAGTCCAAGGTTGTCCAACCTTTTTGGCCAAAGGGCCACATTTAGTTCACGAATGATTGCGCGGGCCACTTGACATGGTTTTTATGTTTCAGTTTTAAAGATACAGTTAAGTCAAAAGTTTTTACCAAACGTAGATATTTCAATGCCAAGTATGACACCGCTTTTACAAAACCTGCTCGTACAAGTAGCCTATGTGCTGTCAAATATTGAGGTCATAAAAACCGCCTCTTCTAGCTTCAAAGAAAAAGGACAGAAAATCAGATTGAAATACATGGCACACGATAAAAATAAATTCAAACATCTCTCTCCAGCAATAACGCTCACAATGGGAACTAAATAAGATTTCGATAGCTGGGTGGTACTTCTCGCACGTTTGAATGACGAGGAATAATTTTTTTATTAGAGGTTTCAAAAATGGCCTAGATTTGTAAAAGACATTGGGATTCGAATAATACCGCGCGGGCCACTCGGAAACCTACGGCGGGCCACATGTGGCCCGCGGGCCACGGGTTGGACGACCCTGGGTTAGTCCAACGAATGGCCTAACGTCAAACTGACACCAGACAGGCTAGTAATCTGCAGGCTGTACATAGTTTTGGGATGATGTCACATTTAATTATTTATATCACGTTGCCGATCCGACTCACTAAAGTTAGCCCAATAAAGTTACCGGTAACTAAAGTTACGTTGAACTACTAAGATTTTCTAAACGCTGGCTTCAGGTGTCAGATTAGGAAAACTGTATTTAAATCATCCTAAGTAATGCAATGTCAGAATTCAGTGCATTGAATGTATAAGATTCACTGTCATGATAACTTGGAGTCCTGCGGTCACAACAATTCATAGTAATTAGCAGAAATGTGAATAGAAAAGTCGGAGCTTAGTGAAAATAGATTAATGCTTTTTCTTTTGAATTTTTGAACTGATTCCGCGTTTAGTTGAGTCACTGTCAATTCTATTTTGTGGTAAGAATGGGATGCTGAACGCTTGCTATTTCAAAAGTACGTTCATTTTATACCTTACAACTCATTCCATTTTCAGACTCATTTTTGAAAAATATCAATTTGAACCGAAGAGGACGGATAAATGGAAGCAAATAAAATGGGATATAGACAATATTTGATGAGCCAAATTCACCAAAAAATTCAAATCATCAAAACCTGAATTAGCTAAAATATTGACTGAGATGAAGTTTCAAAAAAGAACAATGAGCATACAGTAAGTTTTGAATGCCAAAGTAATCTGTAATTGTCGGTTTGAATATCTTGAAATGAATCATTTCACCTACGTTTTAAGTTTGATCTAAACATCCTACTCCAGGTGCCACCAGGACAAACCAGTTGTGCCAGAAGCCTATAATGTTGGGTCATATACAGCACAAGAGTGTGAGACTGCTGCTTAAGCCTCAAGAATGACGTCAGAAGTACTATGGCTTCTGTTTATGCATATGATGTATTGTGGACTGTTGAGGACGCGCTTCGATGGTTACTACTTTGCGCACAGTGAGTAGACTGTTGCATGTGTCTAGAATCACGTTGCATGTGTCTAGAACAGGGATCACCAACCTTTTCGAAGCTGAGAGCTACTTTCTGGGTACAGATTGAGCCGAGGGCTACCAGTTCAATGCAAACTTTCATAAAAGTCAATTTGCTCGATCAAGCTTCAATTATTGATAATTACTGCTATTTAGTCAAGTAAAAACACTGATAAACCTTAGAATTCTTCAGGAAATCAAACGATTATCACAACGTATCAAATTAATCACTATCCATAGAACTTCCATTTTCAAACTGATCCTTTTTTTCAAAATGATCACTATAATAATATCCTCGGAAACCACTCCACAGGTTCACAATATACCTGCGTTTTTACGAACACCCTGCATAAGCCTAAGATAAAAATGAACTGAACAGTTGTACTGTTAAATGTTGAATTTACAAACACATTTAACTAATTATGAATATCTTGTTTTCAACAAGGAAAAAACCAAAATCAAACAAATTTGGTCTAATGCTTCTCCACCAGTGTGTTATACTCCGGCGTGTAACTTGACACTGTAACTCTGAGCGAGTCTTGCAGATTTTCATTAGCAGTGAGGCGTGTTTCGTGTTTAGTTCCTGGTGAATTTCATGTCAAAAAATGTTGATTCACAAAGATAGCTTGAACCAAACACTGGTCTCGTAAATAGGATTTCTGTTTGATTTAAAAGGCGAGCTTTTTCTGCCCTTACTGCGCTGACCAATGGATAGTGACAAGATGTGAAATATCTCTCCGCTTTGTCGTTACTATAATCGCCCCGCAAATTAGACATACGCAAGGTGGTAAAGAAAAAATCCATCCCCTACTCATCGTGAGATTTTCTGTCATTTTTCTTTGAAATCAATAACTGTATTATTGCTGCTTCACAAATCAACGGACAAGAAAAAACGCGGGTTCGTGGAAGGTGACATCTGTGATGTCATATTTGGGAGAGACCCGTCACATTACCAAGATCAAAGACAAAGCAGGATGATCGTTAAAATAACAATTAACATAGTGTCAGTTCCCACATACAGACATAAGTGCGATTTATACAAGAATAGCATGTCACATTACTAAGGTCAAAGACGAAGCAGGATGATCGTTAAAATAACAATTAACATAGTGTCAGTTCCCACATACAGACATAAGTGCGATTTATACAAGAATAGCATGACAAAAATTAATTGATGTAGCTTACTTATAAGCGCCGTTGTTATGCTTATTTTGGAACAGTCATGCGGGCGACTCATGTGGTCTTTGCGGGCGTCTTGGTGCCCGCGGGCAACGCGTTGGTGACCCCTGGTCTAGAATCACATTACACTGTGTAACACACATTTTGTTACTGGCTTCTGATTATTATTTTCTGATGAACAGTTACATACCAAAACTGAAGAAAAATGGATTTTGATTTGGGGGTATTTCACCCAAATCGTTTTTTTTTTGGGGGGGGGGGGGGGGGGGGTATAAAACAACATAAAACTTCCAATATAACACAGGGGTGCTATTTTTTGTGTTTTCAATTATCCAAATTAAATACCTATTTAGCGATTAGATGACTTATAATTTAACATAAAAATACAGATTATTTGTTAAAGTCAATTTCACGAATAAGCGCTCATATGTAGTCACCATCGCTTGGCTGACATGGGCAGTCCCGAGCTTGTAATGGAACTAAGATAAGAAAAGTCGAAATAAAAATTGGGCCTAGCTTTAACCTGGTACGCATACTGCGGAAGTTTCAATTAATGTCCCTTTTTCATGTCTTTGTTATTTGATTGTTAAAATCTTTATTGTTGGTCAATCGGATAGCACTTTTCCACGTCTTTTATATTTAGTTATTTACATGCTATTGTTGATCAATTAAGTGGTTCTTTTCCCATATCTTTGTTATTTGATAAGTATCATTTCTATTTTTGGTCAATTAAATTATTTCCAAATTGCCCTGGACTATCAGTTTGTTTGCAATGATTTCATGAATCATACTGTAACACCAAAGATTTAAATAAAAATGTTCACTATTCCTGTGATGATCATTGCTTGCTTCGTTTTGTAAACACGATTCCCAAGATGTGAAATATTAAAATTTTCCTCTTGATTTAACCCTCTTGTGTGGGTCAGAAACGTTTTCAAAACCCATCTGCTAATACTTCTCGATAAGTATACTTGTAAGTATTAACATTTTTAGAGTGCAAGTTTGTAAAAATCCCAATATATATATAAAGTTCATGCAATTTTGAAACATTTTCAGATTATGACAAACCTATGAATCAAAATCATCTTTCCCTATCCAGTGTGTTACTTTTATTCAATACTGTGTATGTATCACTGAGTTGCACTTATTTATTTTTCACGTTCAGACACATTATTATTATCTTCCTAACCCCATTGAATTTAGTTTTCAGTTAAATTGAAATTTCCATCACATCATTCTGGCCGCTTTAGATTGTTTTATTTAACGAATGCTAATAAAATCTCTCTTTTGTTGTACTGCCATTGGTAAGAACGTTTACAATTCAATTAGGCAGCGATAGCGTCGGAAAAGGGTAAATTTCAAATGTAACATTGCCAACAACATTTAGCTATAGGACAGTTGTAATATCTCATTTGACGTCGTCTTCACTGTCGAAAATTCAGTTCGTTTTGGTCGTTTGTGGTGTGAAACATCCAAACATGGGACCCCAAATGGCGAAATAGGGTATTCGAATATGACAGAAGCCAAAACTAGCCCAAGCTATTTTAGAACGCCCTGGTTGTCAGAAAATTCTGGGACAACCGTGGCCCGGGGCGCCAGACGTCAATTCCGGGACTGTCCCGGCCATTCCGGGGACGGTCGATAGCCCTAGCATCAGCAGGTCTTGAATAATTTTAGAATCCCGATCCCGATTTTCCGCAGGCTATATGTGTGTGTGTGTTGACTTGCATTGCCTATTTGTTTTAGTGTTACGGAAATATCAAAATAAACTTTACTAACCGTGTGCTGCGTCTATATTTTGTTTGTTACCGAGCGGCGTGGGTTGTTAATGTAAGTCCCTCATATTGGGTTCGATACTGACTGGGACGCCTTATCGGATTTCTGTGCTTTCGGAATATATCCCCCGGGATAAATATGTAAATCCTATCCTATCTACTCATATAAATCTTTCGCAATTACCTTTTAAAACTACTAAAATTAGGCTTGTTTGCGTTGCACTACTCGACCCGAATGATCAAAAATGGCGTCCGTATGACGCCATAATGGGACAAGTTAGTTGCACGGGGTTGGGTGAAACAATCGCTTCGGTTTACTAATGAAATGTCAAGACCCACTATGCAAACAGATGCCCAAACATTGCTGTAGAAGTTTGACAATGCCGCTTACACATGGCCGGTGTATCTTCCAAACCTACAAACACCGTACTGCAAACGCAACAGAAGCAATCCAGTCTCCATATATACCTCAAACATAATTATTCGGATATATTGCAATTTATTAAATATAGAAAAAGCTAAAAAAAATTACAAATTATTCATTTGGCATATTAGTGATACTGTATTTAAAACCGGATCTCATCGCAACCCATTCCATCGCGAACAAACAACATCAACTAATGTAAATTCTAATTGCTTCAAAAGTTGGAGAAGAAATTAAACATTAAGTATGTAGCATACATCATGTGAAATGATGATATAGAAAAATAGATATTCAAGTTGGGACGGAAGATCATAATAAGAAAAAGTTTAAAATAATAGGATTCATTGTCGATATTTATATGAAGTAACACTCATCACTTTACGACTCAATATTGCTGTATCGTATTGGTGATGTCATTCCAGGAAAGATATTATTGCTAACACTTTGGCTGTACCGATTTAATAGTAAATATGTGGAAGTAACGTCCTTGGCGATGTAATTGGAGCAACGAATGGTGTTGGTTTCCGGTGACGTTTTCCGAGAAATGGTGTTACAGATGACAAATCTGAATATACTGTAGATTCTCTCAGCTATTCATGTTGTAAAAAATACACAGTGTAAACATAAAAAACACATTAAGATCCAAATTATCCAAAAATGAAATATATATGTCCCTAAGAAGATATCAGTCCACCTATATGCTCGTATCTAATATATATACCAGGCTACCAGCTAATTTTGATGCAAGACAAATTGCATTCGAATTTTCAAAACTGAAATTAGAAAAAAACTAACACACACCCCAATTAGGTTAAATAGATAAATTATATACTAATTAAATTATGTACTAAGTCTGTGCATTTAGGAAAAAATCTGTTCCTGGATTAATAATTTAGGATATTACTATTATAAAAAGTTGACAAAAGTAATATGGAATAAGTACCTATAAGATGTTATTTAAAAAAGTATACTGTAGCATTGTTGTGAGATATTTTGCTGATAAAAGAACTTACATAGCCTTAAGCGTTGTAGCAATGGAGTTATTACATTGCCACAACCACAATAACAATTTCTAATGCATTTTAAACTGCTCATGAAAATGCCAGTGTCGGGTTTAGAAACGTAACATGCATCATAATATCATTGAAATAACACATAAGATTATTATCATTCTTCTAGTTGGATTGACACCAATCCAAATAAAAATCCCACACAGCATTGATTAGTTGCGGTAAGTGCCTAATAAAAAATATTCATACGCAATAAATGAGCTCCTTTTAACATTAATTGAGATATGTCTCAAGCCTTGAAAGTTGCAAAGACAGATTTTGGCCAAGCATGAAACATTATGCATCAGTGGGAAGAATAATAGAAACAGTGAGAGCAAAGTGCAAAGTTAAACCACAGTAGTAGTATATCGTGCAGTTAAAGTAGAGAAGTAGTACATGCTGTCATCGTCTCGATAACAATTATTCCATACGCAGCAAATTCTTTCAGCTTAGGTCTAAAGATTACATAAAAAAATATTAGTGCAAAATAAGCTATTCCTAATTAACAGAGTTGAAAGACTTAAAGCACGAAAAACTGCTTTAAATTGGACAAAGTTGGCATAACTAAACTAAAATATGGAGCTAAGATTTAAAATAATAATTGAATAATTTAAAAAAAAATTCGAGATGACTCTTGTCAATTGTTCCATTACTACCCACATGCAACAGGTTCTTTTTGGTAAAATATGAATACAAAGTAAATATGTCTCAACCCAAAACAATATTTGAATAATAAAACTTGCAATCAATGTCTCTAATATACACTGTGTTGGATTTTAATCTGATCTGCAGGAAGTCTGGAAACTAGAACAACACTGAAGCTAAGTTTGGATGCTTATTTCTTGTTTTAAAAGACATGCAGAATTTTTATAACTTCAGAAACGCTAATATAAAATGCAACATACTAGCATAGAAAACAGATGATGATATAATTTATTATGAACACATTACAGAAATTCAGTAAAGTTGCCAAAAACTTCAAAAGACTATAAGGTATCTATCTTATTTGGTTCTTTTGTAATAACAGTTATCGTGATCAAGGATTCCACAAATAAAGCAATATCAAACCAATAAATTACCCACACTAATCCAGTTAGCTCATGCACAGTGCTCATATTTTTCAAGTAGGAGTTGAAATTAAAGTTATACCCAAAATGCATGTGTTAAACTGTGCATATTCATACAGCTTTAGCTGTAGAAGGAAAGTTGAAATTATGAAGATATTTTACCAAAAATGAGTCACGGGTTCCCATTCCATCTCCAACAGCTGCTGTGGTACGCATAAAACCATTTCTATGTTCCTGTAATCTGAACGTAAAATAAAATTATTTCATACCACCGATGAAGCCGAGAATAGAAGTTACAAAACACATTTTTTTATGCTACAACATGGATTAAACCAGGGTTTCTCAAACTTTTGGTGTTGTGGATCCTGTGAAGAGGTTGACTATTATTTATTTAGGAAGCCCCACAATAAATTTATGAAATAAATATTATTTTCGGCACTATAGAAAATATCACATTTGAATTACAGCCTTGTTGCTACATTTAGACGCTACTGTTGTCACAAATTTTATCAATGCCGTTACTGCTTCTTTGAACAGTTACAAAATGAGCCTAGTCAGTATTTTAATAGGAACACAACTAGCTCCCGGAGCCCTTAAGCTTCTGAGACCTGGGGCTTCGTATGGAGCACTTTGAGGACCTATGGGTTAACATACAAACATGATTGCTAACAAACTAAAGATAGACCCGTATCAGTTAACAATGATTGGTATTGTATATAATAAAGCAGATCAAAATATCTTAGTGCTGTGTAATAAAAACAGAATGCCATTATGAGATATATTTTACGTGAGATGTGAAAGACATTTCAAGTATCAAAGAAAAAAAAAATTCATGTTAATTGGAATTGACTAATTTTAACTATCGTGCCATTCAACTATTTGTATATTACCAGAGTTCCCATGAATGTTCTGCCCAGTCTTTATTTGCTAGATTAGACGTCTTACAACACTGTGTGGTTTTGTCAGCATGTGGAATGGATGGCATGGACACAGGGAATATGCAACTGTGGATGACAGCACAGGTTGGTATTTCGATCAAGTCTTATTTCCCAATTGGTCTTTTTTCCAATTAACGTCCCAAGAGGGCCTTCAGCAAAACCTCGGTATGCAATTAAATTTTCTTCACAAAAGAACTTATAAAACCTTGTTCCTAAGATATTAACAAATGCAGTTAAATTTATATAAGTGTAGTGTAAGTACCGAACAGTAAGTTCATGTCGTTCTTGAGCCCAACGTCGTGAATTTTGTTCCAATTGGTTTTCGAGCGAATTTATTCTGCTTTCTGCTCGTTCCAATCTAGCTTGGAGTTGTGCCTTTTCTGCTTCATCTCTTTGGCTCTGTATCTGTTTACACATGTTTATTACATAAATTAATAATAACAATAGAAAACAAGTGAATAAACACTGGAAAACACAAAAATATCAATACTTCACAACAATTTAAACCAGATATAAAATAAGTTTTCTAAAAAATTATCATATAACAATAGCGCTTAGATCAGAGGTCGGCAACCTTTTGTCGCTCGCGGGCCAAAATTAAGGGTTGCAACTTGCAAGTCATTGGTGGGCCGCACATATTTTGAGAAAGTTCAAAACCCAACAGATGATACTTTTTATAAGTAAAAATCAAGCAGTGAGACATCTCTCGAATAGAATATAGATTTATTCCTTCCCTCATTGCACGGCATATCAAAAATTGCATTTGAATATTTTCGGCGCCATTGAACCCTTTGCATCAACTTTAAATTATGGGCTCATTAAACGAGTGATTGTCAAAAGGTCAATGACTCTACGGGCCGGATCCGGCCCGCGGGCCGTAGGTTGCCGACCCCTGGCTTAGATAGTTGCTGAGTACTAGGATAATGTGTATTGAACTGCAGATCATTGTCCACTCCAACTTCTTGGTATGTGGCAGTTGCCACAAGGATGCTTGAACAAGGTAGTATTACAGTGATAAATAAGAATGGCACAATCTCTTTCCAGGAAAATCAAGTATATTGTTTTAATGGTTGTGAATATATCAGTGTTGGATATGAAATGAACATGAATAACCAGAAAAAATATGACCTTCATTTCTTCGAGTTCCATTCTGAGTCTTGCATTTTCTTGTGTTAATAAAGTTGATACTTGATGTGATGGATCGGAATCATCATGTTCGTTGGATGTTTTTCTATTTCTCCTGGGTCGACTGACATCTAAAAATGATGTTGGTTACCAGCAGTTCAAAATCAAAACATCACTGTTATTGTATGAAGGTGAGGTTTGAAAACAACCCATAAAGTCTTTCCAATTTATCAAATATTTTGCTTTAGTGGTATACACAGAAATATCACACTATGGAAAGTATGATAGAATTTCATATTTACTTTGGGGAAGAGGAAAGCCAATGAGAAAACTTCATCTGCTTACCAGTCCATGTAGGATATGGGAATAGTTAGCAAGTCTGTTTATGTTTACATTGCTACCAGTATCTCCCTAAATTTTCCTAAATTAAGCTGTCTTACTGGTTTTCCTCTCCCCCAGAATAAATATGTTAATCTCATACTATCTGGATACTGAAGTAAGCCATAAGGATCCAGCGGTAAGCTGAACCATCCTACAATGGCAACCTACAAATCCAGAAATCCTCTCGCACACAACTATGCTCGATGATATTCCATTGTCCCATAAGCTTAGAAGTATATTGTTATTAAATATACACACAGGAAAACTGGACCCATCCTCTATCAAATAGCCCCTAATTATCAAATAAGTTATATGAGTACTAAGGAAAAATCAATAAGATCACCATTATGTTTTACAAATGTACAATATACAACAAAAGAATTGATTCCACTTTAAATTTGTTATACTCTCGCCGACCCTTTACCTACCTTCTTGTTTTAAATAGTCACCCAGCAGTTTTTCCATTTTTTCAATCACTTTTTCCTGTTGTACACATGTGTTTTCTAGTTTTTTCATCTTTTGTAGTTTATCATTACTTATTTTAGAGTCTTTGACATCTCGTTGATTTTTATTCTGAGAAGTTTCATTCAAATGTTTCTTCTCTCGTTCATTCGCCTGAACATATCAAATAATTTTACAATGGGCACAATTGCCTAAGTGGGCGTATAGTCAAGTGGTTAAAGCGTTGAATGTTCCGATGTTACTGCTACCGATGCCAATAAAATTTATTACACCCCACAGCAAGATAATTTGGATGCCAAAGAAAATACAGCAAAGTGAAACATCACTCATAGCCCATTTCTAAAGCTTGACAGTGACAAAACATGTGATTGTTACATAATAATATGCTTTTTCAGGCGGGCGTTCAGCTATGTAGTATTTTGGGCATGTACAGAACCATATTCCTGTTTTCAGAAAACAAAACAGTGTTGCATGAATACTAGTTGAAGACAATTTTTTAGCATGCCTTGTTCACTCAAATTATAGGCCATCAATCACTTTAGACGTGATGATCAACCAGCCTATTACAATCAACGTGTTGGCTACCCTTGTATTGCACAATGAAAATTATCTCTAATTTTGGCCCTACCAGTCTTAAACTGACCTTAATCAGAAGATTTTGTAAATGTTGAACTTTATCTCTGTATTTCTTCAACTCTCCTTTTTCTGAATCAAGTTTGGTTTTTACTGCAACTGTTGAAAGAAAATGAAAAGTGTTTGAAATTAAATCTATTTTACTTCGCATATCACTAAAAGGTTTCAACAAATAGATCAAATTCTTTTCGCCACACTTCGCTATACTTTTGATTGCTCAATGTAGTCCCGGGAGAACTCAGTTTAAAGACTTAAAAAAACAAGTGTGGAGAAAGTGAATACTTTTATCTCTTTAATTCTAATCCCTGCACGTTGACCTGTTAGAAAATTTGCTATGCATTGCTGAACCATAGATTCTGGCTCTCAAAAACTCCCTAGTAGCTCAATACCTAGCAATGTTCACAGAGTGAGGGGCATAAAAAACATGTATAAAACAAAAGCCTTCATCAAAAAACTAGGAAATTCAAAAAATATAATTTATCTGCTATCTGGTTGATGAACAACATTTTTCTGTTCTTACCAAATTTATCGGCAAATTCTTCAGTAGTAACGACACCAGTTGATATATCATTTCTAACAATATCTCCCACTTCTTTACGCATCATCAGTTCTCTTCTAAGACTATGATTTTCATCCTGACAAAATGTGATTAAGACCGTAAAATACAATAAACTGCCAAATACAACATTGGATGAAAGTGAAAACCACAGAGCGATCCATCAATCAAACTAAAAAAAGAAACTCCAGAGTTCGAGATTTATTCATAAACCTTTGAATACAAAGCTGTATTTATACACCTTTCGTTCTGAACAAGGCACAGTACAAGTAGCCAGCCACTGACATGTGAGGAGATACTTTATTTTGGAAAGACCAAAATCTCTGCTTCAGCAATATCTACCCATGCTTTAACTACTAGGCCTCTGTCCCCACAAAATGCCAAAAATTCAGGATATTCTTTCCAAAATTTCAATTTGGGTTATTACTTATTTACATATCAAAAAAATTAGGCAAATGTTTACCACTCATTAGATTTTTGATAGCAATCAATAAAACTTGACTAGTCTACTATCTACCTGCAACTTTGATACAGTCGATCGAAGTGTTGAAATATCGCTTGCCATTCGCTTCACTGCTTCACGATAATGCTCCAACTCCTAAAAGAAGTTATTTACCAGTAGGTATCGGACTAAATGCCTTATTTTACACACAACAGCCAGGTATGACTTAATATTGGACTTCCCAATGGTAGCTGATATTTTAAAACCCAAAATATAGATCATACATTGTTTAGTTCTTTTCAGAAAAACTACTATTTTGTACAAATTATGCCCAATTATGTGTGGGACATTAATAATTCAGATCAAACAAGAGTAAGTTATCCATACCACATGCTTGGTAAACATGAATCAAAATTTTTTGACCTTGGCTTAAATTCCAGTAGATGTGCTAACGGATTAGGTAACCTATGATCAAAATAGATTTAATAAAAGCTCGACAAAAGACCTATATGAACTAGTTGAACTATCTGCACCCAAGCAAAATGCATCAGAACATAGGCTTACTGGGTGTTCGTGAAGACCTGTTATATTCAAAATTATGTTAGAATAGAAAAGGATTTACATTATTATCCTGGAGGAAAGGAAAGCCCATAAGATTTAATCAAATGGCGAACCACGGCCTCTAATCCGGTTACCGGTCCATGTCAGGCATGGGATTAATAAGCCAATTTTTTTTTCAGACGCTGGTAGCCGTAACCAACCAGGGCTTACGTCAGGGGTCGGCAACCTACGGCCCGTGGAGTAATATAATCCGGCCCGCGACGCTCCACTGAATTATAATAACAAAACAGAAGTTTTGACGATTTTATTCGTTACGTAACAAAATTTATTGGGAGACACGTGTAGACTAAATTATAATATAATCAAACAAGTATAAAATTCACAATTATTTGTTTAATGAGCCTATAATTATAATTAGACAAATGGCAACAAAACACAGAAAAGTTGATGCTAGGTGCAAAGGGTTCAATGGCACCGAAAATATTCAAATGGTATTTTTGAGATGCAATGCAATACGAAAATAATTCTATATTCTATTTGAGAGATCACTGCATTATTTTTATTATAAAAAGTATCGTCTGTTCGGTTTTCCACTTTCTAAAAATGTGTGCGGCCTGTCAATGACTTGCAACCCGTAATTTTGGCCCGCGGGCAACAAAAGGTTGCTGACCCCTGGCTTACGTGAACCACCCTGCAGCAGCGAATAGTCCAGCAATCCTCTCACTCAAAATTATCCCTGCATGGAATAGAACCCTTGGCTAATCAGAGGTGCATTGGAGAGCGTATTCCTAGTTTGTAGTTCTCAATATATTTTGACCAGGTTTGTTTTATATTAATCAGTGTTTACTCAAGTTTTTTTTATTTCGTTTATATATGTTTATATGCCCATCATTAATTGTACAAAGCAGTGCACATCAACATTCCTGTAAACTAATTTAATAAACACCCTGTATGAGTAACGCAAGAGACATATTACCCTATAAAATTAGTAACAGCAAATGGTTTATTCTGAAAACTGGAAAATGATGGAATTGTAAAAGCAGGGCACAAAAATATTAACGAACGCTGGAATTCGTCAAAAATTTAAACAATTTTGATATTATCCAAATTGTGTTGTTGACAGATGCTGGCTACCAGAAATGGTTGATTCTCTTTTATGGATAATTATAATTATCCACAATTATATGGGTGATGTTGTTTATCAAGCTGTGTTCATACAATTGTATATTAAACTGAGGTAAAAGAACTTTGATATGCTTAGTGCAACTACCCTAATTGTGGGCAGATGTATTAAATAGAGTAGAAAAATACAGATTAAAATAAAACAAGCCCCGTTAAAATATAAAGAACAGACTTCCTAACAAAGTTTTGATTTTGTAGCAGTACTTCATGAACACCCTGCGCCTGCTATCTGTTTGATATTAATGTAGTGAACATTACATATCAAATATTTATTCTCTCATTTCAAAAATTTGCTTTCATAGTATTCTATCTTTAGGTTTTATTAATCCTCGAGAACTAAATTCCTAATTATCACTTTTTTTGATAGTTCCAATAAAGATACTATAAAATCCGTGCACTTGCCGTTACACCTTTTATTACCCTTCGCAAGGTTGCAGGTTTGAATCGTTTGGGGATAATTATGTGCCAGACGGTTGCTAGATTTCTTTTCATCTTAGGGTGGTTCACATTAGGCTATATAATGAGGGCATCTTGTCAGGAAACTAACCTTAGATTGGTGTCCTACAAGAGACATTGAATTATTGTTATCCAAAGGCTGCTTGGCAGATCTTTTATCTGGGTGTCTTTTTCTGAAAAACAGTTGACATAGTTTATTATTATTTTTACAATTTTGCTCCTGTTTGTTCATAATCATATCATATTTCTGTGAGTAAATTGTGTAATTGAAAATAAAAATTCAATGTTTGATATAAAAATGAACATTTGATAGATGGGAGATTAGATCATGTACTGAATAGAGTTTTCTGACAGAAATAGGCCAGCAATGAGCAAAGTAACACTCTAGATCAGTAATTCCCAACTTAATAAAAACTATGTTTCGATTGCTTATTCAAACTTCAAAGATCCCTAGCAGGAGGTATTACGCTTGCTCGCACTCGGCTTTCACATAGTTTGTATTGCATCCATCAGCATTGTGTCTTACAGTGATACTAAATAATCAAAAAATTAATACAACAACACTGAAAACAAAGTAGCCTAATATTTATATTTTTCTCTCCGAAAACACCAAAATTCCTCTCTGATTAGTAAACACTGCTCTGAACCAATAAGCAGTAGCATATTTAACCATAATTTTACTATCACTAACCAGAAAATAGTAAAAAAGATGTTAGAAATATAGAAATTGATATTTGCAAATTTTACTCACCTAGTATTCATTCCGGAGTTTGGATCATTCTCAGTTAAAACATATTCAGGTAATATTGTTTCCAAAATATCACTTGGTGGATATTCGTCTTCTTTTACCAACTAAAATAAAAAAAGCCATTGAAGCCATATTATGATGATTATAATCAAAGGAGACAGAAGCCATGATATTTTGGTTGGAGCTAGCAGAAATTTAAGGGGCTCCAGTTCGTAACCCCCAATTATTTATTTGAATTCATTTTAAGATGTAATCTACCAATTCCACAAGAACTAGATTTTTGTTGCCAAAGAAAGCTACAAGGTCTTACATAATCTTTCTATTTTAGAATTTATGTAAAAAAAGAAGTAGATTAGTTCACAATATGGGTTAAGATGTAAGGCAATGCGGTCCAACGAAAGTGAGCAGCGCTTGAATTGAAGTAAACTTTCTATTCTGCCTTACACTCAGCTCTAACCAGCAAGTTCATATGATATTCCTTCCATTTCCCCAGGTATTTGTACAAATTAATATAATTGGAATACAAAAATCAAATCATGAAAATTCTAAGTGTAATTTATCAAAAAAATAAACTTGACTATGACTATCAACTCAATGTTAATCCCAACATCACAGTAATTTATTGATATAATCTATTCCTAATTACACTACGATTTTGCTTAAGTGTTGCCACCATAAAATTCAATTTAAATCCTACTAATTCAATTCCCAATCTTTCCTAAATGTAAAAACAGGTCATAATCCATTTACTTCCAATCACTTAATTAACTATATATTATACTGCCAGTATAAATATACAAACAAGTATAGTAACCCAACAACATTCAAAACACACACCTTTCCAGAAATTGGTCTGTGATAGGGCACAGACATATCAACTTCAACGAGACTGTTGAGAAAATGTGCAAAAACTATTGCTATATAATTAACAAATTCCCAACAATTGCTAAATAAAAAAGATCCAAAAGTAAAAGTGATTCCTCAGAGTGATAAGTGATTGTCAAGTATAGCTCAAGTGTTCTCATAAATGAGCAACAATGAGTGTTTCAAATACTTAACAACTAGCCTACTACCACAGTGCTGTAACATATTTTATCCAGTCAGTTTATTTCTGAATAACTGGTTTGTACTGGAATAAACCAGATTAAAACAACAAAATCAGACAACATACAATTTTAATAAAACCTCATTTTTAAGTACTGGTAGTTACAAATTTTTAAACCAACTTTCTACAGTTTCAACCAAATAAGCACACTACTTAAGGTTTTCATATATAGAGTTACTTACAGACTACTGTACTACTACCTGGAAATGAACAAAATTCCTTAACCCTTAACTTCTGTTCATGTGTGATTGTACCCATGAATTTCAGTAATCTAGGATTCTTTGCAAAAAAGTTATGTTCTATCTAGAATATGTTCGAAAGGCGCTCCAGAAGAGTGTGTATCAAACTACCAATATGGAGATAACTAATTTTGTTTGCTCATTTTACATCAAGTTGTGTAAAGAGACGGAAGCCCGTTCACTTGGCTAACACAGACAGTCCCAAACTAGTAATCGAACTAAAATGAGATAAATTGAAATATAATTATGGCCTAACCCTAACCTGGTACACATATTACGGGAGTACCATTCCAAATGACCTGGGTTGTTTTCAGAGGGCTTCCTGTAGAATAGACCAAAACAGGAAAAAAGAACATTGTATGAACAAAATTTAACCAAAATTTCATGCATTATTATTAAAAAGTACTGTTTCTTCAATAAACCTAAAATACTTCCAAGGAAATCATGTCTTACCTATATCAAATTTCATAGTATAGCCTTATTATGTTACAAACAATAACCTTGTAATATAGATATATTTATATTGGTAAATGATATACCGGTAGTACGCTATCACAAATTGAAATTCGCAAAGAAAAAAACTTTCCTAATTGAGTTATTTTGTATAATTAAATTCACAGCTGGCTGTACTAGTTGAAACTCACGCTAAATTATCAACCTATTTTCAGTTCGCTAAGCTGAATAAATGATATGAGCATATATCACGTATATTGTGTTTTAAGTTGATACAGTGTTATGGTATAATAGGTTTCATTTTTTATTGTAACAATAGCATTTTGCTTTCGTTCTTCACACATTGTGACGAAACACAATAGGTCTTAGCTGGTGGATTATTAAATATTAGGATAACAATGAAATACATTGTTAGCTTAAAATGACGAGTGAGGCATTGCCAGGCTACTAACTAATGTTTGAAATTAAGAATTCGAGGTTGTGTTTAAGTTTCAACTCAAGTACAATTGAAGTTTGCTTATACATGTTAGGATGGAAATAGATGATTTTGATCTATGAACAGGTTTATTTTATAAAAAAGTGAAACTATATTACTTGGAAATGTTTTATTTTTAGTTTGATTACCATATCGTATTGGTGAGCTATCATTTTTTTTTCAAGTACCTCAAACTAACAGTAATCAGTTCACCATATTGGAAATACACATTGTACATACAGAACGAGGTAAAAGAAAAAATGCATTTCATGGTGAAAAAGGACACGATAAACCAGTATTGGTTATCGAGCAGCAACACCTATGAAAAGTCCAACATTAGGTCATACAAGAGTAAATTGTGAAAAAATCTAACATTAAATACTGAAGTGAAAAGTCGGACACCAAAATACAAACATTGCCATTGGCATGAATATGTTTAAAGACACCGGATATTTCTGGACTCACTAGTAACAAACGACTCCGAACGCAGACTGGCAGAAAACCATGTCAACTACAGCACAGATACAGTAATGTAACTGGGGTACAATAACACAAGCCGAGCTGGGTTGCGAAGCTTGTGCCCGGTACGGGCACTGTGCTGATGCATGGTTCATGAAGGCTGGGGACAAATTTGTACACGAAGATAATATGGAGAGAAAAAATACATAATATGTATCTACAGATCTAGGCAACGAATGGAAAATGCATGGTTGGGCATCAGAGCAAGTTAAGAATTTTTTTTTCAAATCACTGTATTAACAATGTCTTTACTTAAAGTTGTTTCAAGTTATACCAAATATGCGGAAGACATAAGAAATTTATCTTGATATGCTTGGGCCAGAACAATATCAGGAAAAAATCTAAATATCGGAAATTGTAATATATCTGAACTAGTCATATAATAATTTTTTTATGGAGTAACAAAGTGTTGGAAAATACCTAAATTTTGCAGTGTATGGAATAGCCTGCCTGTGATTGCTAGAAACAATAAAATCAGTGTACTGAAACGTAGGCCAAACATTGTGGCAAACAATATGACATCATAAAAAAAAATTGCACTTAAAACGACCTAACAGCTACGATGAGATCAATTCGACTACTTCAATTTAGTCTTTCAATTTCAAATCATTGATTAATTTTCGATGGAAAAGGTCACTAAAAATGACTAATTTTTAGAAGATTATGAAAGCAGCAAAAGAAATAGTTGAGAGCTGCATGTGGATCTCTAAGAGCCACGGTTAGGAATCACTGCATTAGACCAGCCACGAGCATTTATAGCTCTCTGCAAGCGGGTGCTAGGGAAGACTTATTCCATATTATTTTGATATGTCTAGAAAAAAATCAGATATACTATTGCGCTCCATAGCACTGATGAGCTTTGGAATCCTAAATGGATTAGAAAACTGAATGAACAAAATTGAAAAACAACTTACAATCTGAGTTTTCTTTCTGTTATACAATGGAGCTTGTTGGGATGATAAATCAGATGGTTCGGTATCGAGTAATCCTGGATTTTCACTCGAGCTCGTTTGTGGATGAGGTGATGCTGTCAGTGAGTGATCTTGAACAAGAGGATTACCAGCACTACCTGGTATCGGCATTGAGTCGAGCGAAGGAAGGAGTGTGAGAGCGGCCGCAGTTGCGAGTGAATCTGGCCTCTAAAAATGAAATAAATAGATGTTTGAACATGTTTTTCAATTTGAAGTTAGTTTTGTAGAAGTCTTTACCTAATTGGTACGGTGATAATCAGGTAACTGCCAAAGATAAAATGAATTGAGAAGGCATTGTAATACTGATAAGCTTCCTGTCCCTCCAAAGATAGAAGCTCCATACACATAGTTAGATATCAGTAACTGCTTATAAAGGGCTTTACTCACAACAACAAATAAGTGTCATACAAGAAAAAAAAAACTAATTTCACAATGCTGTATAGAAGAATGGATATTGACCAGGCTTGTGGCTAATAATGTGTTTTAAAAACCCTATTTCTTGAAAAATTAGGGAAATTAAATAATTCGGCATGCTATTTATCAGAATTGGTTTAAGACAATTATTTTAAAGTATGATTCTGAATAATAGTCAATCAAAAAATGATAAGAGTGCAGATTGCATATATGTTATGTTCAATTCAGCAAAAAGAAGTATGATGCTTTTTTGAAACAATGTTCAAGTAAACAATGTTATTTGAAGCCAAATTATTCAAGACCTTCCACAATTAAAATTTACTTCTTCATCAAGTCCATCAAAAATTGAGTGGTGCTATGTTACTTCCGAACCAAGTTGTTCCATACATATAGGTGAAGACTTATTTTTTGAAAGAGCTTGAAATCTATATATATATGAATATCAAAATCATAGGTATTTCCTTCGAATTTTTCCAATTCTGATTGTCAGTATTTTTTCTGCACCAATGTATACAAAATTTTTCCTATATAACAAACCTCTGTATAAATGAGCCTCAACACAAGATCAACGCTAGGGAAAGTTCCTGCTAAAGTTCTGAATCTTGAAGACTGGACTAAGAGATCTTCAACTCTGACCCCAAGTCTACCACTTTCAGATGTTAATGCTGCAAAAAATGTTCAATAAATAACAATTGAAACATCAATGGATATTTCCCCATCTACAGTGTACTTCCATACTATTTACCTAATCAGCAAGATCTCAAAGGTGATTTAACAATTGGAATTTTAGCAAATTCACTCAGACAGATTTCAGCAATGTTAATTCATATTTACTGGTTTTAGTATATTTGCTAGTTATTTGTCAGTTTTCCTTTGTTTTCCCCAAAATTTTGGTATAAATCAAATAAATTTCAAGGAAATTTCCTCTTTTGGGAGTTTCAGATTATCGTTGTTCAGTTATTAAAAAAATTAGATCCGAAAAAAAGGCAACAAAACTATTTATCAGTAATTTTGAATGGCATGTTGTTAAATACTCTGATTCACAATGATGATTGCGGGAAAAAAAAAACTAGTTTATGATCGCCAACTCCTGAAAACACTCAATATAAGCATAAAAAATTAGAGTTGATGAGGTAAAGGGGAAAAACCGGCAGGCACAAGGATCAGAGAAACATCCTTGTGTTCAACAAAAACATTTTTCCAGTGTATTATTAATACACATACCTCTGAATACTTCATCATCCAATAATAATGTTGAAAAACCGATTGGATTTCGAATTGTCCATGTCACAGTTGTCATACCTGAAATTCAAATGAGCATGAACTTATATTAGGTGATGGATGATGATTAAACCTGTGGTCAGGTTAAGCGGTTCGCATGAGCTTGCGAAATTCTTGTTTTATTTATTTTAGACGTTGTACGTGCACTGCTGTTGACGACTAAGGTAATATATGGTGTTTGCTATGTTTTGTATTTATTTAAAGCGTGTCATTTCAAGTTTACATTCCTCGAATGAAAGAACCTGTTGTTAGTGAGTTCGGCACAATTGAGAAACACAAACATATCTCACATGAAAAGTTGACAAAGCACAAAAATAAATCTAATTCAGTGAAAAAACTATTATTTATCTGATTGTCAAAAATAAAATACAATGGATTCATTACGATTTATCAAAACCAAAATGAATAGCGGGCATAATTTTATAAAACCAATAGGCCTACTTGAATTATGAAAAGTTCAAAGGTTAAAGGTTTAAATTTAAATACACTCTTCAAAAAATAGAAAAAAAAAGATTTAATATAGGTCTTAGGATAACCAGAGCTGTTACCAGAAAAACAAATTCAAGTATTGGAATTAAAAGGCAATTCGTTCAGATAGTACAACTTTTTTCAAGTTGAATTATGCAAAAACTAAATTTTGACAAGGAAAGAAAATACAATTAAAAAAATTCCAAATTCCAGAAACAACAAACTTACTACTGGTAGCTGGATAATATTCAATGACAAGAGCAGAATTATGGTTGAACATAGTTGCAGTATCATTTCCACAAAACATGAAGGTATGATTCCAAGATGGTTGGTCAGAACCTGTACTTGCTGTTGTCAGCTGTAAAAAAAAAAAGATAAATCAGAAAGTTTGTTATGTAACTGACAAATCATTATTTGCAAGTTTGAAATTAAAACAAAATGAAAAATGTTGTAGACACAATGACTTTTCATTTATAGTTATCTAAGGATGGGATGTGTCTATTGTTTTTCGGATTTGTCGAATCCGCGTAAATGTGAAAACCAGGTTTCGTATAGCTTGCAATGATGCGAAAACCAGGTTTTGTATTGCTTGCAATAGCGCAGTCATCCATGTAAGCCTATGTCAAATTTCATTACTTAATTGTTGAACCATTTTAAAGACATTAAAGGCCTCTTTTTTGGTCGCAAGAAATAAAACAATTCATTTCAAACTATGTCATTAATGTAATACTGAAGAACAATATTTTTTTTACTGATTCTAACCTGAGGAAATCCTTGCATCTGTTCATTAGAAACTTCAAAAGCATTAGGATGGGGTGATGGAAATGTTACTGTTGTTGTTGTTATTCCAGCAGATTGTTTTGATAACATTCTTTCTCTAAAAAATGAAAAAGAGTCAGAATTTGATCCTCCCACATAACAAGAAAAATAAAGTAAAAATACTGTAAAAATATTATCAAATTATGAAAAAAAGAAAATAATATTAGATATAATACTCATTCCAGATATTCAAATACTTATGATGCTCTTCAAAGGCATTCGAAGCTGGTTCCTACAGAAGGCACTCAGAGCCAGTCAATAAACAGTAATTAAGAAAATTCAAAGAGTAATTCTCAAATATTAGGCAAAACAAAACAGCACTATTATTGCTATCGTTAAATTTCGCTGGCCTGAACAGCTTTGAAAACGACTGATTGAAACGACTGCAATAATTATTTAAAGTGAAATTGTGGGGCCCATCAATGGCCCAAGGGATACCGGAGCAAGCTGGTAAACAATCAAAAGTATTGCATTCTAAAAGATAACTTCAATTTTGAATTACGGAAGTCAAGTATTTGAAAAACGTTAAAATTTTCAAAAACAAGTTACTACAATATTTTTATATGGAGATTTTACTAATCAACTCCACACATAGCTCGTTACAAGAGTCATCATTAGTAGGGCTAAGGCAGGGAAGTATTTTTGGTTGATCTGAAGTCTTTTGAATCTGTTCACAGAACCGATGGTCAGTTACGGCTTCCTCCGCCATCAAGTCTGAAGACAATTAAAGAGCTAACTAATCCAATACACGACATGGACTGGTAACCGGACGAGTGGCCAAGGTTCGAATTATGATTAAGCTGTCTTATTGGCTTTCCTCTCCCCTCTAGATAAATATGTAAATCCTTCCCTATCTTATCTTTCAGGTTTCACATTGTGAAACAACAATCAGCTTACTTGTAAACAGTGTAATCAGGAACAATTCTTGCCACAGCAATGAGAGGACCACTAGGTGTTGCTAATTGTCTATGTAAACCCCTCAAGACAACTTCGAGTCCGCAGAATCCAAAATTATGCAATCGAGGCAGGTAACTTCCTCGGCGTTGTATGGTAACATATGCTCGAATACCAGATCCAATCGACTTTGTCGGCTGAAACAATATAAAAAAGTATGAAACAGTGATTTCATTCTATAAGGCATTTTATTCCTTTACTCCAAACACGGTTTCATGAAACAGACTAGGTTTTGGACAAGTGAAGCTCTCTGATCCAGTCTATCCAGCATATCAAATTTATTAAACGAGGTTGTGAACAAAAAACGAGAATATCGGTCAGAGACCGAAGACTTATTGATCGAAAGTTAGGGGATCCCCCAAAACAGCGCTCTTACTCCATAGTGACACCTTGTGTCCCATCACTAATTAATTAATAACTCGCTAATTATACGACATAATTCGCCCAAAATCAATAGGCTTCTGGTCCGAGATAAGGTGAATGCACATGCAAAATCTGGAGCAGATTCAATCTCGCTTTCGTGAGATATCGCGTGCATCTAACAGACATACAGACAAATACCTATCAACATGCTTACCGATTAAAATCGATAAGTAACAACTGCTGGAAAAAGCTAGAAACAGATAGTTTTAACCTATAGCCTAAATAATATCAAAAATGTAGAGCTCACAAGTGGTGCTGTTTTTGTTCTCCCATGTCACATGGTATACAGACTTTTCGCACCAAGGACTTTCTCAACCATAAGAAGGTTGAAATTATCGATTTCAAAAATGATATATATATACCGGTATGTGGATTTATAGGACATCTGCGGGCATAGCAAGGGTTGTACTGGAGCTAATTTGGTGAGTAAATATCCAAAAATAAAATGTTTGTGTATTTATACCTTTTATTTTTGAACAATGATGATGAAGTAATCGGAAATGTAGAACCGTCCATAGGGCTAAAAGTATATAACCCATGTCAGTTTAGCAAACAAATATCACATACCTGTACGAGTTCGAAATGATATGGATGGAAAGGAATTAAATTCTTCAAAGCAACACGATAGGTAACTAGTTTCTCTTTTGACGCACTATCTGATATTGTTAATATAACTTCCTCTTCGTCAGCAGTTTCTTCAGAAACCTGAAAAATAATAAAAACATAAATTCAACAGTTAACTTTGGTGAAAGTGACAGGGATGTTAGTAGGATTAGAAATTAAGTAGGATAATTTTACTGAAGACCCAAAACAATCGACATATTGCACCATGCCAAGAAATTGAACTGCTTGTGAATTCAAAAAATTGTATTCATCGTGATACTGAAAAGGTATGAAATAAGTTTGTTCTTAATAAAGATAATTAAAATAAAGGACAAGTGTTGTGTGCATATTTGTGTTAGCATGCAGCAACACTCTCAATAAATCACGTAGTATAGTCATCTTTGCTCCTGTTACAGCATCCTTCCATTATATTAGGTATGTTACAAAAAAATTAAAGTTCATCCGATTTAAATAAAAACTGCACCAGTGGATAGATCTAAGTGAAAATAAGAAAACAATACCAAGTTTGCGAAAAATGGTCAAGAATTAACGGAGATATCTGCATTTAAGTACCGCCCGATAGGCCAATTTTTTCCATAAGGATTGTATTGCGCCGACTCAAAAACTGTGACCGCGAGAATGTCAGACCGATAAACAAGAGAATGTATCTCGGCTATTTTTGGAGGTAATCGAAAAAAATTTTGAACGAAAAGTTATTGTGAATAGAAGAACCTAATGCAAAAAAGTTTACAAATTCTTTTTAACGATATTAGCTGCTTTTCAATTAATTATGTATGAGAAAGTTTCTGAACTTTACATAACCTCTGGTCGGCAACGACTTTCCCAATACGCAAGTTCCCGCATACGCGGCAATTAACTGATTTAGCGTTTTTCATATCCGACCTTAGTGAACGATTAATTATCATTTAATATTCCTTTAACTCGTAGGAGATTTACCGCGCTTAGTGAAACGCAAAACGAGAGAAATCGCTGCGAGGGAAAATGTCGGCATTCAGTCGATAACTGATGCGCGTTGACAGACGCGTGCTAAGATCATACTTCTCGTGCCTTGAATTAATTTGTACCGTTTCGTAAACGTATGCGAATTGACTTTTTTCTATAAGAACTTTAATAAATATGAAAAAAACAAACACATATCAATCTTTAATTTTTTGATGTACGTCACATCTAAGAAAATTCAGATTACTTTAGGACTTTATTCTGGCAACGATCATTGAGGCCGTCGGAAGATCGTCGCAAATCAACGCTGGAGTTGAGCATATTAGTTTGACAGTGCCTCGTTGCGGGTAATAATTAACGATGTTCTGATTGAACACACTTCATAAAAATTGGTAAGTATCAAGTTAGGAATGACATACATGCGTCCATATATATTTTATTGGTGTCCATAGACAATATCATTAATTTGCAGTACGTATAACTTTAGCGTAATTTTTAAAAGCCCCGAATGTTGGGAAATTTATGCGCTAATGAAAAAATTCAAATACCAAATCATAGTTGCGCATTTTATCTAAGTTATGTCCAAATTTCATGGAATTCCAAGCAACAGCAGGCAGTCCGTAGTCGTTTTTATGAGCGGTATTCTGACACGGCGTTACGGTACTTAGCAGACGTGGTGCGTACATTTTTTGACGCGAAAAAGCGCGTTTTGTAACATTCCTAATTATATGCATATGGACTTGTATAAGCCCCCATCTGATAGTAACCAATTAACGTGGACAATTGAGAAAACACATCTTTATTTTCTTGTTTCAACCCCAGATAATCTCCTATTTATCTCAAAACGATATGTCTTTATCCCAAAAAAATACCTCCATGGTTAATATTTCTTCCCATGTTGGTGAGTGAGTTGCTTGTAATGTTGCATGAGTTGCACTTTGCGCTTTCCTAACACCACGTTCATCAGCTATACTCTTCCTGTAATCCAAAACACAAGAAGAATTTTATAATCTGAAAATTCAGCAGATATTTCAAATACCGGCATTTGACAAAAAGAGCATATTGTACAGACACTGTTAACTTAGAAAAATAGACGACTTAAATTTTGTTTAGAAAAGTTTTGCCCCATATCAAAATTAGTTAAAGTCTCGTGTTCAAATCCAATGCTCGCCACCTGGGGTGTAATAAATTGGATAAGTAATGCTGAACGGGAAAGATTCCAATCCTTTGTAACTACAAAAGTTTAGGATTCGCAATGCAGTGAGTAATTATGTGTTATTTTAATTGGTAGCTCCCATATCCCATTATGATCCAACAGTTCATGCAAAACTAAATAAAATACCTTGTGACTGGAAATAATCTCCAAACGATGAAATAACAGAAAACGGGGAATTTTCCTCGCTTGAAAGCCGTGGGCCAGAGATTGGGAACCACCACTGAAATGCTTTGTGTCAAATTGTGCATCAGTAAATGCAAATAAAACACATAATAATCAATCGCATGAGATAATAATGATAAAAGAGTTCATGCTTACAAAGATGCAAATGGGAGAGGATCTTGTCCATCAGATCGTGAAGGTAAGCTTGTTGCACCATGAACAATGATATATACTTCCTCGTACCCTGGTCTTGCTACATGATGATCAGGTCGCAAGACATAAGCTGGAAATGAAAACGGATGAAAATTGAAGAGTGAAAGTGTAATCCTTGACAAATGCAGCCATCCCCAATTATCGAAAAGTAGTAAAAAAAATCTTTATAAGAATACTAATTTTCAAAATGAAGAGTATTTATCATTTACATTAGGCATTACTGGATACTCAGGGCACCAAAATCAAGGTTGTTGAGTCAAGAGTCTATTATGCTTTTAATGTCGATGCAGATTGTAAAACCACCTAGAGTCGGGAGGTAGCGGCAGAATTTTAAATTTTTCAAAATTTTTCAACAGGTATGCAGTAGGCATAAATTGATTACCGGTAATTCATTGTCAACAGGCAGTTATAAAAGGCTTGCATACACCAAAGCTTTTGTGAACAAAATTTGGTTTCACAGAGTTCATAGCTATGAGATGTAATTCTAATTCCATTAAACCAGGTTCCGAATTCGATAATCGTTTTCCAAATGGCTCAAGAGAATAGACTTCATAGAGCTGACTGAAAAAGTTGCCTAATGGCGACTTTTGACCTTTACCTTCTCTATCAGGAATAGGTGATGTTAAGGTTGGCGATTTTGTTCTCTTTGGATTAACCTTCTTTGGTGGAGATTTTGTAGAACGAGTTGGTTGAGGTGGAAGATTTGATGGTCCTGGTGAATCCATTGTTTTCTAGAAACAAAATGAATATTTAAAATTTCAACCAATATATAACCTGTTGAAACAACATGCAAAAGCGTATGAAAAATATTTGATGAAAAATTATAGACAAAAATTAATGAATGAGTTAATTTCGTTGTGGGATGGCCTGGTGGTTGTAAGCGTTAGACTTAGCAGTGTTGGCATCACAAGGTTCATATTTCTGGTGGGTCAAATCGCATGCCTACCACCTCACCCAGGCTGTAGTAAATTGAAATGAAAAGATGATTGAAAGTAGTTCCTTATAATATATCAGTGGCTGCTTCTACAGTACCTTGTTCAAAAATTAAAGACTGAATAAGTATCATTGAAAATGCTTTGCTCTGTCAATGGTTCTGCGGTTCAAACATTTCAAGTCGCACTCCGATCATTTACTTTCATACACTGACAATTAATTGACTTAAAAAGTTTTTTCATGATTACTTGGAATCAAATAGAAAACCTTATTATTATTGTGAGCCAAGTATAGATTTCAGGAGTAGAGATTGAAACAGTAAAATATTGCTTTTCTGAAACAAATCAAAGTGATGACTAAAATTACCATTGAATGAACGATTTGCCAATATATTTTTTCATCGAATATTTAAAATGATATGCTTTCATAATATTAGAAATTAAAAAAACACACATAAAATAGATTCACAAAATCTTCACCTTAGAAACCAAATTATTCGTTATTAACAAAACAAACAAGCAAATCATCACATTAATAAAATTTATGTCAGGAATGGGAAGTGTTAGATTTACACAAAGAATAAAAGATAATAATTCCCCATCTGGAGATTGTATACATACAATGACACCCAAATTGTAGCATGCATTGAACTTCAAATGAAAAATTAGGGTAGATATAAAATGTACTAGTAATGAAATACAATTTAATCCCTGTTCATGGTTTTGTTAATATTGAATATAGCATAATGGCAAATCAAATACTTTGTTGCAAAGAGTTGAAACATGTTCACCCAGTTCCAGCCGTTGCAGACCAACACAATTTCAAGCTTTCAAACAAGAAAGTTGAGATTGGTCTCCCTTATTGAATAAGGAAATTGTTGATTGTGTTTTGCAAACAGGAAATATATTTAAACTCCAGTGATTTAGGAGACAACTTTTGGCTTTCAATAGGTTGTGTGTCTTTTTAGTAATTGCTATCAGTAATAACTCCTATTTTGACATTACAATTTAAACTTAATAATTGTTTATTTTAACACCAATGTTACAAAATAATTTCATGCATAAAACCAAGATGATAGTGAAACAATGTTTGAATACCAAGAACAAAAAACAAGTAATATAACAGCAAACACTTGCAAGTGACATTCATACAAATGTTTTGTGATCAAATTGCTTGTGGAGTGAAGATTGTGAATTCAAGCAAATTGAGTGTGAGTATGTTAAACTACAGAAACACTGTTCAAAAAGAGTTGTATACTTGTGATCAAATTGCTTGTGGAGTGAAGATTGTGAATTCAAGCAAATTGAGTGTGAGTATGTTAAACTACAGAAACACTGTTCAAAAAGAGTTGTATACACACAATTGAAATTACAGTCAATTTCATTTTATTTAACAGGTTTTTTTAAACCACGAACCAGAATCAAAGATCGAGGTGTAAAGAGAACAAATGAAAGAGGTAATTAGAAAATTTGGAATTTGGAACATTCGAAAAACTTCTGAACGTATAATGAAAGGTAGAACAATATAGACTTTTAAAAAAACCAATTGACCCTAGCTGTTTTATTACAAATGTATACAACCATCCAAAATTTCTTTATTGTTCATTATAGTAAGTCTTCAATTTCAGCGAAATATGAACAAGAATTAAGACAATAAATATTAGCTATTTCCTACGGCCACACAAACAATATATCATAAGTAATATATTTTTTGTTGAATTTCTCCTATTCAACCAAACCATGATAAACACAATTAATTATCCAAATTGCCATTTTTACGTTACCAAACATTTAAGACTTATTATTTGTTCATCGAGAAAATGAACCCTCTTAAAAAATAAAAGTGGACAATTGTTCAATATTACAAAAATATTTGTATCACTTATTCTTAGATAAAACCTAAATAAACCTAAAAAGTATCGATAGATCAACGCAGCAAAAGTTTCAAAGGTTATACGATGTAAATTTAATATGCATGAAACTTCCGAATAAATAAACTATCCTTATTAATTTTGCATGTAACCTAATTGGATTTAGTTTGGACGTAATAAGTTGATCTGAATATATTTATTATTTAATATTATTTATCAAAACTTGTCATGTAATAACATATCAATAACGAAGTGTATAGAAATAATTTTAGCATATTTTAATTAATTTTCATTTTAGATGATGCTGCAAAACAATAAAGGACCACCCAACAAAAGGAGAAAAAAGTAATTTTGTCACAACTACCTACACTAAACTTGCTATAAGCTATGAAAGAGCTATCTTTGTATCAGAGATGTGATTAGAACAGTGAGAGATATGAGACTGGGAGCAATCATTTCGACGCTGCTAGAAAAATAACTAGCTGAAAGGGAGTTCCACACACAGTTTTAGGAAGCATACCGCTTATTTTCCTTTGTTTCTGCATGTTTGGACCTTATTTGAGGTATTATTTTCTCTCCTGATTTTGTATTCAGTTTTTATTTGTTTGTTTTTATCAAATATTTTATCGCCTGTTTCGTTGATGTGGTAATAATTTATACTTATTAGGAAACAAGAAATTTTACCCTGAATATAACATAGTCAGATTCAACCCACAAACTCTCTATTCTCCATAAGATATATATGTATCATTATATATTAATGAATGCAATATAATGTTGTTGCACTTTCTCATTTATAATTCATAAAATAAATTTGATAAAATTTTGTCATGCAGGCAAAGGTGATGGATGATATTAGGCATATATTATGCCATATATTTTGATGCCTCGTTGTTCAAAGCATGTTTTATTGAAGGTCATGAGGGATCAGGGATAAAAGGATAGCATAGCAATTAACGAAATACAAAAAACTTTTTATAGTATGGCATGATACGGGTATCAGCTTACTAATATCAAAATCCACATAGCAAGACAGGAGTGAATTTTTGCATGAAGAAATTATTGACTTGAAACCAACTTATGAGCTTAGTAGAACATAGGATGAGGTTTTAAAAGCACATATTATGCCTATGGTTCACTTGGTAAGCATGATGGCCTAACTGTTAAAAGTATTAGAGTCAGATGTGTTGGTATCGCGATTCGTGAGCTATCCGCAATTCCGAACCGATGAGCGAATGTTCCAAAACCAAAAAATAGAATCTCCTTACATATTGTAAGATAAGATATCCGTTGCCGATTGTACAGGGCAACAGGATGTTCCACCGAGCTAAAAAATTTCCAACTTTTATGGCATTTTTTAGAATTGTTGAGTAATACAGATCGACATACGATTTTGAAAAATTGTATGTCCTCTAGGCCCTAATGTTCCGTTGCTAATTTATATTAATTTGAGTTTAACTGAATTGATGCCAAATCTTTTTTAAAACAGGAACCTTTTAATAAATTAGGAAAAAATAATTGAAATTTAGTTGGTTAAAAAAAGAAGCGAACAATCGACAACTAATTATATTATTGTTTTACAAAATCATACAGACGAATATATAACATAGTAAAAGGTCAACATGAGTGAGATTCTAGAAGCAGGAAAACCACCAAGTAGTCAAGAAACAAAAGTCAATGGAAATCGGAGTTCATCATCAGTTAGTCCTGAATCCAGTATTTCAACTTCAAGGGGAAGTACTCCAAATCCTGTGGTTTCGGTGGGAACTTTTGAGTTTCATTTTTTGCCAAACTATTTGAGTATTTTGAAATAACTCTACATTTGTCATCCACATGTTGTAAAAAGCTTATGATATCTAACTCATTTAGAGTCATGACTTGTATTATTAACATGAATTTTATAACAAGATTTAAAAATTACGATAAGACATAGAGGCCCAATAAAATTAACTGGAAATCATAAACATTAGGACTAGATGAAGATAACAAACTGAAATTTAATGAGACTAATTCAATTTAATTTTGGATAAGTCCGAACTCATAAACAAGCCCCAGTCTAAAGGAAATCCTCGCTAACGTTCATGTTCAATTTAGACAGCAGAACATGGAAAAGTTTTGGATTGGTGGCGAAGAGTAGCAATGGAATATGCAAAATCAGCAGCAGTAAGTATATTAATTAAAAACACAATAAGTCAGCTTTAGTGTCTAAAGATTCGTAAAGAATGTGCGTATGTGTAATAGGTAATACCGCTATAATAAATTGACAGAGTGTAAATATGATATATCGTGAAGTTCATGAGGTGGAATGTAAATTTCACTAGATGATTTATCTGAAAAGAAATTTGACAATTACCTGCCAAAAACTTGTCTAAAATAGAAGATTTTCTCTCTGAGTTGCGCAATCATAACCAAAAAGTCAGCAGTATTTTACCAAATCACCAAAATCTGTAACTAAAACAAACTAATACATATATTAGCTCAAGCAAGATAACTGGATGCAAGCATTTCATGACATGGACATGGAGGAGGTAAAGGAAGATCTACTAGAAGAATTTCAGGTGATGGAGCACTTCATTTACAATTACCATATTTGTTTTTCATTTCCTGTGTATGTTATTAAATAATGTGTTCGACTTCCAAATTCAGAATGTATGATACATAAATGATACTATTTAGGCAGTATTTACTATATTTTCACCACAATATAACCTGAAAATATTTTACAGCAACTATTGACGGAAGATTTGAAAAATTTAAAGCAAGATGAAGCAAGACGATATTTTGATAGACTGCGGTAAGAATTTTAACTGGAGAAATAAATTAAATTAAAAAGTCCTTATTCAGGAAAGTTTGCGGCGATTCGCTGAGTGCGTCTCAAAAATTAACAGAATTCTGTTAAACATAACTAATATATGATTGAATATATAAATGTATATGAATCAATAAATTAGTTTATCTTTCTATGTTGTTTACTTTCACTTAATTCTGTTTTGATCACAAAATTAATTTTCAATTAAATAGTATAAAATACAGTAATTTTTTTTCATGTTCGCAGTGAGTTTTATCGCTGATAATTTGGTCCACATGAAAAAAATAATTGGGAACTGCTGTCCAATAATTAAAAATGAATATTTAAATCTTGATACCAGAGATCATTATTCCAAGCGTTTGACTCATGATGATCAAATAACATAACTAATTTAACTTTACACTAATGAAGAGAAGATTAAAAAAATAACAAAGTTTGAGATCCATATTCAACATGAACATCCAATTTAGGCCGCTCTGAAGTTTTTTATACCAAGATGACACACAACCTGAACAACCCTGACCTGGTACACATAATATGTTCAGGTCTTGTGCCATCTTGGTACGAATACTTCGGGAGCAACCAATTTAGAATATCATTTCAGGATGCATTTGGAATAGTCAGTTACTGTTTTTTGCTTTCCTTGGCTACTGGGCAACAATCCTGAAATACATGCGAAACAGATAAACATGTTTAATATTTATGTTACCGTACTGCATAACAGGGAACAATTGGAAGTATTCGAAAACAACAAACTTTATGAAATAACTAAAGAAATGAAAATTGCTGATAAAAATATAAGGTTTGAATATTTGAGTGGACAGTTTATGGAAGACACAAGGAAGAGAATAAAAGAAGCACTAAGTGAGGTAAGTATAACAATGCTTGGTGCTACTCTACATTTATAGAAAGATTGTCTATAAAAGAGAAAATCTTGGAACAAAATTTAACCTAAACATTAATTAATTTATCAGAGTATTCAAATGCCTAGCTAGTGTCGTTTATAAACCTCGTTGTATAGCTTGGAGTTGAGATGCTGTTTTGAATAACTATGTTATGTAGAATTGTTCAAAACATGAAACCATACCAAAAAGTGCAAATATTACTAGAAGATGTTGCATTCAGAATCTACAGAAGAGCAGTAAATATTTTTGACTGCAAGACTTGAAGACCTAGACAACATGCGAATTTTGCATGTTTTGTTGGGGTATCATTTTCGTATTTATCCCAATGGAGACGAAGTGATAGGGCGGCACAATCACACCTCTCATCTGGTAACTATTCCATGTCGGGTACAGGAATAGTAACCCAGTTATGTGTTTTAGATGCATGGATTTGATGGTGAGGGAGACAGCAACGCACAGCTGTGGCACGAACCACTCTAAAACTGAAAGAATCCAGCAATCCTCTCGCACTTACCGTAATTATCCTAACAGGATTAGAACCAACGAACCTATGAGATGCGATGGGAAGTGTATTCCTAGCGCTTAGCATAATGCGAACAAACCGCCGATCGTGTAAAAAATATTGACACTCAATTTCAGAAAGAACAAACAATATTTGATAAAGAATGGAGACTAGAATGTGAAGATTATGGAAAAGGCAGAGTAATTGATATGGATAATCAACTTCGAAATACAATGAATCAAACTTTACAAAAGACAACTAGATTATTCAAAAATACAGTCACAGAAATTACTGTCAACAAACAGGTGAAGATAGCTAGCTTCTAATTAGATTAATATATATATTCAAATAATAGTAATATAATAGGCCTATTTGAATCCATTCAAATTGATTATATTTAATGATATTCCTATAAATATTGACTTTGGAAATAATTCAAACATTTTCATAAGAAATATTCTCATTTAGAAATTTTAGAGCTTAGAGTCTCCCAATATGGACAGAAAAGTCCTATTAATTTGATTTTTGGAAAGGTAAAAAAAAAAGATCCTCTCGCAACGTTCCTGATTTTTCAAATTCAAACTCATTGAATATACAACGCCTGCTATATGCTCTCCATTGAACATTGTCCAATTTATAATAGTAGATTATTTAGTTTGGCCATCCCTGCTTTTATAATGTAAGCTTCAAAATCTATGGGAAATTTGGTATAGGCGTACGAATACTCAATGTATCATTGCATAACGGGTAATTTATATTCACTTTATACTTTATTCACTGTATTATGTAATTTCAAGCATATTTGAAATATTTAATAAATGCAAAATATCAACTTTATTTATATCTGAGATGAAAAATAGTTTGGTATTCAAGATTTTGCCAAATATAGATGCTCGATTCAACCCTTAATAACATTAAAATTTTGCTTCCTTTTGATTTAGACAAACATGGAGATTGCAGAAAACAATATTCAATCATATGCATTAGTGTTATCAACAAATTGTGATGACAGAAAATATTATTTACGAAATACAGTTACGGAGTACTTAACACAGGTATGAGAAATTAGATATTCTACTTTGAGAGTTGGTGTATCATACTGAAACTTCTGATCAAGACAGACATAAGTCAGTAAATATTCTGTAAAGGTTACAGCCAGGTTCAACGCCAATTGGTCAGGATAGGTGCACCATACTAGGTAAAAGCGACCAGTTTGCGATTGCATTCCTGATAAAGTTCCTATATTCGAATTAAATAAAGGATGATTATGTGTGTGACGATTGCTAATAGTCACATAATCTTTGGTCATTCGGGGCTTCCTTCATCATACTTGTTATGTGGACTTTTAACTGGTTAGCCATCCTCATACCACTGTTAGTAGCGTCACTTTTCACATAGTCTCATAGAGATAAAATTGTAAGACATCTAAAGAAGTAGCTAGACTCCACTTACCCCTAGAGAGACTCGAGACTGAAATATTTTGGACCCATGACTTGACTTGGGTTTCGGGACTTTTACCCAATACCGTCTTATACCCAATCTATACTAGTTTCAGGACTTTTACCAAAAACGCCTATCAAGATACTTGTCATATTATTTATTATCGACATCTCTCTCCTCTATTGTGTCTATATGCTACACAGGAAAGACAAAGAAGGGACAACATTTTACAAGAAATGATGGAAAAAGAACTGAGGACACTACATCGAGAGTTGGCTCAGCTTAAAAAAAGTATGGGATATAGCCCAGCAAGAAGGTGTTGTGCAAGTATGTGTACTATTTTGTGACCAACGACACAATAAGATAGTTTCAGGATGCAGCCGATCTTCGAATATGGTAGAAGAGGCCTTATCACTACGCTATCTTTACAAAGAGTTTGGTGGAATATTGGCAATATTGTCCTTGGGAATGATAAGACTTCTGAAACTGCCATTAGACCTTTTGATGACAATGCAGTAATTGATTTAAAAGTGAAGATTTTCGGAAATACAAGAACAATTAATGGAATGCTATTGTATATCTCCAAATTTCACTTCTGCTAGTCAGTTGAACTCAATCTTTAAAAATTGAGGCACAGTTCATCGAAAACATTTATCATTTTTTTCATGAAATTTTATCATTTATAATAATCTATGAGAAAATTTGCATATCACAAGGGATCAATTGAAAATGTTCATAAAGCTACAATATTTGATCTGGACTCTCCAATTTATATTTGCTTAACAAAGTTACTACTTTCTTTATCGAAAATTTATGGATCACTTCCTTATTACATTTCTTTGAAGGTAATGAAAGCATTTTCTGTTATGTAAAAGTATGGCAATTTGTAAATAGAAGAGTACAAGTTATAAATTTCCATACATTAACTAGGTGTTCACAACCAGATAATTTAGTGTTTTTAAACATTCTGGGATGAAACTTTTCTAATGCAGAACAAGAGAGCAATGCTCAAATATATGGGCACAAAAGCCAAAACGAAGTGGTACAGACATCTAAACTCAAAGATTGCAAACATGAGACTGCCATAAGGAGCTCAATTTTTTGTTTCGATGACGTCACCAAACACATAAAACGAAATATAGAATAAAAATAATAGCCTTCTAGCGACAACAACAATTTTCAACCCAAGAAAATGTCAAAGCAATTTGTTGTTCATTACAAAATTGCTCTCAAAATTGAAATGCAAATGCAATTGCAATTGAGATGCAATTGAGAATAAATACGATACTTCAATTTGGACTTTATCGTGTAACAAACAATAAAATGAACACATGCTAGAAATTCAAATCCAACATAGCAGAAGTTCAGAATCACCACACAGTTAAAATTAAAACAAAAACGGCAAACGATATACAACATGTATCGTGCAATGAATGTGAAAATAATGACATGCCGTGAAAAGCAAACTCACACACCGACTTACCCAGCCTGAAATCCTGAATCTTGAAGCTGATGCTGTTCAATTAATATTGTATCACATAAAAAATATTCACTATTACAGTTTAAAAGTTAACGTTCAATTAAATAACTGAAATTTTATAGTAAATAATAGATAAATAGGTAATTGATAAACAGAGATGGCTGTTCATATTCAAGTTCATGCATTATAAACCAATAACTAGTTAACTAATACCATACCTGACATAGACTGGTAAACAAATTAAAAGCCATAGTAGGTCATAGGATTGAGTCCATCTAATTGGCTTTCCTTTACCCAGGAATGAGTATTTAAAAAATACCATCCCTAATTCTCATTCAATGGTTTTCTATCAAAAGTTCTCATTTAATTGCCTATTTATAATGAAAACAAATTGAATTTTCGTTTTTTTTGTCATGGCAGTCTGGATTTTGCAATCTTATACTCCCAGTGCTTTTGCCCAAAATGGAAGATATTACCATATATTAAACTGCAAGGCTCTGGGAGTCAAAGTATCTGACAATTTGTTTACCTCAAGTAATACGAAGATAATTTCTCAGTAGTGGATTTTGATATGAAGGTCAAATACTAATAGTTGCATTGGCCTTTAGCTTTAACATGTATTCAACAACCACCAGCTAGGAAAAAGTTATATTTAGTGGTCTACTGCAGACTGTCAATATATTAAATATCAGTGCAATTTTTGAGGAAACTTCACAACCTCAAAATGCAACATTGAAAGTGTAAATTTTAATAAATATTAGGAATTTAGATTTATATACTTATGTTATTGATATACATAAACTATACCAACCTGCGCTGAAATTTAACAATTCCAGGCAAAAGCAACCTATTTACTGAAAACTACAACGTTCTGCTATATATCTGTCAACACTAGAACACTTACGAATTTATTGAATATTTACTCAGATGTGATTTTAGACAAGCGTCCAAATACTCCTGTGTGCAGTCGAGCGTATCCTTTGTTTTACGGTTGTGACAATATAAGAAATATCGCACGTTATCTAGTTATAGTGTCTCAGTAAGGAACAACGCAGACAATAGCACAAAAGAAACATTGATTTGAAGATTACAACATATTCAATGACAATTTTACTTTGAAATTTTACCCAAGTTAAGCTTTGACTTCATTGAATTGCTGAAGATCAAACTTGGTAGCATAATGAATCACATCATCAGTTTTTGTTGTAAAATTTCGCCATTTTCATTATTTAAACATTTATCTGGTATTGGCAATGGATTAAATCAGGGCAGGGAAGCTGGTTTGAAATCACAATAGCTCTGTCTCCAGGGTTTCAAATTGCAATATTAACTTGAAACTTCCAAATATGAAAATGTATCTTTCAACTTTTATATCATTAATATTAGAAATTCGAAAAAAAAAAATTCTGAGCTGAAAAGGATAGATTTCATCATATCCACGAAGTATTAGAAGATTTAGAAGATTAAAAAGTTGAAAAAAATGTTGGAAATATTCCTGATGGTACAATCTTTGCTCGGAGTAAAATGCCATGCTAAAAACTACCATTTATATTTAAAAGCGAACTTAAAAAAAAAATACTTACTTGTCTATTACTTGGATGATTTGAATCTTCAAGTTCTGGGGATGATGGAACACTCAAATGAAATGTACCTTCGGTTGTTAACGTGTCAGGACTCCATATATCAGGAATTTCTTGTGGACTCCACTGAGTTGTCCGATCAACGGACCTTACTTTTTCTGTAAGAAATGTAAACCAGAACATAAGTACATCACAAATCCAGTATCTATGTATTGAGGAGGGTTATTAAACAGTGGCTATAAGTCTTTTTACTGTAGCAAGATTGTATAAAATATATATATGCTATATATACTAGCTCAGTTATGAAATTCACAAAGATTCATGCTCAGAACCGTAAAACACTTTTCAAAATCAGAATACACATGAAATATCTGTGACTGAATACGTGACAGAAATAACTGTGTATTATTGCTTTCTCAATGCGATATCGTAAAGGCAATCAGATAGAAGGGTTTACATAGAAGACATACAGTTTTATGTCTTTATTACCTTAAAAACAAGCACTACAAGTTGAATAAAAGAATATTATTCCAATATAAAAAGGTTAGAAATATTTTGGTTAGTCTGATAAGTGATGACCAAATACTCAGAATCGCCAACATCTTCTTATCTCTCTTGAAACTGTTTACACAATATTGGATGCCACATATACAGGGTGATCAGACCAAGTGTAGACAAATGTTTATTAAAATATCTACAATATGAATGTAAGAGAAAAAAAATTATTTTGCAGATAACAGCAGTATAAAGAACCTTCAAGAACCACCAGGCTCAAGTATTTCTTCTTAGAGAACTCGAAATTGAATGCGAATTCTATTAGCCTAGATTGGCTATGCCTGATAACTAAATATTAATGTTATGGTTCAACAATATAATTCATGTTGGGTGTTTATTGCGACCAGCCTGAACAGAATTACGAAAAATGCTGTCTATATTAGTAATACTAATAACCCTCGATGTTCGGAAGCACTTCATTTGCGGAAGCACTTTTCCGTTTGAAAGAGTTTGAAATTTTACACCAAATATAAATATAGAAAGACTTTTGCATGTTTTAGTAAGTTTTTTGGTGGCTTTTGCGTGTTTTAGCTTGATAAATGACAAATACTGATCAATGTGTTTCCACAATAACAGTGTTTGTTTTGTATTGCACTGTTTACCTATTCTTGGCACTATTGTGGCCCACGAACAATGCAAAAATATTTTTGTGGCACCCGGAGCCGTCATCCTTGAACCACCCTGCTCTAACATGAACATTAGGAAACATGCTCTTGTGGCAATTCTGCTAACATTCGATCCATGAAACCCATCCTATCAAATGGGGTGTATTTTCATTTTATATGAACAATCACACGAGGGCTTCTTATTTAAGTGGTCAAACTAAAACCTCTCTGGAACTGGTAGTGTTAAAATTTTCAACACATCCTGTCAACACAGGAAATATTAGCTTACATTTTGTAGCCCACGTTTATTCCCCCATTAGTATTGAATATTCAGTTTCGCAACCTATAATCTGAGGTAAAAAAATAGGTTTTGGTTGAAGCTAAGGAATCATAAGCATGGTCATATAACCATTGTCAGTAGCTCAGATTTCTGATGTTTTGGTGACCTATTAAAGCCGGCATGTTTTTATGTTCAATTTCAAATTTCATACTCATCCAGTTTTGTGTGAAACAATATTATCGATTATTCGATTATTCGATATTACGAAAAATTTAGTCGATCTCAGCCAATGACAGGTTGGCCACCCCTGTTCTCGACCATGATATTCTGTCATCGGGCAGTGGTCTGTTTTTCCTGCGTGGGATGACTTTTATTGAATAATTAATTAAGGTATATCAGAAATTGTACAGCAGAAACAAATTATGAAACCTTACCAAGTCTACTGAATCTTTCAGTGGATCGAGGAGATACAGTAGATGTTTGAGGTTGTTTATTTGTTTGTCGTAACACGTTTGCTTTTCTACTTGCTTCTTTTGGGGAAGGCTCTGATACTGAAAAAATAAGAAGTTATTTGAGAATGCAGACATTGAAATACAAAAAATTCAATCTGAAGTTTCCAGGGTACTCCTGAAGTATGTGAACCAAGATGTCGGACGCCGGAACGTAGTATGTGTACCATGTTAGGGTTAGTTAGGCCATAATTTTATTCCAATTTTCCTTATTTTAGTTCTATTACGAATTCAGGGACTAGCCAAGTGACTCTTGTAGTATTTGTACCTGGCCTAACTCTAACCTGGTCCACGTACTATGTTCTGGTGTCCGCCATATTGGTTCACATACTTTGGGAGTACTGTTTCTAGTATCTCAATGATCTTGTCTGTATATTGTTTGTAATTTAATAAGTCCAGAATGATAGCACTAGCTCACTATCTTATGCAGAATGTCATAAGTTGGGATGTCAAACTGGAAAGACAGTCTTACGCCAAATACATGGGTATACGGACATCTCGGCCCACCAGTCTCAAGTATGGATATTCGTATGTCAACAATGCAATCCGCAATAGGACAAGAGGGTAGATGATAAAATATAAACATATGATCACAATATTACTTGGGTTGAATACACTCAAAAAATAGATTTTATAGCCGTAAAAATAATTTGTTTCAAAGGACTTATCCAGCGTGTTAGCTAGTTTTTTTAAACACCATAATATGTGCATGTTAAAAATCGAGGATCTACCGGTGATTGTTTTGTTTGTGCTGAAACTTTCAGGTTCACCTCAACTTCGCTAATTGTAATAGTGAAATATTTCACTTTCATTAACATAATTTACAATCACAATGGTTGAGCAACGTCTCCTATACCATAGGTTCTCAAAGTGCTCCGTACAGAGCCCCAGGGCTCCGCGGGAAAAAACCAGGTGCTACGCGAGCTATTCGATTACTTTTCAAAATACTAAATTGGCTAATTTAAAACTGTTCCTAGAAGCAATAACAGCTTTGATAAAATTTGACAACAATATAGCCTCGAAATATGGAAAAATGGCGAAATTAAAAAATGACATTAATTAAAAGCAAGAGCACAGCCAGGATTCCTATTAAGAGGGAGGAGGTTCAAAATTGGAATTGGAAATTTATGCGCAACAGTCTTGGCAATTCGAAAAAAAAAACGGATAACAAGATTTCTGTTACATAAAATATTCAATTCATGACTGATGCAAGCATTTAATAAAGTGTCTTGTCGTAATAATTTAATTGTGCTCATCGTTACTCACGTTCGATTCGAGATTACTATTATGAATACTAAAATGATTACTACTATTACTACTACTAAAATGATTACTACTATTCTATAATAACATAAACTGCGTGATAAACTGTCAACTATAAACAAATTGGAGTCGTATTTTTGCGATCTTAGGATTTGTTAAACTTGATTTGTTCTTTCGCAATCGAGATTATTTTTAAGCAAGATATCGCCGTTTGAAAAATCACAAGGTCTTGGCAAAATACGAACAATTGAAATTTATTTTAGTGCATGCGGCTCCATCGGTAGTTTCAGAATGGAAAAATGGTACATCGCGCGCATAATTAATTGACTGTGTTTCAATTTCGCAGTTACTACCATGAATAATCAAAGAAAACCTAACATACCACCAAATTTTGTGATTTACCATGTCTATAAAGGCGTTTTTATTCTGACGTGAGTCTGCTGAAACAAAACTTAGTGTTCTCTTCCATTTTAAGTTTTAGTTCTAATAGGCTATTTTAGAATGCCGCTTTTTAAACAAATATTTTGAATCGCGGATTTACCTCTTTGCTCTTTATTAACTATTATTTTTAGCATTTCGTCGCCGATGATTATAATATGGTAACATGTTTTTCACATTGAACTCATAATTTCCCACGAGAACGAAAAAGCAATTATCGTCGTCATTGTGGAACAATACATGTATATGTCGAAGGAAGTTTTTGATTTAGGGAGAATAAACACCAGCGTAGAGATGTTTGAGGTTTAAAAACACGCCATGCTGACGAAAACAATCGGCGATTGTAACAAAATGCAATGGCGCACGTTATTGGCGGCCTTTCAAGTCTTCCAAAAATGTCAAGAGGGGAAACGATGCGACCCCTAATTTATTAATATGTTTGTCATGTGTCAAATTCACAGCTTTAGTATATACAATTTATCTTTGAAATTTAGATTTATTAATGACTTGTGTTAACCCTATTAAAAGGGTTTAGTATTTAAATTGAGTAAAGTTCGTTTAACTTACTCAGGAATATTAATCGGAAAGTAACAATTTTAATATTTATTTTGGGGCTTGGTGAATAATAGTCAACATTTTCAAGGGCTCCGCAACACCAAAAGTTTGAGACCCCCTGTCTCATACCATCGCGTATCGTTGATGAACATATCTCCGCACTCGCCCCTACTTGGGGCGAAATGTCTATAAACCAATACATGACTGTCTTACTAGTACAAGAGTGGGTTTCAGTTGCTGAATGCTTCTTAATATAACCTATTTAATAGTCAAGGTGTGAAGTATATATAAATTGACAGGGTTTTATTTCTAACACTTCAATTAATATTTGTAATAACTCAGTGCAAACCTCACTTAATCGGTCACAATAGCGAAAAGAGCAAATGTGGGAAATGAAGTTAATTTTATTATCAGGCCTTATTTTTTACCCGTATATCCGCGGGTTCAATCTATATGCGGGTGCTAAAATTCATGGGTTAGTATGGGTTAAAATATCCGTAGGTGCAAATTTCCATAGGTGCAATTGTCGTGGGTTCAAATTACGGGTTCAAATGTACGTGGGTTCATATGTAATGGAACCAAGAAAAACATAACAACCAAATAACCTTTTATTGTTGGAGCATGTTGTATAGTTGAAGGTGGTTGCGATATTGTTGTTGATGGTGGGACAGGTGTCGGCTCCTCCTGCACAGGTGAGAGCTGAACAAAACAACAATGTTTATAAATTCAATTACACAGATATCTCACAGTTGGGAAGTCAATTACCAGTGTAATCAATACATAGATCTTATTAATAAACTGATCATTGATCAATTAAACTGTGTGTCAAGTTCTGGACTGCAAAATTTCATAGCCTAGTTAAAATGTTTACACTCAAGAACTTGGCTAACTAACTGTAACATCCATTCATATTACATATTACAATATAGCAAAGAAACTCCATAAAACCATTTCAATCTTTTTTATCATTTTTGGAAAAAAAATCATACAAAATCCGAAGCAGAGTTGTGGATCTGATTACTTATTATTACGTATTTCGCAAGGTGAGGGGTTCGAATTTTGGATTAAATCTTCAAAGTGTATGCACAGTGGTCCCTATGAATGTAAATATTTCTTAAAACTATTAGATCATTAATTTGTATAACACATTGAAAAATAACACTGAATATGCAAGTCAAATATTCTATTGCTGTATGTCATTCATTGCGAATCTGTTGAAAAATAAATAGTGTGTGTGTGATAGTGATATAGACATAGTTTGCTAGTTACAAATGTATGTGCTGCTGACTGCTGTATGTATGATAAACTTTCCTTATGGACCACAAAAATATGATTTTGTAGATGTTTATTGGAAACAAAAATACACTCATTGCTTCCCACTAATAACTATCAAAACACATATCGTTGAAAATATCTTACCGTCGTCTCTTCATCATCGGACGGTTGATAAACAAACCCCGGTTCTCTGTATTCATGGAATGCAACAATGTATGAAAGTCTTCCACAGTGCATAGATATTGAGGCTCGAGTCAATGGTCGAAGAAGAGTCAATACACCAGAGTATTTGTAGTAATCTTCACCCTTGCTAATGAAAATAAAAGATAAAATGACACAACAAAAATGATTGAAAAAATCCAGCACATCAGAAAGACCTGTTCCTAAATATAATTCATCATTATTTGTAGGTTTAGTGGTGTTGATGCCTACCCATTGGTAGTAGTCACTCTCCAGTAAAAGAAACTTGAGCATATCCTCAAGAATTGAGCATGTCCCAAGTGTTAGGTTTGATACATGTGACAAAATAATTATGGGGGTTTGCTTTATTTTATATAACACAAAAGAGATCAAATCGAACTTTTGCCGATTATTAGTACTTACCGGTACATTGTTTTACGTATTTGTTTTTAGGAAAACAAAAAATAAAATTAAAACAGGCAGTTATTTACTATAATTTCATTGGTCCTACTTTTCAAATATGATGAGAGTATAATGAAGAAAATCAAATGAACAATGAGGGTTTTAAACTTATAGATACAAACAGATACACAATGGACTTTCACAGTTCATGATAATGTAAACATCTTATCCAAATAAAGTCTATTATAGGTAACACAAACCACCCTAGCAACGAAAGATACCCACTGATTATATCATTATGAATATAAAGAATAGCAAAAGTGAAAATTGTTTGAATTTAATTCAAGTAGGCTACTAAACATATTGGATCATATATTATATACAGTATCTACTAAATTAATACTTGGTTGGATTCAGTTTGTAAACATATACCTATCTATACATCACTCCTATCTTTTGTGGTAGGTCGGTAATATTGATTCGATCCAAGTCAATTTAGACTAACCTCACAAACAAATTGGCTCTGGGTATCTCAGTTCTTGGATAGATTGCAAACTTTGCTTCACCCATTCTTTCTGGCTGTTGAGATTTTCTTCCATCGGTAGGATATCGAAATACTTCAATAAATAAGTAGACATCATATTTGCCATCATTTTTGCAGAAACCTGTAAAATAAAGTAAGATTATCGAATGAATATATCAAAGATTTGAGCCTAAATGGTTCAAAAAATATATCAATAGAAACCTTTTAGAGACATGGATTGGTAAGCAAACGAGAGGGCATGATTCGCAATTTAATTGAGCCGTCTTATTCGCTTTTTTTCCCCGGGATAAATATGTAAATTCCATACAAAACACTTTAATAGATGTTAGATTAGTATATTATCTATTAGAATATTGTAGGCTATATTAGACTTCGTCTTAGACAGTAGATCCTTTCTTGTCTACTTCCTACTTTGGATTCGTATGTGACCATTGCCATAGGGATATATACCATAAGTGATAAAAAAGAATAACATGATCTCCTTCCATGAAATAGAAAGCGGTTGTTTAGAGATTATTTTATTCTTATTTCATTCAACCGTAACTTCATACTCTTTCATTTGATTTGATTAGGATATATTCACTTAATCGATTTTAAGATCGGTAAGTATGTTGATAGGTATTTGTCTGTATGTCTGTGTGTTAGATGCACGCGGTATCTCACGAAAGCGAGGTTGAATCTGCTCCAAATTTTGCATGTGCATTCATCATAGCTCGGATCAGAAGCCTATTGATTTTGGATGGATTATGTCTTATCGACGCATGAAATCCAAATTGGGCTAAGTCCATTTTTCTAGTTTTGAGAAAAACGCAAAAAACGTTTTTTTTTTGTTTCTTTTTTTTATTTCTCTAATACCTTACATCGAGGATGTCTAGTTTTTATGGTCCACCAAAGTTACAATGAAGGCCATATTTAGATGGTATAAAAAAATTTGTGCTCCGCCCCAATTTTTTTTTGGGGGGGGGTTTTTTGGACTTAACCCTTTTTGGCTCTCAATTTTCTGGACCAAAAACAATTTTATTGGACTTAGGGCCCCTTTATTATGTTATTATAGAGGCTGGTATGGACTTAGCGCTTTGTATTATATTTTTTGAGAGGAGCTATGTCCAAAAAACGGACTTAGCCCCAACTTACAATGCAGTTATCCAGAGCTAAGTCCACTATAGTAGACACAGCTCTGTTTAGTTCTCAAATGCCCTAAAAAAAGCAGGGTTATGTCCATAGCTGTCTTGAGATCTAGAGCACCTAGAGATAAGGCAAATAGACCAAAATGTAGAGCTAAGTCCAGGAAAATCAGCAATTGAAAAATGTCATTTTTTGGAAAAGTGGACTTAGCACTGTTTGGTTTTGAGGTGTCGTTATAATTAGCGAGTTATTAATTAATTAGTGATGGGACACACGATGTCACTATGGAGTAAGACCCCTGTTTTGGGGATCCCCTAACCTTCGATCGATAAGTCTTCGGTTTCTAACCAATATTCTAGTTGAGATATTGGGAACTATTTATTGAAGTTTTCTCTATAAGCGCCGAAGATTCAAAACCATTTAAAAATATTGTGAACATCTCAATATAACAAATCACAATGAAATATGATTATATCAAATTTCTGACATCATTTTGAAAAAACGGAATAAAACCTTATGCCAAAAAATAATACAATGTGCTACAAACAAGGCCCCATACAAGCAACATAATGCGACAAATGTAGATTTCAATGAAAGATAATATACACAGGCCTATGTAGTAATTTGCAACATTTACACAAGCACCTTTTGGCAAATTGTATTTAAATTTGCTTTTCTCATAATTAACTGCATTGGAATCTTCAGACCATAAAACTGTGTCAGTGGTTATTTGAGATCCAAGTTGCTGTACACCAGAATCGTTTATGTCCACTGTCACCTGCAAAAAATTCAATATCAAATTATATTGTTATAACAAAAACAAGTTTGGTCCAATATAATAGTGCCATGATTCATCAAAACTTCATCTTGGGAAAGCGTAGAGTTCAACAATTATCTCACACAAGATTCGATTGAGCACTGAGCAGCGCAATGGCCTATGGCGGAGGTTCCCAAATTTTTATGGCTTGTGGCGCCCTTCCGGAGGCTTTTAGCACTCATGCATCCCCATCCCCTTGGTTTATCATTCCAGTGGTATTTTGATTGATTGATTCTAAATCCAAAATAATGTTTGAATAATTCATGCTCAACAAAGAGAAAACACTCTGTGAAATAACCTTATCAAGCAATGAAACTTGAAAATGGTGAGTTTTTTTTGTAAAAGGGCAAAGTGAAATCTGTTTTTGGGTTAGCATTGTGGACCCACTTGGGGGCCACAGGACTCGGATGGGAACTGTTGACCTAGTGGTTAGAGATTTAGTCTATACTAACTTTCTTGGACTCATAACTGGAGATGTTCAAGATTCATGAGGATGTAATAAATTAGTTAGGCAGTGGCGAACCGGAAATATTTCAGTCCTTCCAAATAAAAGTAATTCATGAAAAATCATTAGGGGGGGGGGGGGGGTATATTGAGCATATGGGGTTAATTGAGTACAAGGTATAAAAACCTCGCTAACTTTTTTGTATGTTGAGTGAATGGTTTGTACTTTGTAGCAACAATAGTTCATATCCTATGCTTCCATTTCATTGCGTATAACTCACTTGCCTACTAATGATAAAATTGTTTTAGATGTTTGTATGTGAAATTTTTTTTGTTCACGAAAAAAATTGTTTTGGAAACTTTCACGTGACACTTTTCTGATAGTATATTTTAAACTTTTTGTGATGCCTTTTAGTACCTTAGTAAAGACTCTCTTTGCCCCAGTAGATAATTTTTGTGTAACTCATTGACTTTTTGTTTCATTGATGTTTGAAAAAATCGAGGTAAATTGAGTCTGTCGGAAATTTACAGTGGGGTAAATTGGGTATATGCATAAATGGCCTCTCCCACTGCTATAACACAGGATTATGAGGTTCTGTGTGACTATTTTGAGCCCTAACACTTTTTTGTAGCCTTTATCATGTCAATCTTTCAATATAGGCTTCTATTTTTCATGAATATGAGTGTAAATCCACAATGGGCAATCGTAGGATTTTGAGAAAGCAGTTCTTTTCTTGTAACTAAAAAAAAATAGTAAAAGAAATCTGTGGACAAGCCAAGCACAGAGTCCTACTCCACCAGTAAGCTTAGTGCATTTACAAAGGCTTTAGTTGACGTAATCACACTCACTGTCATCTCCGAAAACATGTAGTAATAATAAAAAAACAGCCGCCCCAGAAAAAGAATTCAGGCGAAAACTATATAATGTCAGTTGAAAGTATATACCATTATACTGATAGGATAGACTTAAACGGATATGATTGGTAGAAAAAAGAAAAGCAGCTAAGAGAAAGATCATAATATTAGTTCAGAAAAGCAGTAACAGAGTCAGAATTAGATTGGACTTTATTGACGATGAGACAGAATATGAAACAGAATTCTCACATTGTACAGCTGATTATAACAGAGGACTAACTATAAGTAGCATATTCTGACATTAATGAAATTAAGACCTTGACTGGCTGGTTGAAATACGGGGAAAGGGAATTCCTTGGCCAAGTTGTCCTCACCAATGTATATAAAATGAACTTTGTATGATACCAGTGTATGAAAGAGCTCAAAGATTTTGTGTTAGATTTAACCCAAAATAGGAACATAAAAAGTATCTCTATCAAGGAAGTTGTTGGCCAAGTCAAACCACCCATTTCTAGTCCATAGTGAACTCGTATTTAAACTAAAAGCCTATTTGTGGTAAAAAGTTTATGGAAACCATAATCGCGATCTATCATACCAAGTTTAAAGTGATGTCAGATAATTATGTTCCAAGGTTTTTGTAATTACTATTTTTTTAAATAAACTATATGTACCCAAGTTTCTCATGAAGGTCTTTGATTTGGTTCTAGGGCTTTCTTAGATTTGATTTAACTGGTAGATGTCAGTATACTCAATTATCCTCGAAAAATGAGGTAAATTGAGTATACTTACTTCCAAAAAAAAATTGCATTTTAAGGTGACTTGAATACATTGAATAAGACTCAAACTGTTATGCAAGGAAGTACAGGGTCAGAATGTTACAATGAAACCATAATTTCACGGAGAATCGATTTCACTCAGATTTTACATCGGTTCAAATGTCAAAAAACTACTCAAATAGCCCCACCCCCCCCCCTACATATCGTGAAATATCAGCAACTGATTATACAGGGCCTTGCTCGGAGCAAACGACGCGAATAAGCGTCATACAGAGAAAAATTGGCCCAATTACGTAGCCTGTAGTATTATAAGGCAATTATTTTTAATTGTGTGAAATGATAGCAGGTTTATTTAAAGGCGAAATGCTCATTAACATCGCTGAGGTAAACTAGAGCTGTAGTCAGTCAAAATCAATCGTTTATTTGCGTCACAAAAAAACAAATGCACATTGATTGGTACAGAGTCGCGAGGGACCTGGTTGGGTCTTTGAAGCAGTAACACCTACAGTGTTTTTACTGGTTTAGTGTAAAAAATAATAGATCGGGTAGCAGTTAGTGACACTATAAAGCTACAGGGGAGGTGACTCCTCTACGCCCATGGGCCGGGGCCACCGCCTATCTAATTGGGCCACATTTTGTGGAAATTGAGATTTTGGTAAGATAATTGAATTTTTACTAATGGGGCCGTGGACCATCAAGCTATGGGCTACGCTAATCTATTAGGAAATATTCAATTATTTTACCAAAATTCTCAATTTTTACAAAATTGTCAATATTCGAACCAAAAAAAAATCGCGGGTACCACCAAATTTTTTTTTACGATAAGCCTTTATATAAAAATAAAGCAAAATACCAAGCTACAGAAAAGGATACTCCTGTTCCTGTAGTATGTGTACCAGGTTAGGGTTGGGACAAAATTTTGTTCAGGTTTTTCACATTATAGTTCTATTATGAGTTCGGGGACTGTCTGTGTTAGCCAAGTGAATAGTTTCTTTACACAACTTGATGGGCCACGTCCCATAGCCTGATGAGCCGAAGCCCAATTCGATGGGCCGTAGCCCCGGCCCATGGGCCATAGGGGAGTCACCACTTCCACTCCTATAAAGAGCTGGTGTGGATAATTCTGAGTACAATCTTGATTCCGTCTTTCTGCCACATGTGGCGGAGGGGGAACCATACGCTCGCCAAGGCATCATGCAGGGTCGAATCCTTACGGGATAAATATGTGCAAGAGGTTTGCTGGACTCCTCGTCGCAGTGTGGTGAGTCAGTAACCACTGGTCGGCTACTGCTTTTTCCGTCAACAAGGCCATGCACCCGAAACAAATAACTGCAGAACTGGCTAACTAATCCAATACCCAACATGGACTGGTAACCGAACGCGAGGGTGTGGTTCAACGTAGGATTCTGTGATTAAAGAATTAATCAGTTTTATTTGTCTTTCCTCTTCCCCGGGATAGCCTAAATACAGAAATATGTAAATTCTATTCTATCCTTGTTTTATTGCAGTATTACATCGAGTTCAGGCTGCCAGGAGTCCTGGAGTCTGGGCAATTTAATATGGCTGTATGATTGTCTGGTTATGGTGTTGAGATTTTGCTACTCGCTGACGAGAGAGATTATTTAAAGTCAGAAAGTTGTATCTGGAAGACATGTCAGAATGATAACTTGCTCCAGTCTGCAGGTCTGCCAGTCGCCTTGAAGTCATGCTGAAGTCCTGCTATTTTTTCGCACTTTCTTATCTGAGGCAAAACCAATGCCAAATCGCTGTACCACACATTACAGCTTTCAAGTTGACTCAGACCTGCAGACCCATGACGCCATGTAAATAAATCTGTAAATCCTGAAATCAATAATATTATCTGAATACAGGAATATAGGCTAACTTCAGAACTTATAGACTGACGAATACAATCGTACAAATACGGCACATGAACAATTTCCAACAATGCAACCTACTGACCTACCTTCTGCATGAGATCAGTTCTATGTGCATTTTGAACAGAGAGTTTGAGGAAAAATTTTCCATTTTTATTGAATTGAACTTTGAGAATTTCGAACTCAAATTCAAGAACTTTGTCTTCCAGTTTTACAGAAGTCCGCCCGCTACGTGCCATCCTGCTACAATATATCGTACATTACAGATTACAACATACTGCAATTTATCACTCGTATTTCATTTATGCATATTTTAGTATTCAAACCTTAAAATTAAACTAAAGCACCAGCTGTCATTCTTGTCGCAAATGGGACAACAATATATGCAAGGGCTCTAAGATTAGGCTATGGATCTATATTCAATGTCCTTGTTTACATCCTATTACTTGGCCAATCACCGATAAGTTCATACTGACGAAAAAGCCATCAAGGTTGAGTCAGCCAATCACATTTCGTGGCGGCCCAAACAACGAGGCACAAATAATTATGATTATGCTGATTATGATCATACTAATTATATACTATTTCTAATCAATATTGCTTCGTATTTTTCATTTCTAAGAAATTTGAATTGATATCACCAATTGCGGATATTAGGCATAAAACATTGGCCACAAATAATCTTGTATAATCATTATTTATATCTAGCATGACAGAATGTAATGGGTAGCATAATATGACGATTCGCAAAATTTACGGTGAAACATAGCAGTTACCGCACCTGCGAGGATATAGAGCAGTTACAAATCCCATGGCCACAACCTCAGCCAGTGTGTAATAAATTGGAGGCAATACCGAACTGGTAAGGTTTCCGTCCCTGACCTGGCGGAGGCTACTTGTGTAAAGCCTTGTTCGCAACGAAAGGAACATCAATTTGCCGTATGATACAAATATGTTGAATGGCAGTTTAATTAAAATTACACTAAAAATGATATATCCAGCAACTTATCAGAATCAGATGTGCGTGGAGTCGTAATTTTTGCAAACCAAATTTTGGTTAAAGACCTCGCTTACATCATGTCAGGAAAGGGGTTACTGAAAGATTCCGTCTGAAGGGAATAATGGTTTATCATTATTGGACACGTTTAGTGGACATAACGTCAACGATCGTTTCAAAATTTTGTTGTTATTGTTATTTGTCTCAATCATTTTTAAAAAATCGCTTTTCTCTTCGAATACTGGACCAATTGCTTTGAAATTTCCAGTGCTTAAAGATAAAATTTTTCTCCAGAAGGCTATTACTTTTTTTTTTTTGCTATGACGTCATCAAAATTATTGCCATTGGGTGACGCTACGTGTCCATATATTTGAGCATAGCTCTCTTGTATTTTATTTATTTCACATCAATATATAACATATTTTATGTCTTTTCATGCAATCGTTTAATTCATACAGTGCATTTCCTCTTTTATAAATTTGGTCACTGATATAAATAAAAAAAAATATGCTCATAAGCAGGATTTTATGTTCTTTTAAATACTTATGATGGATATTTGGTATTTTTTGTTTCCTGAAAATGTTCTTTTTTTCAAAATATTTATTGAAATATTTTGGTGTTTCATTAACTTTTTAAACTACTAACCTGAATCAACAAGCGTTACAGGTGCGCTGCCTGAAGACCTCTTGAGGTACCTCGCGACTCCTGTCACACAAGTTAAGGTGGTTTTCACTTGTATTTGTAATATTTTTTCATATACCGTAATATGTTCAAATTGTGTTGACAAATAAATGATGATTGGTAGATTGAATGATACCGTGTTTCCCCGAAAATAAGACTGGGTCTCATTTTAATTTTCTCCCGAAAAATAACACTAGGGCTTTGTTTCGGGGTTGTCCTATATTTTTATTTATCACAAACAATATTACAAAGTGTAGAATTATAAGGTTTTCAAATATATATACAAAATAGGAAAGCCGATATCCCTTCACTTATTTTTATTTAAAATAACTGCAAAACATAGATTTATCAATCATTTAAAACGTGTAGGAGAGACTTCTTGCTATCGACTAAATCAGGGGTCGGCAACCTTTTGTCGCTCGCGGGCCAAAATTCAGAGTTGCAAGTCATTGGCGGGCCGCACATATTTTTAGAAAGTTGAAAACCGAACGGATAATACTTTTTATAATGAAAATCAAGCAGTGATACATCTCTCGAATAGAATATAGATTTATTTTCTCATTGCATTGCATCTCAAATATTTCCATTTGAATATTTTCGGCGCCATTGAACCCTTTGCACCCAGCATCAACTTTTCTGAGTTTTGTTACCATTTGTCTAATTATATTTGAATTATAGGCTCATTAAACGAGTAATTGTGAATTCTATACTTATTAGGTAATAATATAATTTTAGTCTACACGTGTCTCACAATAACTGTTGCGTAAAGAATATAATCGTCAAAAGAGTAGTTTTGTTACCATAATTCAGTGGAGCGTCAGGGTCCGGATTATATTGCTCCGCCAGCCGACACCTGGACTAAATAAAAAAAAAATGCATCATTGAGTATGTCTTTTTTTAAGTGGAGGGCTCATATTAAAATCATTTTTAAAATTCGGGCTAGGTCTTATTTTGGGGTTAGGACTTATTTTCGGGGAAACACGTTAGTAAGAAATCAAAAATTTCAAAAAAAATCGATTTGATTTTATTGATCCATAATTTGGTATGCGCAAATGCTATCTGCAAGTTATCGAGGAGAATTTTATGCGACTACTGCAGTCAGCTGTGATGAACACGGCAGATATCCACCGTGAGAATTTTTTTATTAGTCAGTGTGAGGCAATGATTTTGTGTAAAGAAGGTCATCCATTTGAATTAAATCACAATGGTTTTCGATATTCTAGACAATTTCACGCGGTAATGTAAACAGTGGTGCTTGTATAAAATCAAGAGAGTTTCATTGATTGTTTATATTCCACAATATATTCTACTTTGAGGGGAATTCCAAAAAATATTGGTTGGCAGTTTGTAAAGTTGTTTCGACGAAAGCTCAAACTGGTCAATAAAAATACAAATTCTAGTAATTTTGATATCTTTAAATAAACAACCTCCTCAAGTATAAAATAACAAAACAATTAATCTCGATGATTTGCAAAAGTTGCAAAGCAAATGTGATAAACTGTGATATCCAGCAATTTGTTTTAAAGAAAAAAACATTATGAGAAAAATACGTTGTTACCACACTGTATCATTTGAAAATTTTTACCTTTTGGCAATTGGTAAAGTTCTTCGAGGTAGGTAGTATTGCTGAATTAGTATTTTATTGAAGTGGTTCTGTATGAATATAAATTACTTGAATACTCCTAAAAATCCAGTTCTTTTAGGAGTACTACTAAAAGTCCGCACTCGATACATTAAATTCAGGTCAATTGGCAGATTAAGGTTCTCTATTATCCTGTTTGCAGTTTGATTTATCCCGTGCGAGGCGCCATCATTTACGTGTAAGCAAGCGCTGGTTGAGTACCTAACAAAAAATTAACAAACTTTTCAGTATCTGTTAAATGTTGGCTCGTTGCGTTGGAAAATCCCAACTTAACCTTTTTCTCTTTTTGTCATGCTGCAGCACAAACGGAAGCTAAGTCAGCCATTTTATAACTGAATTGAGTGTAGCGTTCTGGCATAACGATTTAAATTTCTGGTAAAGTTGATTATTACTGATAGAGCTGTATACGTTGCATATTGTGCTAAAATGTGGCAAAGATTAATTTTCTTGAGCTTGCTATTTAGCGTGTTTTGCGAAACATGCCATGGTGAAAGGTCCGAAGACTCTCTTATATGTAAACGAGTAGACAACGATGCTGCCAATGTTTTAATCACGGGCCCTCAAGGTCCTCCCGGTTTTCCTGGCTTACCTGGACTGGATGGAATACCAGGACTTGATGGTCAACCTGGATTACGAGGAATGGACGTAGACCACAACAGATTGGTAATTTTGGTTGAGCAAACTGTCGCGGAAGGTAAATTATGTGTTTGTTTAACGCTTATTAAGAATGTTTAGTAAACTACGAACTGTCTATTTATTGCGTTTTTAACAAGGGTCCATAATCAATATATATGTACTAATTTATCCTTTGCTATTTCAATCGATCGAGTAGTTGAGTCACTTCAAAAAGACTACTTCAAAGTTCTTTTGACCGAACTTTCAAAATAATATTATAAAATTACTACCAAAATGTGCTAAATATAGCCCTGGGCATCATAATATCGTTTAAGCATAATACCGAAATTACGCCCGAAAATGATTTTCGCCAAGAACGCTGTAGAGTAGGAGCTTGATTGAATTTTTCCATTTTGTAATAGAGTAAAAAGCATAGCCTACATCATAAGATATTGATACTTTGGTTTAGTTCATTTTCCCAAACTGCCACTGTAGGTGCAGAAAAACGTTCCTCCGATTAGTATTCTTGTTCGTTTTGATGGCCGTATGTTATAAAACTTTTTTATTTCGGTGAATAGATATTACTGAATGTTACTATAATGCTATCCGTCGCTTTATTATGTTTTTATAAATGAAAATTTTCCATTTCAGCTGTTCATGCGATGAAGAATGTAAACCCACAGCCAGACTTCCGATGCGAGAATCTCAAAAACAAAGTCGAGGTCGATGGAAAATGTTTTTTCGCTGTTTTGCCGGAGAATGAGGTCAAATTTCTTGCAGCTGAGCAGCTGTGCACCGATAGAGGAGCAGCACCAGCAAATATTTACGATCGCCATCAATTTGGCAAGATAATGAATTATCTTCATGAGATAAGACAAACATTTTATCACGTATATCTTGGAATGGAATTTGATCCTGAGGTTAGTAGACATTTATGAAATCAACATATATATTGCCGATAATTCACCCACATCATGTCATTTTCCTTCCAAAAATTGTTTCAAATTAACTAAAAAAACGGTATTGTTTGAGGTAACATTTAGCATATATATTTACAACTGTATTTCAGATAAAAACCGCTATACATGTCATAATTGCAAACAACTTTCAATTAATATTAAAAATATGGAAAAACCTTCACTCAAATGGTTTGAGGGTTTCATATAATCTTTTAACATGCATTGTTTTACCTATGCATTGTAATATTTGACAGAATGACGACCTCACCTTCTATGACGGAAGTCCAGCTCAATACACAAGTTGGCGCTCCGGAGATCCCGTTAGACGTGTGGCGGATCCGGTGAAAATGACACGAGTGGCCATAAACGTTATGAGTGATAGCAACAACTCCGGTAATGGAATGTTGACCACGGCTATGATTTGGCCTAAAACGGGAGTACTTTGCGAATCTGCAATAGAAAGAGAGCCTTAAACTGGCATAAACAAGACTACACTCATCTCGTGTCGTATATATCAACTTGTCATTCTATATCTAACGACTATCACGGTCCAGAATTTGTCGTCTGAAAGCAAATGTATTTTAATGTTTGTTTTATATTACTACACATCTTCACTATCTAGAAGTTTTATGAATTGTCGGAGTAAAATTTGATATCGCTTATTTGTATACCTGTCAGTAATGTGAAAACATTGACAGCAATAAAATACTGAAACATATTATAAAGACAAATTTGCCTGTAACTCTATAGGTTGAATACTAATTGTTCTTCAGCAGTTGATGTCAAACCGTTGCTATGTAATAAATATTGGAACGAGAAGTTTATATGTATTAATTGGGATGTGGATCGTAGGCCTATTTATCTCCTGGAACAGAAATCAGGACAAGAACGCTTAGGTAATCGCAAGGCAAGATAGGATAGCCAATAATTTGTACGACAATGACATTTCAGTTTCCTATTGGGGATTTCTTTCAGATTTAGTGTTGTTATCAGTATTCCTTCTGATATAAGTAAAGTTCCGAGCCTCTTAATAACAGGAATTATCGCTTCCAACTGAAAAGCATGTCCCGAGAATTGAGAAATAAGTCAAATAATATTGTTTCGTAATTTGAATTTCTAAAGACTGAATATTTGAATTGATATCATCAATTGCAGATATCGACATAAAACATTGGCAATAAATATTCTGCTATAAACAGAATTTCATCTAGCTTGGCAGAATATAACGTGATAGCTTAGGATAGCTTATGACGAGTCGCAAAATCGACGGTCCTTCCGGAAACATAACAGTTACCCGCGAGTTACTAGAAGTTGAAATTCTCAAGCCCACCACCTCAGCCAGTGTGCAATAAATTGGAAGCAATATCGAGATGTATTTCCGTCCCTGACCCACCAGGAACCGCTCGTGTAGAGCTTTGTTCGGAGCGTACAAATTCGACCTATATGAAATAAATATGTTGAATGGCAGTTTTATTGAAATTACACAAAATTAATATTATCAACTAGTGATATATCAAAAATTATCAAATAATTTAATTTTTTTTCATTTGTTAATAATTAGGTATTTGCAAATGCCATCTGCAAGTTGAAGGGGGGATTTTATGCGACTACAGTCAGCTTTGACCAACTCGGGCACCTGGTATAGTGAGAATTTTTCCATTAGCCAGTGTGGGCCGATAACTTTTGAAAGACATTCACCTATACATTAAATCACGATCTCACTAGAAATCAATATAACTGCTTGTATAAAATCTTGTTTATAGCAATTCAAACTATAAAAAAAGAATATATACTATAAGACTATAAAGAACGTATGGTTTTCGATATTCTACTCCATGTAAACCAGTGGTTCTCAGCCGCTGGTCCGCGGACATGGTACCGGTCCGCGAAATTTTTTTGCCGGTCCGCAAAAAATTTCGATTCGTTTTTTTTTTTCAGCCGTCTCAATCCCTTTACCAAAGTCGAACTTACGTTGGTTAATTACGTAATTTTTGTTCCGCCGCTATATTGCTGTTATAAATGGTCCGGCGATGTCTTGGCGCCGAGTAATCGCACTTTTTGCTTTTTCGGTTCCGATTCATCGCGAAAGAGCTCTTTCAAATCTTGCAAGATTCAGAAACCTAAAAATCGGCACGCGCGTGCTTTTTCTGTCCTTCATGCTCTTCCTGATTGATATGACCATCCAAATGAAAGGTTATGCATATTTTCATATTTAAACCAGAAAACAGTCAAGAACAGTATAATATTCCAGGGCTTTGCCTTGATATCCAGTATAATATTAAATTGTTGCGACCCTGCACGCGGTCATTCTACTTCACAGTCCAGATTTAAATAAGAATCACTGTCACAAATCTGGATATCTTTTGATAACGAATACACATCGCTAAATAATCGAGCAATCAAGCAGTTGTCCGTATTTTCAGCCAGTTACTTATGCGAATAAACTTTTCCATCGCTAGCTTTAATATTAAAACGAAGCAAAGAAATCGATTGGAAGCCGCTGCTGAGCAACGTGTTGCAGAAGCTTCTTTAAAGCCTCATTTGAATCCTATATTGAAAACGAAACAGTAGCAAAATTCTCACTTTATAGGTCTAATTCTGTTTGTATATGATTTGGGTTGTAGGATACGTGTTTGTATGGGATATGTTTTGAGTGTGCCCATTTTACGCATAATGCGTAACCAGCACTGCATAAATGATATTATTTTATGTTCCACCCATTTCCAATTTGACCGGCACATTATTTGATAGTTTTTCTTAATGTGAAATGTTTTCAAGTATATGCCCCCTCTTTTTTTTATTATCTAGAAGCATAATATTGAGTCCCCGACATCGCATCAATTACGCAAATATATGTTGTTATTTTTTTTCCAGCCATTTAAATTTTTGCCGGTCCGCAAGTACGTTTTATTTAATTTTACCGGTCCGCCAGGGCAGAAAAATGTTACACTGTAAATATAGTTATATACAATAATGTATTCTATCTTGAAGGGAGTTCAAAGAAAATATTTTGAAGAGTAACGGAACGTGTGTTGACATATGCTCAAACATACATCAGTCAGCAGATGCGCATGATTCACTTTTCAGTTGAAATGTTTGTTATTTTGAATTTTTGATATCTTTAAATTAACAATTTCCTCGAGTATATAATAACAACCTTATTAATTATGATGATTTGCAAATGTCGCAATGCAAACGTGATGAATTCCAGCAGTTTGCCAAATCGTAATCAAACAATTGAATATTTAATCATAATTTAAAAGGTGTGTAGCATTGCTGAATTAGTATTTTTCTGAAGTGGCCCTTAATGAAAATACAATTATTTATAAACTTTTTAATCCAGTTCTGTAAATAGTGCTACCATAAATTCCCCTTCGATACATCAAATTTACATCAGTTGGCAGATTGATGTTCTTTATTATCCTGTTTGCAGTTTGATTCATCCTGATCGAGGCGTCATCATTTACGTGAAAGCAAGCGCATATCTAACAAAAACTTAACAAACTTTTCATTATCTTTTAAGATTTTGACTCGTTGCGTTCGAAAATTCCAATTTCTTTTTTTCTCATTTTGTTATGTTGCACCACAAACGGAAGCTAAGTCGGCCTTTTTAAACTGAGTTGAGTGTAGCGTACCAGCATAACGATTTGAATCTCTGTTGAAGTTGATAATTTCTGATAGAGCTGGATACATTGCAGGTGCTGAAATGTGGCAACGATTAATTCTTTTGAGCTTGCTATTCAGCGTGTTTCATAAAACATGCCATGGGGAGAGATCCGAAGACTCTCTTATATGCAAACGAGTAGACAACGATGCTGCCAATGTTTTGATCACGGGACCGCAAGGTCCTCCTGGTCCACCTGGTTTAATTGGAATGGTTGGAATCCCGGGATTTGATGGCCTACCTGGACCACCAGGAATCGGCGTAGACTACAACAGATTGGAAATTATGATTGAACAAATAGTCGCAGAAAGTGAGTTATGTGTTTTCAAAATTAAAATCATTATGTGAAAATATATTCTATGCTGTTTGGTTTTGCGACTTAATTGCTCAGGTATTTTATTCATCTCAAAATGAATTTTCAAAATAATATTTTTATGCACTTGCAATTTTTCCATAGCCTACTCATGCCATCGTGATATTGTTTTTAGCATGGTACCGAAATTCTGCCCGAAAATGTTTTGATTCATCGGTTAAATGTGAAGACCAATGTATGTATAAACGCTATCGAAGTTTATATAGGGCCTAATATGCATACAAATTTGAAGCAACTTTATAATTTTGCATATAACTTTACTATTGTTTTCGATTATACCTTAAACTCAAGTCGTTGCTATACTCTGAACATTTCGCCTCCTCATTATTTCGGTGAATATATATGACCAAATTCCACTAAAATTGTATTGGTTATTTTAATATAATTTGATAAATAGAAATTTTTAATTTCAGCTATTCATTCTAAGGAAAATGTAAAATCACGGACTTCAAACTTTCGATGCGAGAATCTAAATAACAAAGTCGAAGTTGATGGAAAATGTTTTTTCGCTGTCGTGCCGGAGAATGAAGTCAAATTTCTTGCAGCTGCGCAGTTGTGCATAGATAGAGGAGCAACACCGGCAAATATTTACGATCGCCATCAATTCGGCAAGATAATGAATTATCTTCATGAGTTAAGACAATCATTTTATCACGTATATCTTGGAATGGAGTTCAATCCTGAGGTTAGTATACATTGCTATGCTGCCCATAATTTAACGACGTCACATGTTGCTAATTTTTGTCTTGGGAATTGTGTCAATTGAATGAAAAATCGTGGGAAGGAACATTTAGAATATTTTTAAATTTAATCCTTATCGGAATACAAATTTGGTTGAACATTATGAACATAAGAAAATTGTTACTCAAAATAAAGAGTATTTATGTTTTTTTTCTAAATATATAAACACTGACTCAGCGTAGAAATTTTTACTCTGCAATGTAATATTTGACAGAATGATGAACTCACTTTCTATGATGGAAGTCCAGCTCAATACACAAGTTGGCGCTTTGGAGATCCCGTTAGACGTGTGGCGGATCCGGTGAAAATGACGCGAGTAGCCATAAACGTTCTGAGTGACAGCAACAACTCCGGTAATGGAATGTTGACCACGGCTATGATTTGGCCAAAAACAGGAGTACTTTGCGAATCTGCAATAGATAGAGAGCATTGAATTGGCATAAACATGGCTTCATAACAGACATGGGCAAACTACGGCCCGTTGGGCAGTTTAATCTGGCCCGCCTGATCTAAACTAAAACCAAATTTTGATGTTTTTGCTAAAAAATAGCTCAAGAAATTCGTTGAAATTGGGATTAAATTTAGTTTTGGCACGAGGCTCATTGTTTTCCACTTTTTCTTTTGTAACAGTGTAAATATTGTTTATAAAATGTAACTTCTACGTCACACTTACATGACCCGCCAGTCTCAGTAGGCAATATTGTTGGACCTTGGTCCAGAAACCTTGCACACCCCTGATATATAGTCTATTATAATCATCTCATATCGTGTATATCGACTTTTCATTTTGATTATAAAGACTGCTACGATTCAGAACTTCTTAGAGTTTGTCGACTGAAAGCAAATGAGTGCTAATATTTGTTTTAACTATCTAGCAGTTTCATGAAGTTGTCGGAGTAACATTTTATACCACGTATTTGTATACCTGTCAGTAATGTGATTCTTGACAGCCATGAAATATATTATGAAGCCTTATTTGCATGTTTCTCTATAGGGTAAATACTATCTTTTCATCCGCAGTTGATGTTAAACCGTTGCTATGTAATAAATATTAAAACGAGCAGTTTATATGTATTAATTGGGATGTGGATCATACTCATCTTCTGGAACAGAATGATGACAAGCACGCCTAATTAATCGTAAGGCAATATAGGATAGCCATTAGTCTGTACGACAATGGTATTTCGATTTCTTATTAGGAGTTTTTATTCAGATTTATTGTTGTTATCAGTATTACTTGTGATATAAGTAAAGTTCTGAACTTATTAATAAATAGGATGATCGCTTCCAACGGGAATGCATGTCTTGAGATTTGAGAAATTAGGCAATCAATATCGTACTGGAAAGATTTCCGTGTCTTACCCAGCATAGGGCAGTGGATCTCAACCTTTTACTGACCGCGTACCATTATACTGTTTTTACTCTGGCCGCGTGCAGCGAAAAAGCCCTTTTTGGTGTGAGGAACAATGGCACAAGACACGCTATGGGAATGTTTTATAATGTGGCACTACATCCTTCGTGACTCAATTTGCAAGACGGACGAAAACATGCCCATACCGATTTGTGGAAAATAGCAGGCGAGGGCGATCTGTAAAGGCTGGACTGGTCCATAGGACATTTCTCCGACCTCTGACCGCAGAAAAATTCTTCCTATACTGTACTATTGCAAAAAAAATATACCTACTTTAAGAGTGTTTTGTTGTGCTGGCGCTTATAAGCTGGATTACGTTTTTGAAACCCTCATTTTTATTAAAATTAATCAACCATGTGCCGCTTACAAGCACTGATAGTTTAGACTAGTCTATCGCTGCGAGACTCATTTTTGATTAAACCACTTAATTAATGCTCCTCTGAAGACATAATGACAATTAAGATATTTCATTCACAACTATTTTCTTGAAACACAACTAAAAACTGACAAATAACAGCCAAAACTACAAAAACGAGGCAATGTTTACTGATTATTGCTGGATACGGAAATAAACAAGGAAATTGATGCCCGGGGAAACATTCATAAAGGCCGTTCAGCGAATACATACAATATGGAAGATAAAGCGTTGTCAGCATATTTTGGCCAACTCAAAAGTTGTTGCAATAATTCAAGGCTGCTCGCGTACCACTTGATCATCTTCCGCGTACCACAGGTTGAGAACCACTGCAGTAGGGGCTTCGAGTGTAAGAGCATTGTTTGGAAGATCAATAAATTTGTATTCGTAAATGCCTTGAGTTTCTTAAAGCTCTCCATCTGTTAAGTTAACGAGAAGGATTTTATGTGGCTACAGTAGGCTTTGGCAAATACGGGAGTTTTCATATTGAGAATTTTTCCATTAGCCAGTGTGAGGCGATAATATTTTGTAAAGACGGTCATTCTTCCCAATTAAATCACGATGTCGCTATGAATGAATATAACCTATCGTATAAAATCTTGTTCATAGCAATTCAAATCTCACTATAAAGAACGTATGGTTTTCTATAATCTCCTCAATTTCACGCAGTAATGTGAACAGTTGTACTAACTTCAAGATATCGGCTGTATATATAATACGCAATTACGTCGCCACGTAGCAGCTCTGCATTCATTATGAAAAACACATATCGCATGTTCGTGGGCCACAATAGTGCCAAGAATAGGTAAACAGTGCAATGCAAAAAAAAAAACTTTTATTGTGCATACACATTGATCATTATTAGTCATTTATCAAGCTAAAACATGCAAAAAACACCAGAAAACTCACTAAAACGTGCAAAACGTTTTTCTATATCTACATTTAGTTTAAGATTTGAAACTGTTCAGAACAGAAGGGTGCTTCCGCAAATGTATGTGCTTTCGAACAATGATAAAATTCTCAGATCAAAATCCCTTAAATTTGGAAAATGCTCATTGCTTACGAGATTCCATAAAATACCGTTCTGAATTATATTTCTTGTCACCGACACAACTTGCCGAGATATCGAGCAAGCATTGTAGTATTGTATTTTCCCTCCCTTATCCAGTTAAAAATCTGTGTGAATTGGTCAGCTTCCATTTCTACCTCATGATTACAAATTAACTTACAAATAACTGCAGATTGATTTATTACCAAATGTGAGGATAATTACTAAATTTTCTGACATATAGGCATCTTTTTTTTAATACTGAGTAGGCTGGTTGAAAAATAAATCAACCGGTATGATTGTTAGGCCATAAAATGTGTATTTAGTTATCATGCATAAGCCAACCCAGGCTAATCGATTTCATATTCGATATTTAGTTTTCCATGATGTCTATATTGTTAATATAATATATTCCCGACCAAAATGATAGAAAGTCAGTTAACGATTTATACTAGCCACCCACATCATTCGACTTCGCTAGTCATAACACTAGTTAATTCAGTGACATTAGTAATGTTATGTCAAGAATTTTCTGGCTATTTTTATGAATGGAAAACACCAAATGCGATTTTTAAATACCCTCCAGCAGATGCGACGCGGGCCACAGATAATGGGGCATGGGTGTGGACCACCCTGATGTAACGTCATTAACCTAAGTTCATACGTTTAAAGCGGGTATTATTTGAACTGATATTATGATGTTCACACCATGTCGAACGTTTAAATCCAGCGTTTAACATCATTCATACCAGGGGATAATGAAATGCTCGGATTTTCTCGGGAAAAATGTGCTTGCTCCAACGAAGTGTTTCAACAGTTGCTCCAAAAATTATGGAATGTAAACGGTCTCTTGGATAGCACACTGTGCGGCCTTGTGAATTTCATCAAAGCGTACAAATTTTACGTTATAAAGTACAAAATTTAAAGACCAGTCGCCGCGACTGGTGTTACAACTCTTATCAAGGGAATATTTCGATTCTATTGGGTCGGGAAATTTAAAATATTTACCAGGTGATCTAGCGACTGCATCATGTTTTACACGTTCTCGTTGATAAAACCTGGTTGTATTATTAAATATTATTATTATAAATATCATTAAAATTTTTCATAAATTTTGCTATAAACAGAATTTATTTCAAGCCCGGAAAAATGGAATGTATCGGGAATGTATATGTATCGAATGTTTTGGCGGTTTCAAATCTCATGGCCACTGCCTCAGCCAGTGCGTCATAAATTGGAGGCAATAACGAACTGGGAAGATTTCCGTCTCTGACCCAGTGAGGGCTTCTAGTGTTTGGACCTTGTTTGGAAGATTAATAAATGTCGCTACAGAAGTGTGCGTACCAATATGAAGGTAACCAATTTTTGTTCGTCTACTTCACATCAAGTTGTTTAAAGGGACTGAGACCTGTGTCTCAGTCCCAGTCTCATGTGCAGGGGGAATATTCACTTGACTAACACAGACAATCCCTTAATCGTCGTAACAGAACTAAAATAAGGAAATTCGGGCGCTGCCGAAGAATGTGTACCAAGATGGCGCACAACCTGAACTCTAACCTGGTACACATACTATGTTCAGGTTGTGCGCCATCTTGGTGCACATACCTCTAGAGGTCCGAAAATCGGAATAAATTATAGCCTAACTCTAACATTGTACACACGCTACGGGGTACTCCCGTAGTATGTGCAACAAGATGGCTGACTACGGAACGTAGTATGTGTATCAAGTTAGAGTTAGGCTATAATTTCAGGTACAAATATCACGGGAGTTAGGCTACTTGGCTAGTCCCTGAACTCGTAATAGAACTAAAATAAAGAAAATTGGAATAACATTATGGGCTAACTAACCCTAACCTGGTACACCTACCATTTGAGGTGTCCGCCATCTTGTTGCACATACTACGGGAGCGCTCACTAAGGAACTACCAATTAAATTGGTATTCGCAAATGCCTGAAGTTAACTAAATCCTTTCATCTGTTAAGTTAACGTGAGGAATTTTATGTGGCTACAGTGAGCTTCGCCAGTGTGAGGCGATAGATTTTTGTAAAAACGCTCATTCATCTAAATTAACTCAGGATCTCACTAGGAATTAATATTACCTATCGTATAAAACCTATTACATAGCAATTCAAACCGCACCATAAAGAACGTTTGGTTTTCAATATTCTACTCTATTTTATCCAGTGGTGGGATTCAATTTTTTTGTCAGCCGGTTCTATTACAAAAGTCATATTTTTCAGCCGGTTCTGTTACAAAAAGTCATATTATTTTATCAAATAAACTAATTATCTTTAATTACTTTCTAATTAATATTTCAAAATAATGGTTAAGTAACTTCATTATGTCAAAATTAGCATCGAAATTTTTAATGATGTTGAGGATTGTCTACATTGCTGTATATACTATATATTCGTTGATAATGAACTTAAAAATCTGAAGGTGTATGATCCATTGAAAACACATGCTTGAATGTTGATATTCTATAAAACTGCTATTCAATTTTCAGACAAACAATCACAAAAGGAAAATTACTACAATTATATAAATTAACACAATGTATAACTGTTGCGTGCAAACTTGATCATTTCACATTTTGAAAAAAAAACGTGAGCTATTTGATCTCAAAAATCGGTGTGTCAGGTAAAATGCAAAAATTCATTGACAGTAATCAGTAATGCTAACCGGTTCGCTGATCTCATCATATTCCGTGAGACGGTTCTATAGAACCGGTGCGAACCGGCTGAATCCCATTACTGATTTTATCCATTTTCTACTCCATTCTACGCGGTAATGTAACGGTGGTGATTGTATAATATCAAGAGGGTTTCATCGACAATATATATACCACAATGTATTCCATTTTAAAGAAAATTCCAAAAAATATTTTTACGAGTATTGAAACGTGAGTAAAGATCAAATTTTATTTTCCAAACGAAATGCTGGTCATTTTGATATCGGTAAATGAACAACTTCATCTAGTATAATAACAACATTATTAATCTTCATGATTTGCCAATGTTGCAATGCAAATGTGATGAATTGTGAATTCCAGCAATTTGCGAAATCGTATTCAAACAATTTAATATTTAATCATGATTCAAAAGTTTGAAACAAAAAACGAAAAATACGTTGTCGTCATACTGTATCACCCTATTTCATCTCGAAAACCTTTTCATTTTTGAGCAATTGGTAAAGTGATTCGAAATCGGTGTGGGGTATTGCTTAATTAATATGTAATGAAGCGGTATTTGTATGAAAGTACATTTACTTACATACTTTTAAACTCAGTTCTGTTATACGAGTACTACTAAAAGTCCCCAATCGATACACCAAATTCAGGTCAATTGGCAGATTGCGGTTCTCTATTATCCTATTTGCAGTTTAATTTATTCTGTGCAGACGTCAGCATTTACGTGTAAGCAAGGGCTCAATGAGTACCTGACAAAAACCTAAAAAACCTTTCAATATCTTTTAAATTTTTGACTCGTTGAGTTGAAAAATTTCCATTTAACCTTTTTCTTTTTTGTTATGCTTCAAACAGAGCACAAACAGAGTTGAAAGAATGGTACTTTTATAACGTTTTGAATCTCTGGTGAAGTTGATTATTGCTGATAGAGCTGGATACATTGCAGGTGCTGAAATGTGGCAACGATTAATTTTCTTGAGCTTGCTTTTTAGTGTGTTTTGTAAAACATGCCATGGTGAGCGATCCGAAGACTCTCTTATATGCAAACGAGTGGACAACGATGCTGCCAATGTTTTAATCACGGGACCGCAAGGTCCTCCTGGGTTACCTGGTTTACCTGGACTGGCTGGAATGCCCGGATATGATGGCCTACCTGGACCACCAGGAATGGACGTAGACTCCAACAGATTGGTGATTTTGGTTGAGCAAATTGTCGCAGAAGGTAAATATGTGTTTATTTTACGCGTATTCAGAATTTTTTAGTAAACTATGGACTGAATATTTATCGCGTTTTTCAAAATACAAAAGTCCATAATCAGTATGTATTATTTCATTCTTTGCTATTTTAGCTTTGTGACTTAATCGCTAAGAAAGTTTAGTCATCTCAAAAAACTACTTCAAAATATACTTGACCGAACTTCCAAAATAATGTTCTCATGTATATATAATTGTGCTACGCATGGGATCAATATATTGATTTTGACTTTACAATTTGAATATAATTTTAGTATTATTTTTATTTATCCATAAGACTCAAGTCGTTGCTTATATATATGGTAAATAGATGACTCGTACCATTGTTTATTGTTCATCACTGACTAATTAAGAGTGGAACTGTAAATGAAAATTTCAGATTGAATTTTGTTGCAATTTGTTCGCATAAAGAAAGTATAATAGAAAATCAGTTCAATTAGCAAATTTAGATTCACATCGAACTGATCCATCCGGTGCAAAACAACCAAAAAAACTTTTTTTCACCAAGAACGCTGATGAGTTGATTGATTGAAACTTGATTGATTTTTTTTCTTTTTGCAATAGAGTAAAATATATACAGTACTGTTTATATAACATAAGATATTGCTGCTTTGCATTAGTATTTAATTCATTTTCACAAATTGCCGCTGTAATTACAGAAAAATGTTCTCTCGAATAATGGTCTTATTCGTTTTGATAGACGTATATTACAAAACCTGCTAGTGTGTGAGATAGTCCGACTCTCTTGTGTGCAAACGAGTCGAAAAGATGATTCGAATGTTTTGATCTTCTGCCCACCACGGCAGACCAGGACGAGATGAACTAGTGGGTTTTCCGAAGATGCGTTACCCTGCTATAAAGGTTCATCTGGCATTGGGGGTATAGATTACATGGGACTGGGGATAATGACAGAGCATAATTTGGCAAAAAGTATTTTGAAATATACCCATAATATGTAAAACCCCGCATGTTTTATATTTATAAATAAAAAACGATTTCCGAGTTTTTTATTTTTCGTTTCTAAACATTTTGCCCTCGACTTGATTCCTTATTTCGGTGAATATATATTACCAAATTCATCTAAAATTCTATTCATTATTTTATCTTTGTTTAAATAGAAATTTTCCCATTTCAGCTATTCATGCGATGAAGAATGTAAAACCCCAGACTTCCGACTTTCGATGCGAAAATTTAAATAACAAAGTCGAAGTCGATGGAAAATGTTTTTTCGCTGTCTTACCGGAAAATGAAGTCAAATTTCTCGCAGCTAAGCAGTTGTGCATCGATAGAGGAGCAACGCCGGCAAATATTTACGATCGCCATCAATTCCACAAGATTATGAATTATCTTCATGAGTTAAGACAAACATTTTATCACGTATATCTTGGAATGGAGTTTGATCCTGAGGTTAGTAGTCATTAATATACTGTCAATAATTAATTATGTCACATGTTGCTAATTTTTGTCATAAAATTTGTTTCAATTCAATGAATAAAAAAGGGTATCGTGACAGGGAACATTTAGGATATTTTCAAATTTAATTTGTATTGGAATACAAATTTAGATTGATATTAAGAACATAGGAAAACTATTACTCAAAAGAAAGAGTATATATTTATTTTTTTTTTAATATATAAACACTGACTTAGCGTAGAAATTTTTACTCTGCAATATAATATTTGACAGAATGATGAACTCACTTTCTATGACGGAAGCCCAGCTCAATACACAAGTTGGCGCTTCGGAGATCCCGTTAGACGTGTGGCGGATCCTGTGAAAATGACGCGAATAGCCATAAACGTTCTGAGTGACAGCAACAACTCCGGTAATGGAATGTTGACTACGGCTATGATTTGGCCTAAAACAGGAGTACTTTGCGAATCTGCCATAGAGAGAGAGTCTTGAATTGGAATAAGCATGACTCTATTGTCTATACTCATCTCGTATCGTGTATATCAACTTATTATTCTAATTCTAAAGACTATAACGATCCAGAATTTCTTAGAGTTTGTTGACTAAAAGCAAATGTATGCTAATACTTGTTTTTACTTTTTACTATCCTGCAGTTTTATGAATTTGTCGGAGTAATATTTGATATCACTAATTTGTATGCCGGTCAGTAATGTGATCAGTACCTTGGCAGCAATGAAATATAATATGAAGTCAAATTTGCATGTTACTTTTTAGGGTGAATATCAAAATTTCATTGGTAATTAATGATAAACCGTTACTGTGTAATAAATACTATAACGAGTAGTTTATGTGTGTTAATGTGATATGGATCGATCGGATTTGTTTCTGGGAACAGAAAGTTAAGAATATTCCTTTCACATTTAGTGTTATGGGCCTGTTAATGAAAGGGATAAGCGCTGCCAACGGGATTGCATGTCCTGAGAATTATGTAAGTCAATCTTTCCAATGGTTATAAGAATTCATTGATAAACGCTTCGATAGTGGAGTTCTGTACATAATGCAAAATGACACAGCAAAGTGCAATAAGTTGATGCTCTTATGCAGGGTGTGGTTTCTTAATTCCAAATTCATAATCTTAGGGTACTTTGTGACTCAATGTAGTAACATTTTCTGGTACTAAGACTTATAAGAGCCATGATTTTCTTTATGCAAAACATCGGTGATGAACGTACTAAATGAAATGAACTGTTGGAAAAATTCAACCACATTAGTCCAACACAAAACACAGTTCTAACAAGTTGGCAGTTTGTCATGAAAAATTGCAATATAATGTACAGGGTATTCTCCCCATTGATACTCGCAGACAAAAAAGAACATTTATGAAATCGACAATCGCCATTTTGCGTTGGAACATAGAATGCTCGGCTGGTATCCGGCCTAATATAGCACTGCATGAGATTCGGCATTTTAGAAATACCCATTATTTCTTAGATGTGGCAACTTTTTTTCCGGTACATCGCCAGTAACCCTGGCCTCCCCCACGCAGGGTGGCTAACACAGTATTTATACAAATAAATACAAATGATATTTAACACAAATAAGAAATGAATTGAGCATGTAGTGAAAATACCACATGTCAATATAAAAGTAAATAATGCGGTTTATCTAACTGGGCCAGCCCCCAAAAGAAATATGAAATAAATGTCGGATGCTCGTCGAGTTGCTCGTGATCTGGCGGATATATATTTGAAGTGTAAACATTCGAATCAACGCCTGTCGCGGCCAACCCGCCGAGCAAAAACCACACAGTAAATAACAAAAATTAACTTAAAATAATTTTGCTGCGAAGGGCTGGCCAACTCGGCAATGGGTTCTAAAGATGAAAACTACTGTATAATAGGTACCACTCGCCTTTTACTATCGACTAAATTTAAGTGATGAAAGATGTTAAGTGGTAGCACAAAGAGAGAAAATAAAAGACAGTTGATCAAAATAAATTATAATTAAGTGACATATTGATGAATATGCAAATTAAAAATGGGATAATGGAGGCGAGCGGTATAAAACTGATATACCTATATATCGCATATATGGTGGTCCATGCCTATTGCCAAATCACTCAAGCTCATAGACACACCTCATACACATACTAAGAAAGTAGAACAAATTAAAGAAAGAGCAGAATGCAGTGTCGGAAAAAAGGGTGAAGTCAGATTAGCCGACACAGTCAAGGAGGTCCGCACCAGGCCCTCCTTACGCGGTGGGAACCCCCGATGGAGTTCCTGACGCAGTTACGGGAGACTTCCGTATCGACTCCTCCGGTCACACTCGAAGCACGAGGAGCAGTCTGGTTTCCAACGGCATAACTGCCAAGAGAACCAACCACAAATGCGTGGAACTCCACCACTTTGCCTAAGACAAAAGCAATGGAGCGACATAACTCTTCATACTTTGAGTGTCTCCGACGGGCCGCGTCATCTATAGCGGCCTCGCCGTTGTCGAATGGGCACGCCACATCGAGTACTGCGACCCGATTCCCTCGAGAATCAAATCGGGCCGCAGCATCTCAGCTGTTCTTGCGGTGTGCTCTCGACAAACTACGTCAACATCGCACCTAGAAAACCTGGCTGAAGGTAAATGAGCCAAGATCTCTTCCTGCACCGAATCGTGACGCTCCTTGATGATATTTATGACTGGGCGACAGTGATTCAGTAAATGATGAAGAGTCTCATTTGCATAATCACACTTACTACAAGTCACCGTAATTCGCCGTAAACCGTCTACGAACGGATCGCAGGGACAGAAGATTCAATCGAGCTTTCAAAACCCACGAAAACTGAAACTGAGCGAGAGAGACAGACGTGGAGAGAAAGTGTTTCGAGCCGGGAATGATAGGAAACTGTCTTCCTCTGGACCCGAAGCTTGTCCCATCGCTTCAGCCATTGGGTTTTGGTCACGTGGTGCAACACCCGACTTATCTCTTGCCGCTCTCGATCAGGAGATTGTTAGTGGTGATCGTAAAATTCGATCCAAGGAGACAGCCCAGCATAGGCTGATACGGCGACCCATAGGTCGCAGTTGGCCCCACAGATCACCATACGGGCCGACGCGCCATCCATCTGGCTCAGAGGTGTTATCACGATTGAGAAAGTCGATTATCATGGCCTGCGTCGCCTCCTGGACTCAATAAAACCTCGCCACAATCTCGCCTAGTCGAGCACGAGCAACCGAACGAACCATAGAGTCGAGAGAATTCAAAGTTTTGAACGCCTGGGTAACCCGAAATATGTCCGCTTCGCATGCAATATTCGGGACGCCCAGACTCCCGACCGCAGTCGTGTAAAGAAACAAACAGCTGACAGGCCCGGACAGGTAACCGAAAAACGGTTCCCATCAGACAACGGCAACGATTCGGTGGAAGTCTAATTTATTATACTGAAAACTAAGGAATATTCACCGAGACGCCATGTAAAATTAATCAGTGCAAATTGTTCGTGGTAGTAAAATCTTTCTTTTTTCAATAAATCATGCGCGATTAGCGGTCATTTTGTTTTAAACAAAAAGAATATAGCTATGAATGGTTTCATACTATATCTTCGCATTTCTGAAATTATTGAATGCATTCGTAACAAGATCCTTGATAACGCATAGAGAAAACATTAACGTAACTAGAGTAGTTATGTTCAAGGAACAAAGATATGGTACCCCTTTATGAGCAGCCATTTTTTCATACTTTTTTATAGCCAACAAGTATTTTAACTTGAAAACACTAAAATCAGATGTTAACCAAAAAACTACACAAATCGAATTTTTTGTTCACTTTAGGCCTTGTTGAGCAAGTTTTTGATATACTTGCTTTTATCAAAAACTTTGCAGTTAAAAAAAAATAGTAATATTTTCGTCATGTTAATACAGATATTGAATTTAAAACTCCATTATAGCGTCGTAATATAGTTTAGTAAAATCCAATAGTATTATCTTTCTAATTTTCAGATTTTGAAATTTTTCCCAATGAGATCTTGCGTATGCAGCTGTATGCATTACCGGTGTTCAATTACAGCATAATTTCTTGACCCTTTGCTGCCGCGGCACGGTTTAATGATCACAGCAGACTGTTTCCTACACTGACTATGTAGTTCCCACAGTTCGATTTAGTTAAAGAGTTTAAGCTTCTTGCTCCTGTTGCAATAGTATGCTATTCCTCAACTTCTCACCCCAACTACAACCAGAATGAACACTTAAAACACATGAAATGATGATGTATATATAGTTAGCAACAGAAAAAAAAATCGATATTGGAATCTTTCATCCAGATTTGGCCTTTAAGTAAAATAGGAACATGTTGATGCATTTTCAGATCTCTCTCTCTATTTCAGCTTCACACAGTACTCCTGTTTTGGGCCAAATCATAGCTGTTGTCAACATGCCATTGCGAGGGTTATCTCGGTCGCTCAGAACATCTATGGCAACACGTGTCATTTTCACAGGATCTGCCACATTCGGAACTGGATCTCGAGCCCGCCAACTCGCGTATTGAGTTGGAGTTCCATCATAAAGGAAGAGGTGATAATCCTGTCAAAAGATTTAGCAATTGCACTTCAGAGTTTTTGCCTAATCATTTTTGTACATTTTTTACCGTATCAGAGATATCATATATACACCTAATGGGGTTTCAAGATAATAATTAAATTACACTCATGCCTCGAAATTAAATCTGAATTTCAACGACCAACAATAGTGTCGTGTACATGGAGGGCAGTGACTTTTTATACACATCAAATGCTGCTAATTAAAGTGTATAAGAAGGCGCTGTGTGCTTTATAATTATAAAGCATTATGCCATTAATTAATGATATATATGCCTGTTTCAAGAAAAAGGTAGTTTGGGGTACGGTGCGACTGGGCTGGCGCTCTATAAAAGGAGCAATAATCATGATTGGTTTACATTGTGTGTCAAAATCTTGCAAAATGATCAAGTGTGTTTATATTTACTTTGTGTCAATATGTTACAATGCAATCTAAGTTTATCTCCCCCCCCTCCCCCGTTTCAAGCTGTTTTGCCAACATTACTGATAGTTTCGCAAATTTCGTGCAACTGTCTCTTGATTAAAAATTTACAATTAGCTCTGTATGTGTCAGCGATTGTTTGTGACCATCAGTAATGTGATTGTTTTTGCGTAAGAAAAAGAATGCAACTCTATGAAAAAAAATATTAACAATCTGTTTGCAAACCGAAGGATTGAATTCCATGCCAAGATATACATGATAAAATGTTTGTCTCAAGTCGTGAAGATAATTCATTATCTTGTTGAATTGATGGCGATCGTAAATATTTGCTGGTGTTGCTCCTCTGTCGATGCACAACTGCTCCGCTGCAAGAAATTTGACTTCATACTCAGGCAAGAGAGCGAAAAAACATTTACCATCCACTTCAACTTTGCTCTTTAGATTCTCACACCGAAAGTTTGGCTGTGGGTTTCTATTTTTCGATGAATGAATAGCTGAAACGGAAAATGAGTGATATTTAATAAAAAGTCGTCAGAAACAAGAATAAAAATAAAAAAGCTAAAACCACACACGTCTATATGTATGTTTTGTGGTCTTGAAATACTGATTTACTTGTAGCAAAAAGCACCGATTCTACAATAAACACTTATCATTGTACCTTCTGCAACTTGTTGCTCAATTGAAATCTCCAATCTGCTGTAGTCTAACCTGGGACCTGGAGCACCTGGCAATCCAGTTCGACCTCTACTTCCTTTAAGACCAGCAACCCCAGGAAAGCCTGGAGGGCCTTGCGGGCCCGTGATCAAAACATTGGCAGCATCGTTTTCTACTCGTTTGCAAATAAGAGAGTCTTCTGATCTCTCGCACAAACAAGTTTCATAATACACGCCGATAAAAAAGCACAAGATAATTACTCGCTGCAACATTTTCTTCGCCCAAAGTATATCCAGCAGTGTTTGCGATTCGAACTCACTAGCAATATTACCGCATGTTATATATCCACTCAATCAAAGTTGGCAAACATTGCTTGCTTTTTTTACTTACTGTTTAAACCATGTTATCGAAAAAACATTTTTACAAAAAAGTTATTATAATATATATTTATATATATAACTATCACACTTGATGATTAAATATAAATTCATTCATCGCCACAAATCATGTTATATTTTTCAAAACCATATATGGAAAGGTCACATTTAAGAATACTATATCACGAGGCCTTGAACAGGATAAATCAAGCCGTAAACAGGATAATAAAGAACCTCAATTCGTCAATTGACGTAAATTCAATGTATCAGTTTGGGACTTTTGGTGAAATTGTAATGAAGTACTTTTCTTTGGAGTGGCCCTGAATTGCCAACGATTTCTTTTAATCGAGTGATGCAATATTTCGAGTTTTGATGACAACGTCCTATTTTTTTTTATTTTCATTAAAAATTTTAAATCATGTTTTAATATTCATTCATGTGACAACGATTGCGAGAACTGTATGAAATCACAGTACGCTACTCCCGCCGTTGTACGACAAAATATTTTTTTAGAAAGTGAAGCATGTGTATGTGAGTGCCTGTGCTTTGCTTTACTCATAAGCTATACGCGGTGAATCAAAAATAGATTTTACGAAAGTATACTAAAACATACTGGAAACTCGTTCAACAGAACGTTTTTTACTGTTTACAAGAACCAGGGAATTCAGAAACTAGATGTGATACTGTTTACGATATATTTTTACATGTCGACTTTTTTGTTCCAAACAAGAATAGATTCAAAAAGCCATACTTAGAGACTTCATTGATATTTAATTGACATTGATATTTAATTTTCAGAGTTGGAATTTTGCACATTAAATGATTTCAATTTTGAATATGACAGTCCTGTTTTGACATTGGTGCTCAGTTTATTCACTTTTGGCCTTTGACTTTTTTGTCAACTATTTTTTATTATAACATACTAATTCAGCGCGGTGTAACTAAGCAATCATCTGCCTCTTCTGTATATGTAAATAAAAATACAGTAGCTCATCCATATAAGCCATTTAAGCAGTCATTCACTAGACTTTGTTTGGAGCAGAAGTGTGAAGAAAGTGCAACGCTTGAGATATTTTTTATTACCAAGATGCTCATGATATGAATTAGGCCAAATGGGTTATTTCATGACGAACTAACGCCATCATACTGTCTATTTGCTCGCAATAAAGCAGACTGTCAGCGAGAGCAAATTATGATATCACAAAAACTATCTCCCAAATACACACGTCGAGCTGGAATCCTATCAGTATGAATCTTAATTTATTCATATTTCAAAGGTTCAACAAAAGAAATGGTTTCAGCAAAATGTACGAATTGTAGGAAACTGTCTGGTTTTTATCTTTCGATAGAAAGAACAGCAATATGAATGATGAAATTATTCCTTCAAAGCTCGACAAAATCTTAACCATCGCCCACTTCGGGTTTTCGGAGGCACGGATGTAGCATGATCATATCGTCGAAACGTAGTCGATAGCTCCTTGCAGAAATTTATGGTAATCATGGTACTAGTACTTGTATGCATTATCAATAAATAATTTTCTTGGCGATAACAAAACTACAATTAAAATTTACTGCATAAATTTCGGAAATATATCAATGATGCTTCTTCCTAAAACATGGAATAAAATTAATTTTTATAATAGTGAAGCCAATGTTCTGATTCATCAAATGTCATATTCGAATAAAAGCAAGCTTGAGACTGGAAGCAGCCTTATGTCTTCTGTTATGTTACAATAGTCCTGATAGGTATGCGAATTGCCAATCAGATATTCAACACAGATGCTCGGGTATAAGCATGCATATTCTAATAGGATTATATTAATAGTATTTTAAAACAAATAAATAATACTAACATCTTCATGTTTGTATCCACAATATTGACTGGTTCTTTCCTTGCGCCAACCATTGATATCTCGGACGATTGTTTCGTCGTGACAGCAAGCATTGTATCCTGGTTCGCACTCTGTACGGTAGCAGTACAATCCGGTTTGTCTGAACAAAACATCAAAATTGAAATTGAAAAATGAATAACGAGTCTATTGATAAATATATATAGTAATAATGATATTCACATCAAAAATATACATATGGAATGGTGTATTAATAAAACGTATAACTGACATTAGGAAAAAACGTCGTCTCACAGATTTGGAACCATATATAGCTTAGGCAATTAAAAGCATTGTAGTCCACTTACGCAGAAGTACTCACGACAATACAAACGATAAACATCAGTAACACCTTCATTTTTCTTCAACCTAACAATTTTTTCAAAATCAAATTAGTATGTAGCTGCGATAATTTATTAATAATAATAATATCAGTAAATTTTTCTAAGAATAAGTCTGTATTTAAACGAGGATAATTATTGTCATGATCAGGTTTTGCTTTACCGGAATATTCCACGTTCACACGGAACCACGCTCGATAAAAGCAATAAATGATATGATTGGGCTGATGCTTCAGGAAAAGCTGGAAAATTCACATTTCGCCATGGGCTTCTCAATTTAGCTTCATCTAGTTGAAGTAATAGGTTTGTAACCGATATTAATGCTGAGACTGCTTTTGCTTAATTGAAATTATTTTATTTGACAATATTAAATTTACCAAGTTTTAACATTTGTATAGCATCTGAATATAGGGTGGTACTATTTATGAGTCATAATTTAGAAAAAATGCAGTAAAATGCATTCAATAATTAGAATTATATATCCATTCAATCGCGCAATAAAAGTGACAATGCAGTCATGTATGCAAAAAAAAAAGATCAGAAATGATAGAAAATGTCACCACAAAGTAAGCTCCGTGAAATTACTTTTATTTTACTGTTGTTGAATAATAGTTATGCCATTAACGTAAGGGCATCAGTATGTCCGCAGGTTTAAGCAAATAACATAAAAAAGTGAGAGCATATTTACTACTTTTCTTTAAGTACAAATGATTAAGAGTAATTACAAACGATCGTTTTTCAAGACATTTCTGGTTTTATTGTTGGATGTCAGGAGCTCAAATTGATAATATTCCAATGACACGTTCCCAAATTATTCCTGAAACCAAGTATTTAAAATATCGAATATAATAAGTTTCAAATCGAACTAAACATAGTCGTTCTGAATACATGCGCTCACCACACTTCGAACGACAATGCAATAATAATCAACAGAAAAACCTAACATGAAAAAACGCTTACATCGAATAAACAATTGTGAATAATATTGTTAAACTAAACTTCCGTCGTGCAAAAATATTTGTTTACTTGAAAACTTTATTCATTAATTAATATAGCTAACCAAGCACTAACAAATCTGTTCTTTCTATGGCAATTTTGAAACTACACTTTTATTTCGTTGTTGCGTTTCATTGCTATTGAATTCTAAAGTATTCTCTAAAGCTGTTCTTTCAAGTGTTGACAAATGGCATGTTATCTATATGAACTAGAATTGTCTATAGATTCATCAGTACCTATTGCCTGATCTAAATATGCAACAACTATTTTTTGCATATATTTTTGAATATAAAAGCTATAGAAAAGAAATAACGTAGATCGTCAACGACAAATGTAGTAATTTTCGCGTGAGCCCAAAATTGAGACTAAAACTAAGCTGAGCAATTTAAAATGAAATGTCGTGGTTTAACGATAATGTCGATATATTCTTTTTTTGTTCCCAATAACACTTCTTTTAAGGTTATTTCGATTTAAAGCACTCTACGAGCCCTTACTCAGAACAATTACATACAGCCATCGGCCAAGATATATTCAACGTGTATCGGGATATTAATTTTGTTGTCACGACTGAAATTTACAGGAGATTTTATCCTGTTCTGATTTTTTACGGATACGAATACGATTCATTTAGAACATAACCTTGACTAGTCATAATGTGATGAATAACATAATACAAACATACCGATGTATGATGATATGCGATATAATTTTCAAAATATGAGTAGGTAATTTTAAAACTCTGACATTCATTATTATAGACATAAAAGAATATCAATTATGTCTATAAGTTTAGAAATAATTTCGATTTTTTGTACGTATATATATTATGATTTAAACAAATCACAGACGACGACTCGGCGAAAAAATTTGAAGGTAATAAAAGATGGTAAGGATTTTGGGTAAATAAAATGTAGTTTTCTACAGCAGTGTTTAATTGAAGATCATCACCGATCTCGTTTGTTTACTTTCTTTTGTACACCTTTTAATGAGATTTTTTTGATATTACTACTTTTTTGTCACATCGATATGCTGTATTAAAATAAAAATCCCATTCCCTTCTTGACTGAAAAATACTGAGAGAAGAGTTGTAGGTAACAGTTGGCGTTCTTAACGATACATGTTAGTTCATCCTAGCAACAGGGATGCTTGTACATAGCGGTTGATCGAGACAATAGGATAAGATTTACATATTCATCCCGGGAGAGAGTAAAGCCGACATAACGGTCTCGTCTGGTCACCGATTTATGTCGGGTATGGGATTAGTTAGCCAGTGTTTTTTCAGATACATGAACTTGGAGGTGGAAAAAACCGTAACCGAACAGGGGGTACGTGAACTACCCTACACGGCGGCGAGGAGATCCCCCAAGGAATTCGAACCTGCGAACCCACATAGAGTAATCAGTTGAGGTGGCATGCCTATTCTTGACAGTTAGCACGAAGCACTGCACCACCACGTAATTCAACCAAATACCACAGATTTAACAAGGTCTATTTTTGGACACGTGGTGGACATAACGATCGTTTCAATATTATGTTGGTCTTGTTGTTGTTGTTGTTCTTTGACACTTTTTGGACATCTAGTGGAAAATCTAAAAAACCGCTTTTTTCTTTCATTACTGGACCGATTGCTTCGAAATTTTTACTGGGTAAAGATGAAATTTTTCTCCAGAAGGCTATTACTTTTATTTATTTCAAATATTTTTGTTAGCTCTGTGAGATTTGTTTTTGATTGCTATGACGTCACCGAACGTTCTGCGGACGCATAGCCGACACTCCTCTTCTTT